TGAGAAATTTCGTTTGGAGTGTTGGTATTGGCAATTGTTGGAATTTGATCATTGATTTCAGTATTTTGTTCTGGCTGGACTTCTAAAGTTTCCTTAATATTGTCTTTTTCTTCAACCACAGGTTCTGTAACAGTGGTATCGATATCGGCTTCTGTAGGAGTAGGAGTTTCGCTGGGTTGGGGTATTGTCACTTCTTCGTCTTGTATTTCCACAGAATTCTCTGTGGAAACAGTTATTGGTTCCAGATCCTCTTCAACTTTTGTGTTAACTTCTGGATGTTCTTCCAAAATATTCCTCATTTCAAGATCATCATGTTGAGCAACTGGAGTTATTTCGTTTGCTTGAATATCTGAAGAATTTTCAATTTCGTCATCCTTTTGATCAATTGAAGTTTCATTAATAATGTTGGAATTCAATTCAAAACAACTGACTGGTTCAGCAGGGCTGAATTCATCTTGATCTATTGAATGTTGATCTTCTCCCTTTTCTGTACAACTCAATTCAACTGTTTCTGTTTCTGTAACAATACCATTCGTCTCACATTCATTTTCATTCTCTGTATTTTTGGGTGATTCCTCACTCCCTAACACTTCTGTAGTGGTATCGAGTATTACCTTAAGGTCATATTCAACAGTGGTTTCCTCGCCTTTAATCATCTCTTCATTGATTGTTGTGGGTTTCATTAATTGTCGTTCAGTGCTCACCTCCTCTGTGTGTTCTATAATTTCTGTTTCTTTTTTCATTATTTGTGATTCAGTGTTCACCTCTGTCTCGTTTTTCTTCTCTTGAACTTGTTGGACAATTGAATCAGAAATTTCGATAATGTCCTTGTTTTCCTTTTCAACCTCACTTATAAGTTCTGAAAAAGACGTTTGTTCCATATTTTCAGCGTCTTTTGCCTCTTTGCTTTCTTCAGTTGGTTTTTGTTCGATATTTTCCATATTTTCAGTTTCTGAATCGTTTGAATCCTCTTGAAATATTGGAGTATTGTCAGATCCATTCATTTGGGGAAGCTTATCAGCACTTGTTTCTTCTGTAGTTGCTTGAATATCAATTGAGGTTGTTGTGGGGTCCTCTGATCGAGCTTCCTTAATAATTTCTTTTGAAATCTCGATTAATGGTTCATCATTCATTGGTTCATGTGAGTGCTCTTCTTGAACTGGAATAGTACTACATTGTTGTTCCTCCTTTTCCACTACAAGTTCATCAGTTTTTTTACACTCCTCCTGTTCTTCCTTTGGTGGATTTTCCTCAATCGATATTATATTTTCGAGTGGTGAAGATGATGGATCTATTGATTTATCAAGATCATTATTGCTATCTACTATTTCTTCAGTTTGAGTCTCCTCCCGTATCTCATCCTTTACAATTGTTGAAGGGAAGGAATCATCATTCTTAAGCTCGTAAACTATTGATGATGTAAGGGATTCCGCACTGCTATCATCCTCATCTTCCTCGTTTAATCTTTCCAAATAGGAATCATGTTCCGGTGGTGATAGATTCAAGTAGCAAACATTTAAATTAATTAAACTTCTCTTCCTCTCTGTTGATGAGGAAGAAGAAGGAGACTGATTTGGAAAGTTATGAAATTCTGTAACAAGATTGTTATCCACAGAGAGTTTCAGTTCAGAAGATGATGATGCACTACTCTTATCTACAGATGGCGTTGGTGATGCCTCTCCTTGATTCTTAAGCAGATTACTGGCTGCATTCAGAATCGATGAAGAAGTCATGGGTGTGAGTGTGTTTTTTCTGGATGCTCTTGGTTTTTTAGGGATTTGTTGTGTAACGGTGAGATTTTCTGTTGAGGAAAAGTCTGGCTGTTGAGTTGGTGAATCAATAAGAGCAAAGTGATGCACTTGTCTTTTTGGTTCAGAAGCAGCATCATGTTTTAGAATTTGTTCTTGTAATTTATAATGATGATAAGGTGATGATACTGAATGTCGGGTTCTTGATGTTGAGGGAACCGCAGTGTTTGAAGAAGAAGTGGAGATGTGATGCGTGTCACCACCTCCATCATCATGATGTACAACTGGTTTGAAGAAAGCTCTTGTCCTTCTCCTTCCCTTATTGTTATCAATCCTGTTTCCTTGATCACTGCTTAATGATGATTGGAACTGTCTTAGAGCCTCCTCTTCTACTGTTCCATCATCGCGTGAATTATGGTTACTACTGAACCGTATGGTGTGAGACATTCTTTTTGAACATGGAAGTTGATTGTTCAATTCCAATTGCCCTTTAAGAAGCATGCTTGATCACACAACCTCAAAACACCGAAAAACAAATATGATATTTCTGATCTGAAAATTTTGATAAGTAATCCATTTTAATTTATTTTGAAATTTTCAGATTGTTTGCAACTCTGAACTAGCACTAGGTGGAACAGAAATTTTCTTCTTCTTCACACAATAAACAATCAATCCAATCACAACCAACCCAAAAATCAGAATTGGAATAATCAATGCCAATGCTACCAGAGCTACAAGTCCAATAACATTGTTTTGCTTGGTTAAACTAGTTTCTGCAAGAATTGAAGAATTTTCCATTATTATTTGTGACGGTGAGGGTTGTGGATTAGTTGAGGTGTAAGTAATAAAAGAAATGGTTCTCCGAACTGTTTCGATCAGAGTAACATTTCTTGCAAATTGTGAACATTTACAATAATAGTTATTATTATTCACTGTTTCAATTAGGCATGAATCAACAGCACTATGGCACTCAATGTGTGATGATACTGTTTCATTCTTTCTTGTAGTTGAATTAATGAAAGTAGTAATAGTATGGGAGAGTGTTGTATTTTCAAAGTTGAATGAATAGGAAATAATTTTCTCATTTACAGAAGATTGTTGATAGTAATTTTCACAAGATACCATAAATGGTAAACTTCTTATCGTTGTTTGCACTTCAGTATTATTATTAACTTTTTCATAATTTTCTATTTCATTATATTTTGTATTATACTTTATAATTCTATTAAATATTTGTTGTCTAGTATTACCAAAATATTTAATCATTTGTTTTGGATATTTAACAAAGTTATTTTCAGAATAATAAATTATTGAATTTGAAAATTCGGAAGGATACATTCTTGCAGAAAGGATTGAGTAAAAATTTGTGAGACTCATTATTTGAAAATGATTCTTCAAATTAATTATATTCAAATTAGTACTAATTTCAATAATTTCTTCCCAATTATCTAATTTCTTTCCATTATTTAATGAAATTCGACTGTTAATCATCATTTCTAATATGTTATTCATTATTTTTCCCAATTGATCTGCTAATTCCAAATAAGTTAATTTTAATATTTCTGTAATTCGGGTTTTAAATAATAAATATACAGAATTGTACATTTCCTCATTAATTTCATCATAATTTTCAAAGAGATGATAAATAAAAGCCATTTCAAATGATAATTGATTTCCATTCATTTGGAATTCATTTCTATCCAACATTTCCTCAATTAGTAATTTAGAAGAATTCCATTTTTCACTTGAGACTTGAATCCATTCATTAAAACTCATACTACAATCACTCTTTTTGAATCCATTTACGCATACACATGAGACAGTTTCTTCATTATAACTAGCTCCATTCGCACACATACCTCTTATAGCTCTTTTAGATCCTGAAATTTTCTTAACCATTGCTTCAGAAGTAATTGTACTGTAGCTGTAAACTATCTTTTTAGGATCGTTGGAAGAAAGGGTTTTATAAATGGCATCCCAAGAAGATTTCTTCTTTTTCACGTCAGCGATGGTAGATGCTGGAGGAAGTAATAATGCTCTATTTAAGGTAACTTCTGATTTGGCGCCAGTTTGAATATTCTTATTTGAAATGTACAGTGTTACGGTCTCATCATTGCCTGTATATGGCAGGGGTGTTTTAATGATTAAATTTCTTGTCTCTAAAAGTTGAATTTTCAAATTAGTTTTGAGATCTAAAAAACTTAATTGTAAAATTTCAGTACTTGATTGTAGACAGCTTGAACATGAGATTGTAAATACTGTATCAATGGCGTATCCAATTGAAGGTGTTATTGAACATACACAAGATGTGGGATTATCTGCAATCTTGAATTCGTAATTATAAATAGCAAAACTATTTACAGATCTAATTGCCATAAATGTGATTACATGTGATGTTGTTGTAGAGAGTGTGGAAAGGTCTAATAATATTTTGTTCGCATTGACAATATCAGATCCTGGTAATAATATGGAAGATGGTATTGTTTTGTTATCTATTTTCCATTCTCTGACCATTAAATAATTAACGTCTTCAGCTTGATTATCTAATTCAACAAGTAGTTGAATTTGTAATATATCTGATGATATAAATACTGTTTTTTGCGGGTACATTGATAAAACTGTAATGATTGGTACGCTTTCTTGAATTGGAAAGTTAATCAGTATATTTCCAGTCCTATTATTTATGGCTAATCTTAATTCAATTGATTCATGAGTTGAAGTTATTGTAAAATTATGTAATTTCATCAGAGCACTGGTATTTAATTGTTTAGTTAAAGATTCATCACATAGATTTTTACCATTAAGACAATTCCATTTCCATTCATACTTATCAATTAAATTACTTTTATCCATTGGATCAGTTTCTATATTAATCATAACTTGATTTGATGTCAATGATGATTGTAAAAGTATGATATTATAATCTTCATCAGTAGTTATTATTTTAATTTGCTTTGTTGAAGTAAAATTATTAAAATTCAATTTCAATTCGAATACATATTCTCCTTTCAATAAATTATTTGATTGAATTAGTAAATCGTAATTTGATAGTGTTTCAACATTTAGAGTGTATCCTAGGATTTGTTTCCATTCTATATCAAACTTTGAAATATCGTCTTCATGACATTCATTAAACGTTATATATTTTGAAATGTAGCGAGGTAATCTTTCCATATTTGTGTAAATCGTTTCAGAGTTTGATATTTCTAAAATGGGAATACATGTTAATATTTCACATTCAATTCCACTCACAATATAATTCCCAATAGTAGTATTACATTTACAGTTATCGGTTGATTCACAAATTCCTCTTCCTGAACAAACAGTTGAGATATTTGAAATCCCAAAGCAATTAACTTTCTCTTCTTTAAATTCACATCTGTTTCCATAAAATCCTTCTCTACATTGACATTTATCGAAACCAGTACATATTCCTCCTCCAGAGCAAACATTTGAATCGTTCTGAGAAATTCCAAAACACATCAAAAATTCACATACAGATCCCGAATGCAAATCAAGATAACACTCGCATAAATCTGGAGCAATACATAGGCCATTGGATGAGCATGATGATTCGTTTAGATAATGAACTCCAAAGCACTCGAATTCCTCACAAGATTCTCCATAGTAACCATCCAAACATTCACATTCAGACGAATTTTGAGGATTGATGAGGGAATTGCTTGGGCATTCCTTTGATATCTTTTTAATGGTTATTTCGTTATTCGTATCAATGAAATAAACATCATCACCAACTGATTTCATAAATGTTGGTGAAACACTATTGAAAAAATTGGTTCCAAGAGCAACTGTTGTTATGTTACCAGATTTAGAATCCACTTTTCTAATTCTGTCATACCCATCTGAAATGAAAATATCCCCATTCGATACCATCACTGCACTTATTGGCATATTTAACTTAGCTTTAGTTGCTGGACCATCGTCACCACTATTGCCTGCTTCTCCATTTCCAGCAATAGCTGAAACATTCCCATACCTATCAATGATATAGATAGTACAACCAACAGAATCTGTTACGAGATAATTCTCTCCGTTAACAATAACCATGTCTGATACTCCAGAAAAATCAAAATCCAAAGAATTTTTCTCTTTCGCAGAGTTTAGTCCAAGCATTGTGCTTCCTGCGAATTGATGAATGATTTGATTCTTATCAATTCTTCTAATATCCCATCTTTCTGTTACAAATACATCTCGATTCTTATCTATTTCAATAGTTTCAATATAAATGGAGCTATTTAAAGCCAACCCTTCATTTCCAATTCCACCTGCAATGGTTGTAATGATTCCAGTATTGATATCAATTTTTCTTATTCTTTTCAATTCAGAAATTAGTAAGTCACCATTAGGTTGTACATTTAAATCCATTGGCACATCAAGACATGCATTAATTGCCAATTTTCCATCTCCTTTATATCCGTTCTGTCCACAACCAGCTACATGATAAATCTTTTCTCCAATTTTAAACTTTCTCACAGCAGGATACCCACTGTCAATGAAATAAATTGTATCATTAAATATTGCTATGGAAGTTGGTCCATTCATCTGGGCCTTAGTTGCTAAACCTCCATCACCTGAATGGCCAAATTTTCCTGTTCCTGCTATTGTTGTAATGTTACCAGAAATGGGATCGACTGATCTTATTCTGTGATTTTTGGTGTCAGCAATTAATAGAGAATTGTTTTTTGTTATTTTGATGCCAACTGGTAAATTAAGCCAAGTAGAATTGGCTGGTACATTATCTTTCTTAAAACCAGCTGAATTGTAAACCCCAGCATAATTTGTCACATTCCCAATTCTATTATCTATAAAAATGGTATCTATTTTATAGATAATAGAATTAGAAGTAGATAATACGTAGATAAAATTACCATCACTTGAAATTGTGATGTAAGTTGGGTTTGGAATTGAAACCAACGTTGAAACAATTCCACTCAATGAATTAACCTTTCTAATCTTGTTATTAGATAATTCACAAATAAAGAAATCTCCATTAATTGGAGAAACTTCCATCTTGTACACTCCTTTAAATGAAGTATTCGATCGATGATATCCATCTGGAGTAATAGTACCATCTTTTCCAGAAAAGAGTGTAATTATTCCATTAGTATCAATTTTTCTTATTGATGATAATGTTGGATAGTACGCATAATCACTAATTTGAGTTACATAAATATCACCCGTTGAATGGTCAACTGTTAATCCGTTTGCATTTGGTAAGAGTGAAATATTGGCGTAATAGTCATTTCCAGAAAATACATTCCTAGTTCCAGCAATTGTTGTCAACTGAGTAAAATTGTTCGTAATCTTTCTCAAATAGTAGTTGGTATCACAAAAATACAAGTTGTCTGCGCCACCATTATACACACATGCAGGTGAAACTCTCGTTTCAGAAGTGATTAAACCATCTTGAGAATAACCATCAACTCCAACCTGACCAACTATGGTAGAAATGATACCACTCGAATCAATATATCTGAGCGCCTTGTCGTCAGACAGCAACATGGTATTATTGTGTATTGAAATCGATCTCACATGCTTAAAACTTGCTAATTTTGCGTTCAATCCATCTCCTGAATAGGATCCCAAGTTTTTAAATACAGTGCTGACAATACCATTGGTATCTATTTTTCTTATTAAAGTGCCATACCTATCAATGATATAAATCTCATCAGTATCCTCATTGACATGTACATAAACAGGATAATTAAATTCAGCCAAAAGTGCATAGTTTCCATCCCCAGAATTTCCAGGTGTTCCAATACCTCCCAAAGTGGAAATCATAGCAGTGTCATGATAAATTATTCTAATTCTATTATTATTGGTATCAGCAAATATGAAATCATTTTTAGAATTAAATCTTCCATGTGTAGGTGAGTTCAGCAGTGCATTAATTGCCAATCCCCCATCTCCACCATATCCAAGAGTTCTATTTCCTGCTATTGTTACAATTATTCCATTAGTTAGTATCTTTCTAATTCGGTTGTTGGAATTGTCCAAAATGAATATTTCACCACTGCTCGAAATTGCAACTCCTTTTGGTGAATATAATTTTGCATTAATAGCCAATTCACCATCTCCTATAAAACCATTTGAAATTGATCCAGCAACCGTGATAAGTGTTCCATTAGTCAATATTTTTCTAATTCTATTGTCGTTTGTGAAATATAAATCCCCTTCTTTGGAAAATATCAAGTCACCATCAGATTTAATAGATACATCAACTGCCAATCCATCCCCAGTTGATCCACCAGATGGTTTTCCAGCAATAACCTTAACCCGTCCATTAGTAGTTATCTTTTTGATTTGATTACTATCAAAAAAGAACAATTCTCCACTAATTGGATGTCTGGCTATACATTTAGGAGATGATAATGCTGTTTGAATTGCAATTGATGAAGTTGGATCATATTTGAGAGAGGCAGAATTGACTCCAGCAATGCTCTTGATACTATTTTTCTTTTTATCAAACATTCTAATCATTTTGGTATCGGATATGAATATTTTCTCACCAGCTGTGATAATTGAGATGGGACTTTTCACTCCAATCATAACTCCTTCAGCATATTGATTACCTCCAGCCACTTTTTTTATTAAGGTTGGTATCGGAAATGCCTCAATTAACACCCCTTTCTCACATGGTGATTGTAAGAGTAATAAAAGAATGGGAAGAAGAACAATTAGTACTGCCTTGTGCATGTGGAGGAAAATCTTTGCAACCAATCTTGACATTTTTTTTTCGCATGAACTTTGATCCAAATAAGGAAAGCGTAAAATCTGATTAATTAACTCTAAAGTTTCGTTTTTTCATTTTAATAAGAATCTTCAAGGGAGATTTCGATTACTCCAACATCAATGTAGTTGCTCAACTCTAAATTAATTGTAATTTGATTGTCTGCACTCGGATCCACAATATTTTTCGGATAATCTTCAAAGTCCTTAACGTACTCGTAAGCTAATCGTAAATACTCTGAAACGTTCACTGTGAGAATTGAATCCCAATTAATAACTCCTCCTCTGGTGCATTTGTTGATTCTGTTGCTGCAGTGAGATTACTAATGGGATTTTCCTCATTTGGCAAGTTGGTAGCTAGTGTAATATTTTCATTGTTAGGTTCGTTAATGGATTGGTTGACTTCTGAATCATCTTCCTTTTTTTGCTTATTTGCGGAAGATTTATCATTATTCTTTCTCTTCTTATGGAGTCTGGTTTTGAGATGCTTTTTGTATTCTGTGTAGCCAACATGAGTACTTCCACATTTTTCACAGAGATATGTTTTGGATTCATCTCCAGGATGGTTTGGATTCTTCTCGTATGGTTTTTCAACACAATAGTTATCTTTCAAGTGTTGAGGGATTTCTTGGCCACCCAAAAAGTGTGTGGTAATTTCTTGAGCACTTTGAATAATATCAGTGGGTGATGAGGCAGAAATGTCAAACTTGAACAATTTACCACTAGAGACGAGAGGCAATTTAGCACTTGCCCAAGAGGATCTATACCATGTTTCTTGCTTCTTGGCATACTTAAATGTACTGTTAATGAGAGCTTCTAAACATTGCTTTTTGAGAGCTTGCTTTTTCTTAACAATAGCCTCATCAGAGGTGTTTACATCCTCCAAATCATTAATTTCCTCCAGATATTTTAGATAGGGTAAAAATTCCTTATATCCAATTGATTGTAGTACACCATGCTCAAACGACAAGCTCAGTGACTCCTTATTGTCGATTAAATATTTGTGATATTTAACAACTTCGTCTAACAGACCATTATCCATCATTTGAACAGCTCTGTCCTCGATTCTCTTTCTCAGAACTCCTCGATTATCACATGCAAGATAAAAGAATAGGCAGTCATATTTAAGCGTTCTCTGCTTGTCTTGCTTGGATTCTAATACTTCAGTAAAAACCTGTTGATTATTTTCAAAGAGTAGAATTCTCTTTTTAATCTTTCTAATATCATTAGGATGGATTAACTTGGCAGATTCTGGATCTATTTCCTTCAATCTTTCATACGTATAATTTTTCATATCTTCTTCATCCTCTTTGGTTTCATTGTACTGTCCACCATTACTATCCTCTGCCTTTCCAATCAAGTACTGGTCAAAAATCACCGATTGTATATAATAATTAGTTCCTCCACAAATAATAGGAACATTTCCCTTCAAGAATAATTCATTTTCAAATAACTCATGACAATCCTTTTGATAATTTAAAACTGTATAAAGTTCAGATCTGTCCGAGACTACTCCTGCTTTTTCTCCAACAAAATAATGTTTAACTTGTTCCATTTCCGAAGGAGAAGGCTTGTTAGTTGTAATTGGCAGTCCTTCATAAATTTGCATCACATCTGCATTAATAATTGAAGCAGATTTCCAAAATGATAATTGTTCCTTCTCTTTAATATATTTTGCCAAAGCAAAGGCCAATGCAGATTTTCCCACTCCTGTACTTCCAGCACAAACAATAATTTTCGGAAGTGTATTTTTGTTATTGGAGGTCACATCGATTGTAGAGTTGTCTTGTTGCATTTTTTCTTTTTTTTTGAAAAACTCGAATGCAATTTCAAAGTGGCCACTTTACTTCTTCAATTTGGCAAGTAAATGGATTGGCTTCCAATTTGTAGGTTGTTAACACCCTTTAAACCTTTAAACAGGTAAAAAAGGATTTTGAAATTTTTTACTTGGTTTTACTCCCCGTATGTGACAACATTACAACCCCAATTGAAATTGGACGTGAAAACTATTCAGTAAAAAAACAAGCGACACGAGAGAATATGGGTCAAGCAAGTACACAAGAAAAGGGAACCAAAAGTTCTATGATGGATGCAGATGATGATGAAATTCTCAACAATAATAACAGCAAAACAACAGCAACAACTCATCATCCAACTACATCATCAACCACCAGTGCTACAAGCAGCAATACAGTTGGCTCTAAAAATAAGATAAATGAATCAATACAAATAGTATCAATAGAAAAGGAAAATGAGGAGGAGTATGATTATTTAGTGAAGGTTGTTCTTGTGGGAGATTATGGAGTCGGTAGGTTTTTAATAATATTCTAAATAGTAATTTAAATTTCTATTATTTATTGATCATTCACCTGTGAATAATCTATCGGATACAAATTATAGGTAAAACTAGTTTGGCCAAGAAAATCAGTCAAAGAGGTTTCACAACACAACATCAACCTACTATTGGTATTGATTTTGTTGTTTGTACTCTTATTTTGAACACCAAGGAAACTGGTAAGTTACTGTTAATAATTTATTAACGATTTTCTCATCAAATAATATCAGTTCGTCTCCAACTTTGGGATACTGCTGGTAAGTTATATGGAAATTTATTGTAATGATTAATTTCATAAATGCAGGTCAAGGTATGTTGTCATGATAAAATGTTGTAAAATTTAAACAATTGAAATTGAAAATTTAACCAAATTTAAACCAAATTCAAATTCTTACCTTAATAGAAAAATTCAAGGCTCTTGCTAGCTCATTTTTCCGTGGGGCTGATGGTATTTTTGTTATTGCTGACATTAGCGAAAAATCATCCTTTGACAGAGTTCCAGGATTTTTGGAAGATGGTAAAAAGAATTGTACAGATGATGTGGAATTTATTTTCATTGCATCCAAGACAGATCTTCGTAGTATTGGATCATCAACTCAAGTATTGAGCGAAGAAGATACTAAGAGAGAATTCAGAAAGTATGATTCACAAATTCCAATAATAGAAACAAGTGCCAAAGAGGACAAGAATGTTGAAAAGGCTCTCCTAACCATCATTCAAAGAATTTACAACAAGAAGAAGGAAGCCAAGAAATAATGTATTTTTATATAAAGTAATAGTAATAATAACATAGTAGCTAATAGCTCAACCACAAATTAGATCCATAATTCATTCAAATGTGTGAATTGGAGTGATTCAGCCATCATCAAATCATTCAAATAAATTATTGATTGAAAAAAAACAATGCCACCAAAACAATTCAAAAAATCATTTGCTGCACAAGGCAGACTTGAAAAAGAAAGAGAGGAAAGAAGTATCAGAGAACGTGAATCTCACGTTAAAGCTAAAACATATTTGGAACATTTAGCTGTGGATTATATTCTTAAAACTGTTGTTTTTGAAAATGTTGAACAGATACCACCACATTCCGAGATGAAGGATATTCTGTTATTGGCTTTGAAATCATCACTATCAAGACAACAAAGTGAAACCATCACAACATCAAACTCTACACCTAATACTATTTATTCCGAAATTGAAAGATACATTGATGATTATACTGAATTTTTAACTTCAGTCTTACAGAAAGAAATTTCAAAAGCCAAGAAACCAAAACCAACCATTCAATTCGACATCAAACAAGTTAAACCATTATCCTCATCGAAAGCTAGTGAATTTTCAAACAATTTGGAAAAGTTCTCTGTTAGAAATTTAATTACCGAATAATTTGTAAATAATACACAATCACAAAGACAAACTACCAAATCCACTAATATTAATATTTTAATTGATATTAATCATATTAATATTAAAGCCTTTCTCCTTCCCCAGAATCCTTCATCATTAAATATATTTATTATTAGTATTATTTGATGGTGACGTTGCAATGATGACGATATTAACGAAGGAACATAGAATAAATAAAAATTCATAAATCCAAACTTTGCCATGTGGGGAAAGCTTCACCAATTTGCCAATGAGTTGATGGCACCTATTGATGATGAAGAGGAGGAAGATCAAGAATACTATGATCATAACAATCAAAAGCATCAACAACAACATCATCCTCAACAATCTAACAAGGAAGATGCCTTCTTCTCTCAAACCTTCCTCACTCAACCACAAACATCACTCCATCATCAACAACACTCACACCATCAACCACAACAGCAACCACAACTCGTAAATCATCAAAGTAATCACAAGAGAACTTCATCTTCAGCCAGTTTTGGTGGTCAAACCACAACCTCCCGAGATTCACCAGTCTTTATGCAACACTCTGCTTCCTATCAGCATTTACCAAGTGCTGCTGGAACAAGTTATTCAAGTGCTACTACACTCTCTTCCTCTCCTCCAAATTTTAGTTATCAACAACAACAATCAAACTTTAAATCCTCCCTTTTGGAAACTGCAACAACCTTCTTTAAATCAAGTGCATCACCTTCAAGTCAACAGGCAACTACTTCCACCACTAGAACTCATTCTCCATACAGTGACCATTCTGTTTCGATTAAATCACCAATGGACAATGTATCGGATGGTGGTATTTCAGGTACAACATTTCCAATTCCATCCTCTATTATAACAGGTCAACAAATGCAACAAAACAATGTAAAACAATCGAGCATTTCCACTCCAGTGAACCAACAACAGACAGTTCCTCCTCCACAAATTCCTGGTTTTCTTTTGAGTGGCTATAAATCATCACAGACAGAGGTAACCAAATCTGATAATCCAAATTATATTCATGTAAAATTATGTGTCGGAGAGGAAATTACTTACAATGATCAACATGTGGAATATTTACAAAGTCAAATTACTTATTTACAACACGAGATTGCTAATCAAGCTGATAGATATGAAAAGGAAAAGAGTGATTTGAAACACTTGTTGGAAAATACTCAACATGCCTGTAGGGAACAACATTTAAAATTGAACGAATATATTGAACAAAATAGAAGACTCGAGTATGATTTACAACAAACTAATATGAATGCCAGTGCTCACATTTCAAAATTAGAATCATCAATTAATGAGTTGACAAATCACAAGAAACAATTAATTCAAACAATTAATGATCAGGATGTTAAGATGCAACAAATATTAACAGAACTCCAAAAGGAACAAGCTAATTCCAGACAATATCACTCTGAATTGGAAAGAGAAAGATCAACAGCAAGAAATGTTGAAAGTCAAAACTCAGAAGCTATGAGATTGTTACAGGAACGTGAAAAAGAATTGGCTGATTTGGAGCTAGCTCTTGAGCAATTACAAATGCTCTCTGGAAAGGAAGGTTCCAAATTGAAACAAGTAATCAAACAAAAGGATGAGGAAATTTCAGAATTGAAAGAAAACTCTATCAAGTTGTCTCAACAAGTTTCTGAATTGGATATGCTGAGAGTCCAAGTTGAACAATATAAGGAGAAGATTAATGACTTGGAAAGTTCCTCTGCCTTAACCAACGATTCAAGCAATAGTCCATGTAAGTTTTACTATTACTTAGGAAACCTTATCGAGAATATTTAGCTGAAATATTTAAACGAATGTTGGAAGATTGTACCAGTAGATTGAATGATGAAAACTTGATTGATAGAAGAGTGGTATCACGAATGCTATTGGCTCTTGTATCTAATCATGCAGATACAAGACAACAACAAGCAATTTTCAAATTCTTCCTCAAAACCCTCAATATTAACAATCAAGAGGATGAACAATTGTTGCAACAGGCACTAGTTTTTCTCCAACAAGAACGTTACAAGCAGCTCTTGGCACGTAAAAAGACATTTTCTGAATTGTTTGTGAACTACTTATTGGAAGAAGGAAAGATAACTCCTGCTGGTGTGAATAAATAATAGGTGTACTTTTTAGAATTAATTATTTATTTTAATATTCCATTTCATCATCATCACCTTCCTCTTCATCTCCTGTAGGTTCTTCCACAAATTTCTCAAGTTTATGTGTTTTCTTATCATAGTGACAAACTATTGAGGCATTGAATTCAGTCAATTCATGTCCGAAATGTTTCAAAAGTTTTGCTTGTTGAGCAGTAATTGGTTCTCCGAATGTACATAAATTGAATGGTCTTAAAATATTGATTACTTTGTTTTTAACTTCAATTGGTAAACCAAGATTGAGGAGTCGTTCTTCCAAGCTAAATGGCATCCAATCCACTGGGCCAGCTTCAAGTGTAATAGTTTTAGTGGCTACAAATCCAACCTTTGCGTAATCGCTTCGTTTAAAATTGGCAAAGTATTTAGCAACTTCTGCTTTTGGACGATCAGTAATGAACAATGCTCGGGTAGCAGTGAGGAATTTACTGGCATTATGGAGATCATTTTCAACTTCATTTTCTGGTGAGGTTCCCAAAGCGACTCTCATCACTTTATTCTTGGTCATGAAAAATCTATTTGTTTAGATAATATCATCATGAAAATATTAGAAAATATTATTGGTAAATATAATATTCGGTTCGTTCATAAAATTGACAAGAAGAGGTTGGTTAATAAATCATCCGATGACGGTACTTACTTGGATTCATTGAAATCTCTTCTAATTTCTTTAACGTGATTTGTTCTGCAATTAGATAAATCTAAAATGTAAATGTTATTAAATTCTTCGATGGCATTTCGGATTTCCTCTACCAGTTTATTCTTTTGTTCCTTTGTACTACGTTTCTTGGTTTTAGTGAGTGTGATAAGTTTGTCTCTCTTTGCTTTTGGCATTTTGTTATTTTTTTATCAAAATTTTTGTTCCAATTTCAATTTTTTATTTGAATGCCTCAACATTCCACAAGGTTGAATATTGAACACATTTTCTTTTTACCTTTGACAATAATTGAACTGCTTCTGTTTTTAAATTTGAAAAGAATAGAAATATGATACTTGTGATTTACAATGTTTTAATTACAATAAATTATTAAACAAATTGGTAGGCTTGTTCAAATGAGTTTTCAATATCGCTGTCATATTCTTCTCTGAGAGAGTCCAATAAATCAGGATCAATAGGGTAGAAATGAATAGTGCCATCAGAGAGGGCAACAACAGCTTCTCTGTAATAATCTTCAGTTGGATGGGCGAGTGTGATGGATTTAATCTCACTGGAACATGTTTCGAAAGTGTGTAATTCAGATAGATCATACAATCTTCTGATGGTAACTTGTTTCTTCATACCACCACTGATTACATATTTAGAATCAGGTGTTATCTCAATAGATTTCAATCTATCATTAATATCCAAGCTAGTGATATGTCTACCATTAATGGTAAACAAGTGAAGACTGCAATCTGTTTCAGAGTGAATCAATACATGGCCATCAGATGAGATTTTAACAATATTAATTTGATTTCTTAATGGGTGCTCGATTGTTCTAATGTAACTTCCTTCAGTGAGTGTATGTATTAAAACACATCCATCAATATCACCACTTGCAACAATATCCAAATCATTACTAACATCTACACACAATACACTAGCTTCGTGACCATACAAAATACGTAATGGTTGATCTGAGAGGGGATCCTTATTACTGACAACAAGTGGAATAGGGATTGGCAAGTCATCAATAACACTGGCAGCATTTACATTCACGTTGGTAATTAAATCTTTCACTTGATTCTTCAATGCATTACGTTTCAACTTTTTATAGTTGAGTGAGTAGACATTTACAGTTGCATCAGCAGAACCACTGACCAGATATCTTCCATCAGAAGTCATTGATAAGCATGTAATAATATCAGTGTGATGGAAAATACTTTGTTTCACCAAGAGTCTATCAAAGAGTGCAGAGCACTTGATACTCTTATCAAAGTGACCACAACTGAAAATCCACTTTCCATCCTTACTGCAAACAAAGCATGAATTATTTGGAGTAATATCCTTGGCAAATGGAGCACCAACTGTAGCAAATAATGTTGGCTTTTTGATCTTTCCAAGTTGGAATAATTGTCTATTAGAATCAACAACAATGACCTTATCTTCAGATTTGATGTGTTGAACAAACAAGACATCGTTACTAGATGTACTTTGTGCAGAAGCAATACTAGATGAGAATATTGGTACAAATGCATTAGGTTTCCATTCTGGTTTTTGTGTGGATTGTTTGTTGTAACGTTGAGGGTGTGGTTTTTTGAAAAGTTGTGAAGGTGTTTGACCAAAGTTAATGATTTGAGTCTCGATAGCCTTTCTTTGGAGTGGATCTTCAACTGCATCCAAATCTACAGAACCTTCATAGGTGAGGTAGTAGAAGAGATTATGAGCCTTTTCAGCTTCAACACCAGTTTGCTTGTAACCAAATATTAAATCAATCCATTCATGCAAATGATTGGAAACATATTCACTTTCTAAGGCTTCTTTGTTGATTCTGATAAATTCTTCTGGAGTTTTTGCCCAAGGAGGCAAAATAGCATCATCAACAACCTCCTTATTTTGCTTTACACCTAGATTGAGCTTGTTGTTATTTCTCAAAAATTCTGGCAAGTAGAAGAATTCAGGAATTAGTTCCTTAACATCAGAATTAGAGGCCATACAATTTTCCCAAGAGACAGGTAAAGAGTGGAATAATCTGTCTGGTAAATCGAATTGACCACCTTGGAGCTTGATATTATAGCTTGTGAAAGGCTCAAGTCTGAGCAAGAAGAATAATACAACACCAACACTAGAGTAGTGAGAACCATAATGGAATTTTGGAATGGTTTGATCTTGGAAAGCTTCATATCTTTCAAGAATATTCTTCAAACGTTTTTCATTGAGAGCACCAACAGGTTTAGATAAATCTCTATAAATGGATGTATCATTGATATCAATGTGATCTGAGGTATAGTCCTTAATAACCCAAGGGAAAACAGGATATTGAGTAAGGTCATTATAAGTTCTATTGGCGAATGTATTCAGAGCCATGAGGTATTCAAAGTTGGAAATTTCACGATTTTGCCATTTTTGTGTCAATCTTGATTTCTTCAAGAGAGCAGATGGGGTCAATGCATAGGCATGGAATTTAAGGTTTGGAGGACGTTGACCAACCAAGGTCTTGATTACTGCATCAATGTGAGACTTGTCAAAGTTGAAGAAAAATGCTGTTCTATTCAGGAAGAAAATTTCAATACCAGTATATCTGAGGAGATATCTTCTCTTATAAATTTCATAAATCTCATCGATTGGCCATTTTTGATCAAATGCTTCTTTGAGATGTTCAATGGAGACTGTTGTGTTATCCTTTGGTTCAGCATTATCAGCCTCAGCATTGACCATGAAATAGATGTGCTTGTTTGTAATTTCAAAAGTACCCTTGATGGTGTCGAGAGAAATAACCAATTCACAAGGAACAATCAATAGAGTTTCCTCTTCTTCTCTTTCCAAGTAGAGTCCTTCCTTTGGTGTCTTGTTAATGGTTTCCCATTCGCCATCCTCGTTTTCATTTATAACTTCTTCTCCATCTTCAGAGACATAACCTTCATCATCACTTTCACCAAGAGATTGTTCGTTGTGTTCTTCCTCCTCTTTTACTGGTTGGTTCTTGTTTTTCTCACTTCTTGATGTATGAACAAATGATGAGACTAGTTCACTTCTACAGCTCCAATCTTCATCATCATTACTTGGACTATCAACTGTTTTTTGGGAAATAATTCTATCTGATTTAGAGGCAGGTTTCATGATAATTCTCATTCTCATTCTCTTGGAGTTTTCAGTTGGATCGAGGAACATCATGAGATCATCCTTATCTTCGTCTTTAATCCAAACACCAGTTCCAGAGAAGAATTCAACCTCTTGTTTTCTCCATTCGGTGAGTGTAATCTTGGATCTTCTTCTTTGACCATCTCTCCAGTTGTTCATTCTTTGAAGCTCAGAGAAGCAGACGTGAGTCTTGGCATTTTGTGATTCTTGGGTTGCCTTCTTTAATTTTGGAATGTCATTGGATGCATTCTTTTCAATCACTTTGAGAATTTCATTAACTTTTTGTTCCTTCTTCTTTGAAACCTTTTCTTTTTGATTCTTTTCCTCTTCCTTGACTTCTTGATAGACTGAATTGAATGGTGGTGATTGTTTTACACCAAGCCAACCTTCTTCAGATTCCAAACTGAGAATAAATTCTTCTTGGGCAGCGTCTTGTTCAATGCAATTCAAACTTGATTGAAGATATTCCTTGGCCACTGGGGAGGTTAGAATAGTGGCCAATGAACGTTGGTTCTTTCTCAAGATGGCAGTAATGATAGGGATCAAACTATATTGTTTTTCTTCAATCTTGACAAAGAGTTTGGCCAATGTATAGAATACTCTAGCTTGACTCATAATTGTATCCTCACTTTCAGTCTTGAAGGTTGGTTTTGGAACTCTGTTGTGTCTAATATCATTACTAAGAAGAGCTAGCATTCTGATACCGTGTTTGGCTTCTTGAATCTCCTTTTCGTCCAATTCGCACAAAAGGAAGAGTTGCAATCTGAAAAGAACAAAGAAGAGTGATGGTGTTGGAATGTTACTTCTTGCGTTTGTTAAATCGGTAGCAATACTGATAATGGTTTGAAGAATGAATGGATTGGTATTCTTCTTGAAACCGTCATGATGCAACAATTCCATAGCCTTTGGATCCTTGATAGACATTTTGATAATATAGTCAAAACCTTGCATGAGATATTTGATTATGTAGAGTTTTTCATTGTGACGGTTGTCTAGTTTGATAATAACACTTGAAGCATCTGGAATTTCTTGCTTACTGTCTGTTGTGAGAACAAATTGTTCGACAGCTAAAGTAATTCTAAAGAGGTTTCTCCAAAACTCTAAATCCTTATTGAATTGAGTGTTGTTAATTTGGTTAATAACAAATGGTAAGAATCTCTTCAGGAAGATAATAAATGCTGAGGTTCTATCAATTTCCTTTCTATCGCAAATAATTTCAATTTGGTAGAAGGTTTCCTTCAATTGCTTGTAACCATTGGTAAGATTCAAATGTTCTGACAATACAATAGAAATAGTGTCGATAGCGCTTTCAAATAGAGAGTATGCCTTATCAGGTGCAGATCCAGATTCTGGAATAGCAAGAGACAAGATCCAATTTTGCCAACCAAACTGTTGTCCAAACATTACTCTATTGTGAGGATTTGATTTAAGGAGCATGTTAAAATCTGATAGAGCCTTTTCCTTTGTACTCAGAGACTTGTTAGAAGTCAAATTAAAGAATGTTCCCAAGAGATCTGGTAAAAGTATTCTTGTTCCTCCTTTGGAAATGTCTGTTGATATTATACTATTGATATTGAAACTAATCTTACACAAAATAATTTCTAACAAGGCAGTGTAAGTTTCTTCATCAAAGGTATTCTCGTTAAGTAATAAATGTTCGATAAGTAAAATGTATCCAAGGTTCTTAAACTTGAGTCTTTTTTCAGAATTTGATCTTTCCATAATTTTACCAATAAGTTTCAGAGAGAAGATACGAATCTTCTTCTTACTATTGGTTAACATGTGAAGGAGTGGAAGCATTACCTTCTCTTCAGAAAGACTGTCAATAATATTTGGAATTTCCTCATCAATTAATACTAAAACCCATTTGAGAGTTTCGACAACTTGTTTCTCATCAGAGCAGTCAACAATACATGACACAATTGCCTCTGCTTCAGTCTTGCTTATACCTGATCTAATCATGAGTTTGATAATTTCTGTCAGTTGAAGTCTAAGAGCATAAATTTCTTCTTCCTTTGGTCTAACTGTTGGTTGATAAATTCTTTCAGGTTCCTTCTCAGGTTTATACCAGAAGAAATATCTCATAACGTCCAAAATGAATTGAACTCCAACAATTTCATGGAAATATTCTGGATTTCTGGATACTTCTTCATAGAGGAAATGTAACATGTTGCTATGAATGTCAAAATCAACAGATACCCACAACTCGAAACTCAAAAACAATTGAAGGAAAATTTCTCTAATGATTGGATCTTTTGGATCTCCAGCGCATTCAATAAGTCCTTGGAGGGCTTTAAGAGTATCATGATTAATGTGTTCTGGAGGAATTTGACCAAGAATATGGCCAAGTGTACTTAGACTGTTCTTTTGTATCATATCTTGTTGATTTTTCTTATTATGTCTCAACATTTCAGTAATAAGAGAAACAGTTCTAGCACACATGGAATAATCGACAGTCCAGTCTTTTCTCAATAAACTAAACAGTGGGAAGAGTACTTCAACACCACCAATACAGTTCAATGTATCCTTGACTGGGTGAGTAACAAAAATGGATGTGCCTTGCAAGAGTCTTGCATCAGTTGAATAACCTTTCTTTGTACCTGAGTTATCAGGGCACTTGTAATCTTTTGTACATGATCGAGGATTATACAGACAAACCAATCTTTGGGAATATGAATCAGCTCCAGTCCAATCGAAATACCTTGGTTGAGAATCTCCCTTCTTGAATGTATATTGGAAATCTGGACCAGACCAGTAGATTTTTTGAATTTCTTGAAGAGTGAAGAATTTGTCAAATATTGCTATTGGTCCAGCTTGACCACAAAATGAAAGCACTCTTGGTTGTTTGTTATCTGCAGGAATATTTGTACAAAAGTGAGCGAATGAAACTTGACCACTGATTGGTGGATATTTCAGTTCTGATATTTGTTTTTGTTCTCCATCAACAAAGAGCACAATATCACTCTTCATCAAGAACTTTTTGTTTTGACTGAATGAAACAAAGTACCATCTATTTGTGTGGAAAAAGTGATCGAAAGTAATATTTTGTTGTTTTTTGCCACCAGATACAACCTGAACACAAATATGATTTCCTTTGAAGAAGAATTCCAAACCATTCAACTTTTTATCAAAAAAGCTGAAAAATCTATAGCAGTTTGATTTGGTGGTTCTTTCAATTCTTAACCAACAACTAAATGTATATCCATTGGAGGGAAACATTAAATTGTCAGCAACTAGACCACAATCAATTCCATCAAAACTGAAAAATGATGAAGGAGAATCATATCTTGACATCTTTCTAATTACTTCCAAAATCAAAGGTGACAAATCTTTATCCAAAGAATAGCCATCAGAGTCTTCATCTACAGTATTTTTTGAATCACTAATCTTTGTTCTCATCAATTTTATCAATGTCTTTAATTCTCTAGCAGACACACTAAAACTTCCAACAATACCAACCAAATAAATTAATTTTTGAATGACATTTAGACTAAACTTTGAATGTTTCGAAAGTAAATTATTAATCGTTTGTACTAATCCAACTGATGCAGCAACGCTATTATCAATTGTGCATTCCTCCAAGAGAACAATAAAAATATCTAGTATTTCAATTTGGATTTCTTCGGCAAGATATGGAAGTAATGTAAATATGACTGTTATGGTTTTTGGTGATTGGAAAATAAAGTTAGTTTGTGAATCGAAACGTGCTGTTGATCCGACAAGCTATTAATGTTATGTTATAAAAAACAAATAATTCATCATCACCAATTACAATTAATATATAGAGTATATTTTAGATTCATCAAATAAATACATACTGTATCTAATAAACAATCCATCAATAATTTCATAGATTTTCTATCACTTCCAAAAACTTTAACCAATTCCGCAATTCTATTCTCCTCCTGTTCAGTCATGACTGATCCTGATGATGAATACATTAATAATTGTCTCAAAATATCATGTTGTTGCGTAGATAGATGAATCAAAGCAGGTTGATTTGACTTGGGTTCCTCTCTTTGGACAAAGTGTTGTTGTTGTTGCTGTTGTGCCACAACATTATTTCCGGCACGATTGGATGCAGTAGATTGTTGTTGATTACTACTTCCGCCTCCAAAGAAAGAGAACATTTTTTATTGTTGTGATGTGCTGGAAAATCTTTTTTAAAATCCGAATAGCCAACAACGGTTATCAACCAAAGAACGACACTATCCAATAACATTCCAACACTATTAGAATAGTTTCGTTTTCAAAGAGAAGAGGATCCGATGAAAGTAAATTGAGAATTAGAAATAATAAAATTTTTGAGCTTTATTGAGATATCAAGGTCAAGTGAGGATAACTTTGCAAATTGAATTTGAGAGGGGAAATGTTGGGACAATCTGAAAGAGTTAATATTTTCACATTTGGAGCACATTGTAGGAATCTTTCGAGTAGCTGATCATTAATTTGAATACTATGGGATAAATCTAAATGAGTTAATTTTTCAAATTTGTTGGCAAATGACTTTTGGTTGATTTTCTGTATCTTTAAACTCTTCAAATTTGGACAATCTATTGTACATTCCACAGAGGTATCTCCTAACACTGTCAATTCTTCCAAATGTTCAGATCGAACAGCATCATCATGGAGGAAATTCACTTGCACTTCTCTCAATTTAGGGAAGAATGGGAAAATATTTCCCAAATCATATTTTACATTATGCAAATGCAAGAGGGTTAGATTAGGTAAAAAGTTTCTAATATTTTCAAAATTAGCACAACAATATGGCTCTATAATTAAATTTTCAATAGATTCCATTTGTTTGGTAAACTTTTCATCAAAATAGCTCATAATTTTAAGTGTCCTAAGTTGGGTACATCTCTCCATAAACTTTTCAAAATTAAAGGCATGAACTCGATTAATACTAAGATAGGTCAATGAATCTGTCAACTTTTTACAATTAAAATCCAGAGTTAATGAGGGTGGATTCGTTTCAAAGTCAATCTCTACATGACTCAATTCGGAAGATTCAGTTGTCAACTCAATACTTGATAATCCTGTACATTCTAACAACTTTAAAATCTGTAAATTTGCTAATTTCTCCATGAAAAATCTATAAGTTTCGTCATTCAACTTGCATTTGAACAAGTCTAATACTGTTATATTGGAAAATGTTGCCGACATATCTTCCTCAATACATCTCTGCAGAACAGTATCTCTTCTATATTCTTCTCTCACACTTTCAATCTTGTTTTCAATTGTATCTTGAGCATTTGCATTGTCAGATGTTGCTGTCGATTTACTTCTTTTAAAAATTGAGAATATTGACTTTCGTTTTGTAGTTTTTGGTTGTTCTAGAGTGGCATTGATGGCTCTAATACGTTTGGTCAATCTTCCCTTTAGTAATGTACATTCGGATAGTTTCAACTCGTTCAATTCTTTCAAATTATAAATCATGTAATAAATCAATTCAAATGAAAATCCATCTCGGAGTTGATCCAATTCCACTCTTTTCAATTTTTCGAACAAGATAACAGAAGATAACTTTTCAATCTCTTCAATCATTAAATTTTCTTCGAATAATTCTCTCAACAAGTTTGTATTTGAAAGTTGTTGTGCCGACTGACTACTTCCAGTACTACTGCTACTATTATTACTTGTTGGTGAAGAGGGTGGTTGTAGGAAGGGTTGGAAATATTCACTTTCATCAACACTCAACGAAGAGGAGTTAATTTTCAATTCGTGTATCATTCCGACCAGAGATTCAAACCACTGCTTACAAACTAAAAGGGTTGAATTTTGCAAATGTTCTCTAAAGGAGAGAAATTTGAAAATGTGCACAAGAGTTTCAGGCTGGAGTGGATGATGCCTATTTACACTACTCTTTTCCATAATGAACGAAGAGGTGAATTCTTCCTCGGCTTGTCCAATTGGTTTCAGCTGTATTTCTTCTTCATTATGGTTGGGATGTGTTGTTGGATACTGTCCATTGGCCATATCACCACGAGTTGCTGCTGTTGTATTTGTTGAAGAAGGTTGTTCAAATATTATGGGAAAGGAGTGTTGCTGTTGTTGTTAATGATCATTACAGGTTGTTTCGAAGTCATCATGATGGTTTTGTTTTTTACGATTGTATGATGGGAAAGTTTGATGTCAATTTTCAACCTCTTGAGAGAATTGAGTTTCCACTAATGATACTCTCCTTCCATAAGAAAGGTGCGAAGAGCAACATAGTGACTGATACTTCCAAATGGATCAAAACATTTTCATAAGGTAACTTGTTGGGGATAATTGATGCAAATGGTTGAGCATCTATTAATTATGAATTTAAAATTATTTATTCGAAATATGTAGGCACACTATGTTTTTACAATCTCTTAGATTGATTGGCAAATAACCATGGTTGTAAGAATACACTCACTAACCCAGCTAAACTAATACCAATGGCATCAGAAACTGAAACAACACTCATGGAAAATTCTCTTTCCCTCACTGGTACTTCTGTAGAGATGCAATAATAGGTATTGACATAGGTGGCTCCTCCTAAAAATCCTTCAAACAAAATGAAACAGAATGTGAAGAAAATTACTGGAACAAATCTAAAGTAAGCATCCAAGAATAAAAAGATGAATAGACAACATTGTAAAACTGCTGGGACCCACAAACGTTTGATTGGGAAAATATCTGCATGATGAATGCGGTGTTATCACAACAATGATGATAAATATACTTACTGACAGATGATCTAGAAATGAATACACCGGCTGTGTTTGATTCGATTTTTGTGATAATAGTTGATCATTCCAAATATGAAATTCAATAAAAGAAATTACTTACTCTGATATAAGAATTGATAATAAACGTAATCATCCTTCTTTGGAATTAATTCTTTTCTGAATGTTAAATTTGGAGAAACACCTTGATTGATTGCATATTCTGCAAAGTAAACAGTGGTCAATGGAAGCATATATTTCAAAGCAAGAGGCTGTATGTTAATAATAATATTAAATGAAATTGAAATAAGCAAATCAAACTTTGAAATACTTACCAAAACAAGTTTGATTTTTTCCTTCATTGTTAATGGATTTGTTGGAGTGGAAGATTCCTTAACCATACCTCTTCCTCTCGAGCAGAAACCAGCAGCATAGTGAGATCCACTCATAATTAAAAATGTGGCCAATAGCATGAGTAATGGCAATGGTGTAATAATGGACAGGGAAATACTTGGACTCAGATTTAACCAACCCTTAAGAGCCAAGTATGAAAGAGCACCAAAAATACCAGCACCTCCAGTTCCTATAAATGAATTACATAATGAAACCAATTTCCATATTAATAATATTTGAATTAGAAATTATATAAAATTATATAAATTATTAGAATATAAAATAATGAACTTTTTGCAAAAATCTTACCTGAAGACCAAGCAGAAATGGTATTCTTATGATAATATGAAGACATGGCCAAGAAGGTAATTTCACCACCACCAGAAGAAAGAGATGCCAACACTACACCCACCAACTTTAAATAAATATTATCAAACCAAGCAACCATTTGGAAACTGGCCAAAGCCAACAAGACAGCCAAACCAACACGAATATTATATGGAATGGCATGCATAAAGAACGGAGCAAGAGCTTTCAAAAACAGTGTTGGTAAAATATCGGCCAACAAGACAATACCAGATTGTCCATGAATTAAATCCTCTACAATAAAATCAATAGATTATTATTCGAAAGTGAAATGATATTTTCCATCATTAACATCAAAATTCATCCGATTATTAATAATGTTTCCAATATTGTTAATATTATTATTTAACACGTACCAGCTGCTGATAACATAATCACATAACTGTAATTATTTAATAATCCACAAATGAAGAAGGCAATAAGATCTCTCGTCTTGGCACCTTCCTTCTTTTTCTTTCCTCCTTCATCGGCAGCATCCACTAATTTATCACCATCTTGACTATTCACTGTACTGATTTTTTCAATGAAAATTTGTTGTTGCTGTTGTTGTTCCTCGGCATCATCATTTAAAAGCCTCAATTTTGAATGATTGAAATGTTGTTGTTGCTCCTCATCATGATGTTGATCCAATAATTGTTTATCCCCATAGATTGCCCCATACGAATTATTGTTGAATTTAATTGGATTTTCCTCCATTTTCCTCTTTCCGATGATGAGATTGGGGGAGAGTTTGATTGAACGTTTTTTTAAAGATTTCAATTAAAATTGTTTAACAGATATTTGGGTGGACCTCAGAACTGGAAAGCATCACAGGTTCAAAGAGGAGATTGGTAATTTAACATGGTGTTATCATACTTTCTATTACAAAAATTCAGTTTCAACTTTAAGCCTTACATTTTATTGGAATTAGACCAAGTAACTAGTTAGAGTGATTCTTCTTCATTATTAAAAGCAGCGTCCATTGATGACAATCCAAGCATTGACATGGCTCTGGAAACGTCATCACCTCTTTCCTTGAATAAACATTCAAATCCAGACTCGGCAACTGTAACCAAGACGATAGTATTTGATTTGATATCTTCAGGAATATCATTTTCAAATACATCCTTAATCAATTCAGCAGTAGCAGAATTACTAGTCCAAACATGGAGAATTTGCTTCTTCATATTACAATTCAAAACTCCCTTTGTTGAACTAATGACTCCCTCAAGTTTCTTCTTTAAAAGGTGCTTGATTGAGCTTCTAGAAACTGTTGAACTAAGGTCCAAGAAATTGAAACATCTTGTAACAGAACATCCAATGAAAACACTTTCCTTTGTGAGGTTATTTTCAATTTTAAGAGCAAAATCAGTAATTTTGCTTCCCTCAGCATAGGTCAATTCCATTTCTGTTTTAAAGAGTGAAACTGTAACATTGGATTTGCTAAAAAGTTGTTTGATAAATTCAAAAGATAAAACTTCAGAAAATACAGAATTTCCTCCGGCATTACTGACACAGAGTAATCTCTTTGAATCTAATGAGAGTTCACAACCCTTGAATAAATCACAGAACTGAGCAGCATTATCACTACTCGAAGAATTGACGACACCATTCGATTTCCATTCAGTAAGTAAACATAAATGTCCAGAACTTTCAGAAAATACATTTTCAACAAGTGAATCACTCAAAGTTGTGTCAGAACTTTTGAGTGAGCAATTGATAGATTCACTGTCAAAGGTGCTGCCTGACGAACTAGACAGTTCTGAAGCCACGACAGCACAAGTAGTTCGGGCAAGTAGAGAAACAGATTCCCTCGTTCGGGCATTGGTTCGGGCTAGCTTGAAGACTCAATAAGCACGAGTCACTAGAGGTGGTTGATGGAGTGGTAGTAGAGGTCATTTGGTTGGGGTTTTAGATCAGTGGTTTTAAGAGCAATCTCTTTTGCGATAGAATAAATTTTTTTCTTGTTGTTTTTGAAAATGTGTGTCCACACTACCAGATAAAATAGATCTATTTTTAAAAAGTATGTTGTTTATTTTTAGAGTAAGTTCGTATGTACATGCATACGGAAGAATTTCCGAGAAAATATCGAGAGAGTTTACAAAAAACAAGTTGCAATTTTTAATCTCAAACGAGAAATTTCTAGTTTCAAACAACTTGATTAAACCTCCAATTCCTTAATATATTACATGATTGGATCATTGACGGCTACGGCCATATCACGATGAATGCACCTCATCCCGTCCGATTTGAGAAGTTAAGCATCGTAGAGCCACATCAGTACTGAGGTTGGAGACAACTTGGGAACCTGTGGTGCTGTAGTCTTTTTTGCATTCTAAATTCCAGTGTGGCACCAATATGCTTGAAACTTTAAATGATTTATTTGACTATTGAAAAGTAGTAACATTCATGTTCTGAAAAAGAAGTTTGTATTAGTGCCTTTACAATAAGCATATTTAAATAAATAATACTCTTATTATGTAATTCAGAGTTTCTTCTTCTAAACTTAGAACATTGCAGAACTTTGTAAAAAAATGCAAGACGATTGTTCAGAGTGTTGTGTGATCATTTCTCTAATTGATCACAATCCTTCCCTACAGCAGCACGATACCCTGTTCGACAAATTAAAAATTCATATGAGAAGTTATCGGAATAGTGTACCATTTTCAATGAAGTTTGAAGAGATTAATAATATCATGTCGATGGAACATAAATTTCACTATCCTTCCCATGCCAAGGTTTCTCACTCACACAATTGTTTGTGTATCTCTGATGATTCAAATTCTGAAGTGAAATTTTTTGATTTGACTACTCATGAATATTTAGGAGCCTTTTTTGTTGAAGGAGGAGTGACTGGCTTGTTAATTGAAGAGAATTTTGATCATCAACAAAATGATGCTATTTATTTTGGAGAGCATATGTATACTTTTAAATATAGAGTGAAGGATTTAATGAGATTAGGATCAAGTGCTGATTGTATTTGGAAAATTGAAAGAAATCATTTGTATGGAATGGCAATTAGAACGATTGGAAATCAGAAACAATTATTCAGATTTAGTGCTTCCCAAGGAGCTATGGATATAATAGATACTGTGAATGGAAAGGTCATTAAGGAGTTGAAGCTTGAAAAAATCAAAACAGTGACGGATATTGTTTTCATCAATCCAAAAAGAATGCTTGTTGCTGAACTTTTTCATAATACATGCTTTATTTATGATGAAATGAACGAAAATGAATGGATATTGATACATACAATTGAAGACGCAGAGAATATTCATTTTAGTCAACCATTAGGATTGACGATTGACAGAAAAGGAGGGAAAATATTTCTTTCAGATTATGACAATCAGAGAATTGTTGTATTTAATGAGAGTTTAGATTTGCTTTCTTGTCATTATCCAGAATCTCTGAATCCATATGGTCTTGATTTTGATGAAAGAACAGGATTACTCTACATTACTGATCAACAAGCTTACTCCATTAGAATATTTAAATAGATATGCCAATTATTGTACCAGTTTCTTTATGGTACTTGTTCAATATGCAAACATTCTTCGCTCCACAACAAACAGAATAAATAGTAATTTGCTTACTTTGGTTTGGTTTCAGTCAGCCACCTAACTCTTTAAATTAATTGAAAATCATTGCTGATGTAGAAAGATTTCTCTCAAATATAATCAAAGGAATTACTTGATAGTCTGAATGAATATGAACATGGAACCCATCTGTTTCCTATAATACAAACTCATTATAATATTGGATCTTTGGACTGATGGCATTCCATTTTGTTGCAACAATCCATTGTCAAATTCTGAAATTTGAAATTTGTGAAATCTGATCAGAATTTGGTTTAAAGTAGCCATTAATCTTGTCAACTAGTATACAGTTAGTGTCACGAAAAAAACGATAAATAAACCTAAATTTATAGTTTGAATGGCTACGGCCATATCACGATGAATGCACCTCATCCCGTCCGATTTGAGAAGTTAAGCATCGTCGAGCCACATCAGTACTGAGGTTGGAGACAACTTGGGAACCTGTGGTGCTGTAGTCTTTTATATTTTTGTCTTTTTGTGGTTTTTAGCTCATAGAACTGGTAATACCATCAAAAGAAAAGCTAACCAAGTCTGTCTTTGTCAATGATTGAAAGCGAGTGAATCTAAACTCTGTGGATTGGGTGTTGAATAACAGCAGTCTTTTATTCTTGCTTTATCTTTCTTTTATTGGAAATGACAATGTTTTCCTTTCAATGAGTTCTGTTTTTGAAAAATAGCATAAGGCTTACCAATATTTCTAATTATTAAGATAAACAGTTTATTAATCAAATTGTAACTTTTCAATTTCCTTGTTGAAATTGTCATTTTCTGTTTCTTTAACGACAACATTAGTACTTTCTAATTTTGAACTCTTTAGCATTCTGCTTCTCAAAATTTCCATTTGATTTCTTAATTGTAATTCTTCTCTTTTATTTCTGAGTATTTCAATTTTCACCATTTTAGCTTTGATCAAGCTTTTGAAATGTTTCGAATATTTTTCATGTGGACTGGAACTTTGATCAGTAGGCAAGGTTTTAATTTGATTAATTAAATCAGGATCAATTTTTCTTGCATAATTCACAGCTAATTCTTTCCAATAGTATTCACTTTCGTCCAATTGTTGACTAGTGGCCTTGTTCAAGGAATGAAGCTTTGTGAGGTGTTTTACGGACAGAAAAGTGAATATCTCCAACTGCAATGGTTGTGGTAAATTATTCCAGTGAGAATCTGTGGCCATTTTTTTGATCAAAACATTTGACCATTCAAAATTGGTAAATTTCGAAAGTGAAAAATGTGTTGACCTAGATTTTATTGAGTTCAATAATGGCCTCTTCAAGATGAAAGACAGAAGTAAAGTGGGTTCTTCCCTTCAGAACAACCATTTTGACTTTTGAATCCTGATCCAAACCAGCATTAATTGCTGCCTGGGAGATTTTCTTAAAGTAATGCTTGGGATTGTTGGGAGCAATCATTGAATCCAATTCTGCCATTGTGATGGTAACTCTTCCAGAAACTTTTGCAATTTCATCAAGTTCGATACCCCAACTAGCCTTCAATAGAGTTGCAGATGATCTCTTCATCCCAATTCTTGTCCACTGAATGGATCTTTTCAATTCTTCAATCAATTGTGTACCTTCAGGAGCATCCTTAACTTCTGCAAACTCCTTAGGATACATACTCTCAAAGGTTTTGGTAGGGTCTTCTAGGAGTGATGGTAATAAAATTAAATCAACCAACAAGTCATTAGTGAGTGGGCTCATTAACATTTCAAAAGCAATTCTATTTAGCATTGTTAAATTTCCAAATGGCTCATTCTCATCATCCCTCTTTCCAAATGGTACAAACAAGTTGACATTATGGACATGCTTATTGAGATAGGCTGCAACACCACCTGCATAAGGCCCTCCCATGGATACCCCAATGACATTAAACTTTTCAATTTTCAATTCATCAATCATGAGCTGTTTCATTAATGTTGCAAACTCGGAAACTGTCACTGCATCTGATGATAAACTCAATCCCCAGCCTTGAATCGTTGGAGCAATCAAACAAATTCCATTCCTCATTGCCATTTCATGATGTGGTTTAAAAAGTGATCCAGTACATCCATTTCCGTGCACCATCAATGTAAATGATTTTGTTGTGCAATTCTGTTCTGCAGAACAACATCCATACATGAAATATTCCATAATTTTAACTTGTTTTTCCTTGATTAGTGTGTGATCGGAAACTCTCATTGATTTTCCACCACCTTCGACAATCCACTTTTCCACAATTTCAAGTGGTGTATTTAATAAATTTCTCTCCTTCTCCTGTTCAATGTTGTATTGTTTGATAATCATCCCAACTAGGAGAGACATCAACACAACAAGTAAAGTCATCACGACAAGCCAAATACGCATTTTTTTTATTTTGTTTGCTTTATTAGCAATCCTTTTTGGAATAGTTACGTAAATAGTTATTTACAGATGGTTGACTAAGGAAAGATTGTAATAATGAGTTGAATTTCATAACATTTCCATTATTCTTAATGTAATATTCGTGGAAATTGATAAAAACATAATTATAGAGCTCTTGGAGGATTGACTCGGTCATTTGCTGGTGATGAGCAGAATCCATTTCAAAATTGAGAGTGTAGAAAATATCAGTTATTTGATGGCCTCTAATCATATCCACAATAAGACCAGAAATATTGATACCAGAGATTGCAAAAGGATACCAAATAGATTCCTCCTCACAATCCATTAAAATATTTTGAGCATCTTTGGTATTGCTTTTTGCGAACTCTAATAAGTTTTGTAATCCCAAAATTCCCATTCCTCTAAAGTCAGTTCTGTAAAATTTAAGGAAAATAAGTTATTGAGAAATAAAATAAACATACTGAGGATGAAGTCCTTGGAATCCAACATGTTTCCAATCCTTGGAGGTCAATTCCTCACGATCTTCCATAAAAGTCAATTCTTGATTTGGTCTAAGTGTCTTCCAAAATTCAAGAAGCATTTCCTTATGTTTTTCATTTGAGAGCTCGAATGGTGTTCTTGCCAAAGAATCCAAATGAACAATGCTCTGATTCAAATTAATCATGTGTCTCAGACAAGTTTTGCAAATTTTCTTTGAGTGTTCATCCACAAATGATTTCTTTTTAATTTTAATGAGTTTCCCAAAAACTTCATCAACATCCGTATACTTTGTACTCAAATAATTGAATGTTGTATTATTTTCCTTGTTTGTATTTTCCTCCAATAGTGTGGCTAATTGTTTAGAATTTGTAAAACTTTGTTCTATTAATTTTCCATAATAATAATAATTTAAATATTATTAAATTTCAATAAATTAAAATCATTACACAATTTCAATAAAAAAACTCACCAAATTGCTTTGTAACTGGGATATAATGATCAGCAGCAATACTTCCACTCACTCTAGCACTACAAATTCTCTCCAACTCACACTTTCCAGTAATAATCCTCATCACAAACTTGACAATACTATGATATTTTGAAGGAAAGAACCTAATTCATGAATCGGACTAGATTCCTCACAAATACTACATACCTCCACAAGAAAGAGACAACCATACTCCAAATAGAACTGGATGACGATGATGTCAATGATAAAGACGAGCGAGCTAGCACAGCAGATGATTTCATTTTTTTCTTATCTTTATTTGTAATGGTTGTATTTGGGTGATGAAATTTTCATACAAAAAACTCTCTACTCCATTGCTTGAATTTATTTGTTTTTGAATTATTGATGAAAATATGAGGATTTTGATCGGATGGCTTTGATTGGATGAATTGATTGATTAGGGCACAAATCAAGAATAGAAGAAAAAAATGATTAGACAAGCAGCATCATCATTGCTTTCAAAGAGTGTTGTTGTTACGAGTAAAAATTCTGTTCTCATCAGCAGATCATCATCAAATCAAGTATTATTATTATTAACAAAGAGAAGCTTCGGAACTCAATGTTCAACTAATTTGTTGGCTTCTAATGGTCGTAAGATTGATGTTTTCCCAGCCATTTCTAGTACACCATTTCCAGAGCATGTTGCCTCTATTTTGAGAGCACCTTTGCAAGATGTGGATATTGAAGTTTTACCTGAAGGGAGTTTGTTTTTACCAGAAATTAAGGTGGGTTTATTTTCATGATTATCATGATTAATTCGAATAGTATAGAAGAATTCTCAATAAGGCCTTTTTGCCTGGAGGATGGTGTTTAGTTCCACTCAATGATTATCAAATTTTGGATAGTGGTATAATAATTCAAGAGTATGCCTTGTTCTGTAGAGGTCAATTTGTTTCTCAAACATTTGGTGAACAAACTTATGAGGCAGGATCATTTAAGAGTATTGGAAGTGCTTTGGAAGGTTGTAAATCAAATGCTCTCATGAGATGTTGTAAAGATTTGGGAATTGGTAAGTTTTTTCTTTAGAGAATATAGTGTGGAAATATATTGAACTGATTGAATAATAATTCGAATTTTCAGCCTCTGAATTGTGGGATCCAAACTTTATCAATGAATGGAAGAAGGAAAATGTTCTTGCTGTATTGTGTGAAAATGCCAAAACGAAAGCCAATAAGGTTCTCTATCGTCGTAAAGATAGACCAACATTCCAATATCCTTGGACTGAAAAGAGTATTATTAAAAAGTAAATAATCTACCCATTAAATGATCTATTTAATTTGAAATTCCAATCGCTATTGTTGCAACAACAATTCATTGCAAATCCTACTCTTTGATGATATGGTGTTAACTAATTGGTGTTGGAAACCCAAAGTTCAATCCTCAATGATCTTCCTTAAGAACCGTTTTTGAAATATTGGGCGTTCCTAAGAATTCACCACAATTTACTGTAGCGTTCTTTTTAAAAATCCTCTTGCTTGGATGCCCAGACAAGCTTGATTGTTCGAAGAAGAAAAAAATGGCCAATTCAAAGGGTCGCCCTATTGTCTCACTAACTACTTCAAATACATTCACACACAAAACATGGAGGTACATTGCTACCATTGTGTTAGTGTTGTTAGCATTCTTGAGTATTAGCTCTTCTCTCGCAGTGGAAGGAAAAAAAGTACTGGAATTAATTGGACACAGAGGAGCTCCAAATTTAAGACCTGAGCATAGTTATGAATCCTATTTATTAGCCTATCAACAAGGTGCTGATTATATTGAATTTGATGTCATGCCATCCAAAGATGGTGTTTTAATGGTTTCACATAGTAATGAGCTTTCGGGTAAGTTCAATAATTACAATAGAATTACTTGCCAATTTAAAAAGAAATAACCAACGTTGCTCATGTTTCAAAGTTTGCCAGTAAAAAGACAACCAAAGTAGTTGACTTTAAAACCTATAAGGGATGGTTTATGGAAGATTTCACACTCTCAGAATTATACGAATTACGTTTGAGACAAAGATATCCCAAACCAAGAGGAACCAAATTTGACAATCTCTTTCAAATGCTGACATTGGAAGAGGCAATGGACTACATTCTTGCCCTCACTCCTGTCAATGGAACCACTATCAAACTCTACATTGAAACAAAACATCCAACATACTTTAAACAGGTGTTAAATGTTGATGTGAATCAAATGTTGGTCGATGTTTTGACCAAGTACAACTATTTGGAGCATACCATGTTTGAATCGTTTGAGATTTCGAGTATGGCTGCAATGAAAAACATACTTTCACAGAGAAATATTGCACCACTCGGTTTTGTTCTCTTGCTATTTTCTAATGAAACAAGACAAGCCGATAATGGAAGATATTATGGAGAGTATTTGACAGAGAGTGGAATTGATTTGGCAAAGAGTATGGGAATAACTGGATTTGGGCCGGCATGGAGTCTGGTTACGAAACCTTGGGTTGATCTGGTCCATCAACGATCCATGATTATTCATCCATATACTTACAGACCTGAAGAATACTTTTTGAAGGATACACCATACATGACCTTTTCAGAATTTATTGGAAGTGCTTTGGAGCTTGGAGTTGATGGAGTTTTCACAGAAGATATTACTCAGACAAGGGAAATTGTAGAGGCATATGAATCTGATAACTCACTCCAAACAATTTTAATCATTGGTGGAGTAATGGCATTGGTTTTGATTATAGTTTTTACTGCCTCATTGTTTGTTGCTTATTTTTGTGGAATGAGAAAGAGTAAGAATTCATCCTCTATTAATATTTATCAACAAGAGGAACAAGTTGGCCTCACAGGGAAACCATCTACTTTCGTTTATCAACAAGAATAATTAGTTCCTCAATTCATATTTAGAGCTAGCTATATTACAAAGTTGTTTGAAATTTTATTACAATAAATTAGAAAAAGTCGTTTGGATCGTCCCACTTATTATTATTGACACTGGGGTATAGATTACTCTTTGCTTTCTGTTCCTTTTCAAATTGAGTAAATGGATCTTCATCCAGATTCACATTACTAAATGTACCTGACGTACGACTTGGTTTGTGTAGACTTGTTGGAGTGGTGGAGACTGGTGTTGGTTGAAGAGGAGTACTGACACTTTGTCTCTTGGTTGGTAAGCTTGGAGGAGGCTTTTCAGGTCTCTTTGGAAGTGGAATATTTGATTTTGGAACATTTGGTGAGGTTGTTGTGGTTGGGGTGGTTGGTTGTGTGAAGGTATTAACATTGGATTGTTGTGGTGCATAGGTTGGCAAGGAACGAGATGGAGGTGGAAGGAAACCTTTCTTTTTAGATTCTTCCTCAAAGGAATTGTATGGTTCTGCTACGAATGATGGAACTTCAGCCTCTTCTCCACCTGAGGAACTATTAAACTTTTGAATTCTTTGTTGTCTGAATTGGTCAATTTGATCTCTGACATATGGTCCAATGTAGGTTGGATAGAGACCTATCATTAATTCACAAGTCTTGTTGATAGCTTGACTGTCCTTGGCCATTCTCATTGGATTGTTATCCATGCTCTTTAAAATATTTACACCAAACACAATCGAAAGGTTAGAAACTGTCATCTTATTTTCACTAGAGTGAGCAGCAACCTTTCCTAAAAAGACCATCAATTTATCCAACAGAGCAATATGTTCGATTGGTAATTGTTTAACCAACTCCAACATTCCATATCCAATTTGGCTCTCATCTTGTCTATGAATTAAACTGAGGAAGGAATCATACCTTTCATAGGTCAATAATGGTTCTGGTAATTCTCTCAAGAACATTTTAAGGAGACCAGCAACAACGTGAATATCTTTGAATTCCTTATTGGTGATCATTGCTTGCAAGTCGAGATGTTTCTTACCATTGTCGTACATCTTTTTAACATAACTCATACCAACAACTTCACCAGCCAATCTGAAAATACCTTCCATAGTTAGACCATTCTTTTCAACATAATCAAAGAGATCAATACACATGTTTGGAACAACATCACGATTCAATTCTCTTTCTCTCTTCATGAGGGCTGTAAGAGCAACACCAAATACTTGTTTGTTTTCCTTTGGCTTTTTTGGCTTTGGTTGTTGATAGACTTGTTGTTGACTGGCCACATTGTCCTTATAGTTAGTAATATCATTTACATCATAGTTACGCATGGCAGTTCTTGATTTACCAGTAATTAAATGGCTTGCCAATTCATCCAATGCTTGGGAACCAGCAATGAAATATGTTCTATAAACTGAAATAAATTGACGAATAGCATTCAAATATTGATAATCTCTCAATTCTTCTTGGTACTGCATTTCCTTCATAATATTCTCGTGAACTTGAGCTGCTACCTTTTTCTTTTCTTCAGCATCCTTCTCTGCATTCTTAACCTTGACGAGATCATTTGACTTTTGTTTAAGAGTATTGTAACGAGTTTCATCGACATTGTGTTCAACAACTGCTTCTCTATAGTATTCCTTGAGATTTTTACAAGTATCACCTTCTTCCATTGATTCATGAATTTTACTCAGTAAGATACTGGAAACATCGTTATTCATATTGCTTCTGAGTTCAGCCAAAACTTCCAAACAACATCCCAATTGATCAAACATGTTAAACATTTTGTTAACTTCAAGATTTGTATAGTAGGTCTTTGGAGGTGCAAATGATTCACCAGAAACATAATCCATTTTCAAGGTGGCTGCATATTCTTTGAATTGAGTTGCAATACCCAATTCGTCTTCAGAGTGAATTTGAGATGACTTGGTGAACTTTCTCAAAAGTTTATCCATTTCTTTGTAATGACCTTGTGTATCTTTGAAAACTTGATTGTTACGAACAAAATCGTCTGGATATTCAATTTCTTCTGCCTTTCCGATAGTTTTCATGATTTTATGTTTACCTGTTGAAATTGAAACAATTTAAATTATAAACACTAAAACATATTACATGAATTACATACCAACAGTTGTTGCCTTCTTCCAAAATGTTCCCATAACATTTGCACCACTATTTGTACTGGTACTCGATGCTGTGGCACTATTATTTTGTGAAGGATTTGAAGAACGAGGTGATGATGGTGAATCATCATTAAATTCATCAGATCCTGCACTGACATTATTATAATTACTACTTCCAGCAGTACCTGTGGTTGGTTTTTTACCAAATATTCCCCTCATGATGATGTTGTTGATCTATTATTATTATTCTTAGCAAGTTGTTGATGATGCTTGATTTTAATATTAAAATATTTGTCGTCGTCTGTCTGCAGTAACACACTGATAATACGGTGGTGATGAGATGGTGATTCTAATTGTATTCAAGACAATAGTGTGATGGTATAATGGAGTGTTCTTCTCTAGTTGTTCGCGCTCTCTGTGTCTTGAGCGTTTTTCTTCTTTGACAAATTTGAGTAAATTTACAGTTGTGTATGAGTTTAAAGAAGACCTTTCGATGGTGGTGTTGTTGTACTTTTGTTGGTTCAGATTTTTGAGTTTCAAATTGTGAACAGCAACAAAAAGATCGCTAATAGAAAACTGATCAGAGGAAAGAGTTGGAAGACTTTTTTTTGTTGATGAAATTTGGATGATAGTGATTGATGATGGATGGTATGAGGAAAGAAGATTCATGCTTGTCTGTTCGTTTAGTATTATTACAACTTTTTATTGTTTGATTCGAATCATTGACATGGCAGTGCTGATTCGATATCATTATTTGAAATGAGATGTGAAAATCAGAGAAAATTCTCATCTCTCTCGAGTTCTAGACAATAAAAAACCTTTACAATGCTCGCAATAACTTGTTGGAATGATGAAGAGATTGAAAAACTTTCTCAATCTCTCCTTTTGGAAAATTAATTTAGTTAAAAAAAATGATGCAACAATCAAAGAGGCTTGTAAAGAACAAACAATTGGCCAATCATCATCTATTTGCTAATGGCTTGATTAATTCATCCACTAATAGTACTATTAGAAAATTTAATAATTGTAAATTTAATCATTCGGAAAAAAAGAAAGAAACACCAAGCACATCAGATGATTATCATCCAAGCTGTAGGTATTTGTTATTAATTGCTTTCCGAAAATTTCTTTTTTTCTTCTTCATCGAATATTTTATAGTGAATGATTTTGTTGCTTTCTGTAAGAGAAGAGGATTTGCCTATCAAGGATCATCACTCTATGGTGGATTGAGTGGTTCTTTTGATTATGGTACTATTGGAGCTCAATTGAAGAAAAATTTGAAGGATCTTTGGTGGAAAGACTTTGTTGAACTTAGAAGGGATTGTGTTGGTATTGATACTCCAATTATTTTACATTCTAAAGTTTGGGAAAAGTCTGGCCACATTGGAAATTTTACTGATCCTATGGTGACATGTTTATCTTGTCACTCTAGATTTGAGTATGTTTTTTATTTATGAATTTAGTTGATTGAGAATTTGTTAGAGTTGAAAATTTGTTAAAAAGACAACAAAATCCAGAAACAAAGCCAACAATCGACAAGATGGAAACTGCAAAAGAAAAAATTGAATGGATGAATCAAAATTCCTCACAAGTTACTTGTCCATGTGAAAAGAAGGCTAACTCTTGGGATAAGATTAGAAACTTTGACATGCTTTTCAAAACCATGTATGGACCAATTGAAAAGGAAGAAAATACTGCCTATTTGAGACCAGAAACAGCTCAAGGTATCTTTATCAACTTTAACAATGTTATTACCACCTCCAGAAAGAGACTTCCACTCGGTGTTGGTCAAATTGGTAAGGCATTCAGAAATGAAATTTCACCAAGAGATTTCATTTTCAGACAACGTGAATTCGAACAAATGGAATTGGAATATTTCTGTCATCCAACTCAATCCTCTGACTATTTCAAATATTGGGTCAACTTTTGTCATGAATGGCTTTTAAAGTATGGCCTCAAGAAGGATAATGTCAGAATTTATACCAAGACTCAAGATTTGGCTCACTACTCTAAGGAAACATCTGATATTGAATACTTATTCCCATTTGGTTGGTCTGAAATTTGGGGTATTGCCAATAGAACTGATTATGATTTGCAAGCTCACGTTCAACCATCAAGTAAGTCTTAATATTTATAATCAGTTTAATAATATCATCTACTCAATTTATTTCCTGCAATTTGATCAATTATTTTCAATCAACTTAACAAATTAAATAGAGAAGGATAAGCACACTTTCGAATATGTTGACCCTCAAACCAATGAAAAGTATGTTCCTCACGTTGTTGAACCATCAGCAGGTGCAGATAGAGTATTATTTGCCTTCCTCTATGATGCTTACAATGTAGAAGAAGTTCCAGGTGAAGAAAAGAGAGTTGTCTTAAAGATTCATCCTGACCTCGCTCCATACAAGTTTGCTGTCTTCCCACTCCAAAAGAAGCCAGTAGAATTAATGAGTAAGGCTGAAGAAATCTACTCTCAACTCGCCTCAGTTGTCTCCACAGATTATGATGTTTCTTCCAGCATTGGAGTATTGTACAGAAGACATGACGAAATTGGTACTCCTTATTGTATCACTATTGACCATCAAACCTTAAAGGATAACACTGTCACTGTTAGAGACAGAGATACCATGAAGCAAATCAGAATGAATATCAACGATATTGTCACCAATCCATTGCACCTCCTCAAGAACAATCCTTTCAATTAATTGTTCCTCTATTGGTATCATTATGATTGGAATCAATTTGATTAAATTTTAATAAATTAAAAAATGTTTAAAAGGACAAAATTTAATATTCTCTCATCACCATGTTCCTCTTCTGTGATGAAGAAACAATTATTGATATTGCTCCGAACAAGTATTCCTTCTTATTGTTATCACCATTCGTCCTTTCCAACATCAACAACCTTCGGATCATCTAAAAATACTCTGGCCAATTTCAAATATTCATCGTGCAAAATCAATCCTGAACATGGGCAACTTTTTCAAAAACATCATCAACACCAACAACAATACCATCATCAAACAAGCAAATTTAATTCCAAAATTAAATCGTCATCACCCCAAGAAAAAATGAACAACAATCATAATTCAACCATCACCAGTACCAACAAGGAAGAACAAGTGTTGGAGGACATACCAATGGGAAGTTCTTTGGTTCCACATTCAAGCCACAATTTTTGGAAATTAGAAAGTATTCATAATCCGGTGTATCATGTTCATGAAGATCACGAAGATCACTTGTATACAGAAGAAAAACATATTTATTTAAAAGAACACAGATTTCATAAAGCTTCCCATGATAAGTATAAACATGCTTTGGAGAAATTACCTGATGGACCACTCACAAAAGAAAATCAACCTAAAATTCATATAACACAAGAGGAGGAAAAGATTTTCTCATTCTTATTGGAAGTAAATAATCATTTCAAGCTGGGAACTACTTTAAGAGTTGCTGGAGGTTGGGTAAGAAACAAATTATTGGGATTGGATGGTGATGATGTGGATATTGCAATTGATAACATGATGGGAGCTGACTTTGCTAATTATGTTTCACAATATGAAAAACTCAAGGGCTTACCTTCCAAGGCTATTGGTATCATCAGTGCCAATCCAGAACAAAGTAAACACTTGGAGACAGCCACTACTCATATTTTTGGTCAATCCATCGACTTTGTAAATTTAAGAAGTGAAGAATATGCTGAAGAATCAAGAATTCCATCAAATATCAAACTTGGAACTCCACTTCAAGATGCTAATAGAAGAGACTTGACTATCAATGCTCTCTTTTATAATTTGAATGAACAAATTATTGAAGATTTTACTGGAAAGGGTATGCATGATATGAAACATAGAATTGTTAGAACTCCACTCCCACCAGTCCAAACATTTTTGGATGATCCATTGAGAGTTTTGAGATCTATCAGATTTGCTTGTTTCTTTGATTTTTTAATTGCTGATGAAATAATGGATGCTGCTCATAACCATGATGTTGATGTTGCACTTGCTGAAAAAGTCAGTAGAGAACGAGTGGGTACAGAACTTTTGAAAATACTCAAGGGACACGATCCAGTTGGTGCCTTTGCCTTGATTGGAGAAATGAAAATCAGGCACATTGTCTTTACCTATTCTACTGGAGACAAGAAGAAGAAGGACCTATTCCCTCGCGAATATATTAATCCAATTCCAATTGAGTGGAAGGACCAATTACAATGGGAAAATTCTCTCTATAGAATGCGTGTCATGATTAAGCTTGCAAAGAAGTATAATCTCTCTTTAGATGAAAGAGTAGAATTATTGCTTGCTGGTTTTCTTTCTCCAATTACAAGTCATGATATGTCGAGAGAGCAAATTGAAGAAATTTGTTACAACTTGATTGTTTCATCTCTGAGATTACCTTTGAAATTGGCAGGAAATGTATCAACAATAATTTACGGAGCTCATTACATTAAGGGTAAAGTATTGGTTTGTGAGGAAAACAAGGCCAGTTTGGATGAACAATTCTTTGCTAATATCATCTCAGAGGATCGGGTATTAGTTGGTAGATGGCTGAAAAATACTGTCAAACACTTGTATGATAAGTCTTTAATGTTATGTAACGTAATCAACACTCAAGGAACTGAATTTACTGAAAAGAGATGTTTCAGAGCTGTCAAGTTCTTAAAAGCTCTCAACGAACAACATGTCAAGTTAATAGAATTGAGTCAATCATCATCCCCACTTAAAGGCAATGAAATTTCAACTGCTCTTGATGTTCCTCCTGGACCAATCATTGCTGAAGTTGGAGAAGATTTGAGTACTTTCATTTTCCAAAATTATCCTCAAATTGTGGATAGAGAACAAGCTTTCGAATGGCTTGCTGAAAATGCTCAAACTTATAAATCAAAAGCAGAACTCAATCCAAAGAAGAAGCAAAAGAAATAAATTTATTACACTTTGCCTACTTCAATCTTCAACATGTCTCTAAATGTTGTGTAAATGGTTTGTTTACCCAAATTCTTGAGAACGAAATATTCCAAAGCCACCATTACCAAAGCAAAAGCAGCTAGAATTACAACGTTAACCAAGAAGAGGAGTCTAGTAAGATAAATGAAGAGACACACTCCCAAGAAACCAATTGGAGGAGCAAAGATAGCAAGGGCTTGATAGAGAGGGAAGAATCGAATAATCTTCTTGGTGAGCTCGGAAGTATCAGTCATACTAAGTTGAGTTTGATCAAAATTGGATACAATGGATTGTCTGGTTTGTTCCTTTACAAATTGACGGTAGAAGGAGAGAGAAACACAACTGAGCATAATAATTGTGGAGAAGAGAGAAATCCATTGGGTATGTGGATCATAGAAATCATTAGAGACAAATTTGATGAAGAAAAGAGTAGAAGCAAGAGCAATAATAGCAACACTTGCAATTGGCCAAACTCTTAAAATGGCTGTCTTTTTCAAACCTTCATAAAGGGAAATTGGTCTCTTTTGGGTCTTCTTATTCTTCATGGTAGACCAAGCTCTCTTCAGTTTAAAGTGAATGGTATTAGTGAGACATGAATTTTCAGGAAGAACTTTAGAAAGGAGCATTGGGAAGAGAGTATTGCTGCATGTAATACCAAAAACGAGAACAAATACTTCAGCAATGAATAATCCAACAAGGGCTGCAGGGAGAACAGAAAATTGAGGAAGTTGGAGAGCATATTCATACCAGTAATAGCTGGCATCAAGAATTGGAATGTTGAGGAATTTCCAAGGTTTGATTGGCAAGTTGTAGTGAATAATTCTGAATTGTTTCTTGAGTCTTTGAATATAAGCATACTTGAAGAAGTAGTACATTGGAACTTCAGTATTCCAAGTGTATGGTATTCTCCAAATATTCTTTGTTTCTCTGTATTTGGTGAGAATGTTTTGTTTTTCTTGTTCGGAAGCAGCTTCATCTAATTCTCTTTCAAGTTCCCATCCCTTAGATTTACGATGGAAATCAAAATACAAATTAATAAATCCTTGTTCACCTCCATCGTAACTCTTGTAGGCAGGACTACCCATCTTATCCATCATATCATCATAGGTTTTAGTACTTGGTTCCAAGACCATGATACCTCCATTGAAAAATTCACTATTTAAGTATTTCCAATATTATTGTTATTAATTCCATGTTATTGTTTTTGAGAAAGTAGAGAATACTTACGTGTTACCCATATCACTTCCAGAACAAACAGGTCCAACACAATTAAAGAGAAGATCAACATTCTTGAATATTATACAATCAGAATCCACAAAAACAAGTCTCTTGTATCCGAATTGATCCAATTTCCAAATGTGAAGTTTGTTGTAGGTATCAATAAATCTTGGTTCTGGGATTTTGGCATTAGGATTATCAATATAGCTAGCAATAAATATGTGAACACGTTTGATGAGTGGATCACTTCTATAAGTTTCAATATTTCGAATAATATCTGCAATACGTTTACCAGTCACTACTAGAACGAGATCATATTTGCCTCCTCTTGCAATGATACTTTTATACATGGCAAGGGCTCCTGAAAGATAGCCCTCCGAGCTAACCAATGTAGCATAGGCGTACTCACTATTATTTGGATTAACTTTACTCTGCACGTTATATTCAGCTTCAAAGCTGGCTTGCTTTGCATCTTTTTCGGTCGATTTTGCTGTTACACTGAAAATTGCCGAAGATACAATGCAAACTACAAGGAGAGTAAGAAGTACGGCAGTGATAACCAAAGAAGTCGACTTCTTTGATGTTTTACTTCTCACCATATTAAAATTGGATGATTGTGAATGGAAGGATTTCAGCATCTTCAAACTACAAAAAAACTGATTCAATAAATAGGAGGATCAGTTATATAAAGGAAGGTGAATAAATAAATTCGGAAAGGTTGTAGCTAGTGTGCTGCTGTTGTTGCGTATTTCAACTATGAAAATGAGAACGCGTTGGTAATTTGTGGAGTTTTTTTTTGAGTGAGTGCTCAAGGTCATCCAACGGATACCAGTTTATGAACAGTTTTGAGTGACGTTCGTGGGTGTTGGAAAAAAAAAGGATGGCGGGAATAGAGAAAACCTTTAATTTCCTTAATTATTCTAATTGGATGAGCAGAGAAACTTGTGGTATTATCTAGTTATCTAATGACATTTCAAAATCCTTTCTATTCAAACAATTATCGTTTTATTGGCTCTGTTAAAAAACTACCATTGTTAAAACTTCTATTGGATAATGATGGTTTTGGATCGAGTGTTGTAAAACTCCTAGAAAGCAGAGAGGTATTGGTGCCAATTGATTGTTGATTATTGGAGAGTAATAGATTCTTATATTTTTCCATCCACATCTCCTTTTCTTTTCTTTCCCTCTTCAGATTCTCTTCCAATTCAAATATTTTCAATTTTAGTTGGTCTAAATCATTCGATATGCTAGTATTAAGATTGATTGTTTTGGTAAGAGAACTTAGATTTGTTGGATTGGTAAGATCTGGTAAGAGTTGTGAGGCTCCTCTAGTTGTTGATGGTTTTGAATCGTCTAGGAGAGAGAATTCACCAAACAAACTTTTGTCATTGGTGCCACCAACTCTTGTTAGAGATTCCATTGTATTGACAGGAGTAAGTAAGCTGGCAGTTAATGACTTGGATTTGTTAACAAGTGGAGAGAAAGCAACAGAATTGGCAGGATTAGAAATGAAACTCTTTTGCTTCATGGATTTTCTGGCGCTTCTTGGTTCTGATCCAGTATAGGATACGTCAAGCAGTATGGATGGTTCATTGTTGGCAAAACTGGTGTTAGTTTTTGATTCCTCAATCTTTGGTGCCATACTTGTTGGTATTTGGGTGTCGTTTTCTCTTTGGTTGTTGATGGAATTTGATATCTGTTCTTGTTGAACTAATGTAGGATCTTCTAAAGAGTCTGTAATTTTTACAATATTATCCAGCATGTGTTTATCTTCCTCAAAAAGTGTTCTATCTTCAACAATTAAGATTGATGATAAATTCAATTGATTAGTTTCATTGGCTGCTTGATGTTTGCTCGGTATGAATTTAGTTGTAGAAACTTGTGGTGGTCTACTAGTGTGAATTGGTTGTACATTTCTCGTATCTGGTTTGTAAATGTTGCCTCTATTATTATTGGTGAGTGTTTTCTTTGGAGGAGGATGAATAGAAGGTTGTTGCTCTGTGGTTGATTTTCTCTTTCTTGATTCTGGAAGTACTCTTCTGGGTGACAATTCAGAAAAGAGCAATTTATGGGTGGTTGGTTTGGTAGAATTACCAGGAGCATTACTTGTTGATGGATTATTTTGAGTTCTCCTCAATCGTTGATGACTAGAGAATGGAGATGTAATTTGGGCTGATGTTATTGGAGCTTGTTGGGGAACTTTTGATGTGCTAATAGAGGTTGGTGTTGTAGATGATGTAGTAGTGGATACTTTTTTCTTTAATCTCCACAATTCTAATTCTTTCCGTCTGGCCATTTGTTTATCAAGGTCAGAAGATGTAACACTCTTCTTGTTAGCTTTAGTTTGTTGTTGATCGTCAAGAAGAGGTGAGTCGGAGAGTGCTTGAATATTATCATATGAAGGTGGAGAGATTTGTCTGAACATTCTGAGTGGTGTTACTACTCGGTCAGATAATTCTCCACTGCTGTTATTACTCTTGTTAAAACTCATGACAATGTGTGATGCTGATGATGGAGGAAATGATTGCTCCTCCTTTGTTTTATTTTTTTTGTGTTGAAAATTTGAACGGTTTTTGGCGGGAATATTTTATGTTATTTTTGTAAATTTATTGTTAATTTTAATTGTTAATGTGCCATGTTAATATTTATGAAAACATTTTATTATTATGATGAACAAGTTTTCTATTGTTCTTCTTGTTTTGACACTTTGGCCATTCTCTTACTTTCCAATTCAGCTAGCCATGGAGCTTTTTGTTGTTGAGTAGCAGTGGTGTTATTGCCTTGTGGAATGGGTGGAGCTTCTCTTCTTATTAGAGTCTTTTTTCTTTCCTCAATGGTTTGTTGAAAGTCAGAGGTTCTTCTTGCTATTTGATTTCCCATAAACTCTTCAGGATTGGCAGGTGAGTTTTCTCCACTATTTGCCTGTTCGAAGGCGGATAAGGATTGTCTATTCTTGTTGAGGAATGGTGAAGTCTTTGTATGTTGATCATTTTGCAAGGATAACCTATTGCTTGGTGGCATCATTTCCCCAGCAGAAGCAATCTCAGATAGAGATGAGTGAATATTCTTCACTTTGTCCTCTGAGGAGAGATTATTCTTTGAGTTGGATGGTGATTGCTTCTTACCATTAAATATTTTGAGATCCATATTGAGAGCTTTGAGAGGGTTGAATCCTCTAGCTGAACGAGGTGATTTCAAAGATGAACCATCCTCTGAAATTGTGGAAAGGTCACTAATTGATGTAGATCTAGACATTCTGTTTCCATCAACCATTTGGCTTGACGCAGTATCGGCTGTATCACTTGAAGCTGTTGTCTTACTATCATCACAACTTGCATCATCATCCAATGCTAGGGATCCAAATGTTATTTCATCCTCTGGAACAATATCACGTACAACTGCATCCTTCTTTGGAATTTTGATTGTAACCTTGTCTCTTTGTGAATAGCACATATAGTATTCACTATTTTCAAAATCAATAATATACACATTTTGTTCATTGAAAATTTTCTTAACTCTTGTATGAACTAGTTTGTTGGCTCTGAGCTCTTTGACTGGGCCTGCATTACAGCTTGTATTCTGGGATAGTTTGTCTATCCATTCATTACAAGCAATTGCTGTTGGACATGTAATTAAGTAGGTTACATCTTCTGTGACAATCTCGAAACTTTGTTTGTCATAGTCCAAGTCGAAATAAATCCATGGATATTTGAAATATTCTACATTCATCTCATTCTTGAAATTAATGTGACACGAATATTTACCCTTCTTTGCGATTAAAACCATGTCATTCAAAAGAATGAGGGTTCTCTTATCTCCCTTCTTGATCTTTCTTCCCAATACAATTTCAGAAACAAGGAAATCTTCACCTTCCATAACAAAACATCTACTAGGTTTGATAATACTTCCACCAATGTTTTCGTGAAGTTTTCCAATTGTTGTATCAATTTCATTCATCTTCATTTGATTTTGAACAACATTCATGGCACTATTGACGTGAGAGCTGACTTGTTTTGATAATTCTAGTGCTTCATTAATATTCTTGAAATCGTAATGAGTTTCTGGTGTATGCTTCAATAGCTCATTCAAAAGGAGAGTATATCTCGGTAAACGTTGGACTGGCTGAATCATGTAGGAAAAGAAACCAACTTTACCCTGTTTTCTAGCATTTCTTTCCATTTCGTTCATATAGCTATCAAAACCAGGGTTTTCCTTCATCATGTCTTTAACTTTGCTTGCAATGTTATTGTAATTATTCACATAATCTGTATACACTTTGAACATTGGCATGGTTCTTTTAAAGAAGAGACCAATGGATTTGCTGGTGTCATCTTGTGTTTCAAAAGTAACATCAAGAGTTTTCCATTGTTTTAAAAATCCTTCATTGACACTCTTAATAACTGTCATTTTGTCAAATATGAAACTCAAATCTTTCTGAGTAATAATTTGTTTAGAACCAGAAACTTGTGTAGCATTTCCCAAAGCTCTTAAAGGTTTAATATAGAACCTTTCCAAATGATTCATTCCTTCAACATAATTCTCCTCGGTTTTAGAAATTTCCGCAATAACTTCCCATCTCAATTCCCTTCTTTCAATTTCCTTTTCCTCTGCTGTTTTAATTTTCTTTTGCGGAATTGGAGGTGGTGCCGATTTACCAGATCTATTAAAAGACTTGATGGAACCTTCTTCTTCCTCTTCTTCTTCCTCGTCATCTGATTCATCACAAGTTGACAACTTTTCACTGTGAGCTGAAGATGGAGGATTATTTGGTTCCTCTTGTGTTGGAGTCAAGACACGATCCAGATCCAATTTGAAGGCATGTGTAGATTTTGTAGCAATGTCATTTTCATCATCCTTCTTCTCTTCACTTTTTGGTTCACTGGTAGGAGTGCTGACAGGTGTTGTTGCAGAACTAGTGGTGGGTTCAGTAGGTTTTGGAGGTGGAATTTTGTGCAAAATAGTCAGCACTTGTGGTGATTGTGCCTTTTCTTTGGATTTACCATTACTGAATAGCTTACTTCCAATATTGAGAGTGGATTTTACGAATGAGCTCGTACTATTATTGCTGTTATTGCTAATTCCCTTTCCAACATTTATGGAGAGAGAAGAACCAGAAGTGACATCATCAACTTGACCACCAACCGATGATCGACCACCTCCAGAAAGATTATTATTACCACCAACCACTGAAGCAAACTGAATAACACCACCTGTTGAACGCTCAGAAGGGCTATTCACTGATGCAATGGTCTTTGATCGTACAGTAGGTCGTGGAGGAAGAGGAGGTGGTGGTTTTCTAGAACCACCAGGAGATGAAGGTGAATTATTTCCTCCTGCTACATTGTTTGTGGTGGGAGAGGAAGAAGCCGATGACGGTGAAGAGTTTGTATTTTTGTTGTTGTTGAGAGAATTGATGAGTGCCGTTGGAGGTGATGCATTGGGACGAAGTGTATAGGATCGAGAGGAGGATGTTGTTGTTGTTGTTCTGCTATTGTTGGTTGTAGCGATGGTTGGAGAGTCAGTAACGGTATTTGTTGTTATTGTTTCACTATTATTATTTACCAGTGGTGTTGTTGTTGTTGTTGTGATGAAAGAAGATCGAGGAGGTTTTGGTGGAGGTACTGGAAGTTGTTTTGTTGAAGACATTTGTGTGTTTATTCTCTATGTAACAGGCTAATAAAATTGAAGTTGTGTTGTTGGTGAGCTCCTCACCCGTTGTACAGATCAGTGTGATTTTTTGTTTTTTTTTGTTTCCCTTTTTCAATTGACATTTGACTGAAAAGTATGAGGATGTTTGAGTTATGGCATTTCAATGGCAAGCTTTATTATCGCCAATGATACTGCTATGAGTGTTGATCAAATTTTTACTTAAGGTATTATCATTCCATCTTTTTGCTGAAACAATATGGTTTGGCCAGATCTATATGACGAGTTCACAACTTGAGCCTTTTCAATTCAGGGATTGAATGTTTGATTTAAAATTAAAAAATGAAACAACAAACAGATCACCAATTAATTCCCTTGCTCGAACTGTTGGGTCTAAAGGTTGATCTTGCTCCTCTTGCAATGCATACAAAACCAATATTATCGAAACTAGTGACAAATTCCGATATTATGAAAGCTGTTTCAAAGATAAATTCGTTCGGAAATGATGAATTCTCTACTAGATCTCCACTCTTTTCCATTTGCTTTAAAAGTGTAAAAACATTTGAACCCACCTCAAACCACTTCACTAGACCAAAAGAAACGATTCAGGAGAATATTTTGAACAAGTACGTTCAGATAATCGATGTGGATGCACAGAGGAAACAAGTCTATTTCAAAATTAAAACTGGAATTGAGAAGAATGACGGAACTGGATTATTTGAGAGATATGTAATTATTGGAAAATTCGATTCTACTAATTATGGATTCATATTTGATATGAGTAATTACACTTCTTCTCCTCCAAAGTCAATTGAGAAAATGTATAAAGACAACACTCCAAATAATTATAAGAAGAAGTGTAAAGCCTCTCAAAGTGGAGGAGGAACCAAATATCAAGACAATAAGGATATTGGTATAAAAAGAATTGGGTATTCTGGTTTCGTTATTAGTAATACAGATCACAAGCTCAGGCTAAAGAGAGACACAAGATGTAGGAGGGATGTTACATCAGAACGCAATATTCCTCTATCATTGACAACACCTGTCAACAAAACATACGGATTATATTTTACTTCAACTAAATATTATAGTGGAAAGTTTGATATTGGCTTTTACAACTTTGAAACTACAAGGAGAGGTACATATGAAACTGGAACAACTTTTAATTATTACACAACAGAATTGACTCAGGATATTTCCACTTAAACTTCTTGTTTGAGAATTGACAAAAATTGTAGTTTTTTTGGCGCCAATTGAGTAGATTGTGAACCGCCTTAACAAAGTTTATCAAATAATAACTTTAAAAAAAACAAATCAACTCAATCACAGTGCAATAAAATGGATTTTCTCTTTAAAAAGCCTTCAACAGAGTAAGTTTCAAAAAGCCTGTCTGTCTAATGACAATATTAAAGCAACACTGAATCCGAAACTCAACAAGGTGATAACTCATTTACATTCAAGTTTTCAAGGTTAGTCATAATGTAGTACTTTTTATAATTATTCATCAATAATTAGCAGTGGAGGAAATGATACTGGAAATGTGTTTAGCTTCCTTGATAGAGGAAATGGTTCACCTCCAGCCCAAGTAGGATCGTCATCTTCATCAAACAACAATGCTGGCAGCTTTAGTTTTCTTTTCAAGGATTCTGCCCAGCCTTCAACAACCTTTACCCCAAGTCAATCAGAATCTTCTTCAGTTAACACTTCTGGTTCCTTTCCATTCCATACAGAATCTCCACCCAATAAGAATATTAGAATTGGTACTAATCAACCTTCCGCTCAGTCTTCGTTGTTTGGTGTATCATCACTTACTCCAGCTAAGAGACCTTCCAGCGATATAGAATCCTCAGCAGATCAACCACTAACCTCAAGAGAGCAAGCAGGTGCTATTGAGAAGGACTTTAATAGCTCTCTTTTGAAGAGTCCTCCAAGCTTACAACCTCTTTCAAAAAAGATCAAACAATCTCCTCTCCAACCTGAATCATTTGCCAATAAGGAAAACGTCAAACCTTTGAGTGATGAAGGTAGTGCTCAAACAGGTGGCACCTCTCTTCCATTTTCTCCTAAAAAGTTTTCTCTCAGTACTGCTTCACCAATTAAGGCTTCACCACAAAAATCAAATAGTGCAGAGTTTTCAACTCCCAAGAAGCCACTCCAACCAGTTAATAGCAACAGGATGACACCACCTCCAAGCTTTCAGTTAATGAAATCACCAGCAACTTCTTCAATGCAACAAACTCCCACCAAAGCCAATCCCTCCACAACTCATGTTAATACTCCAAGACCTCCTCTCAATGTTAATCATCAACTCACCTCCTCAACTCTCTTACCAAGAGTGGAAGAAGATAATCTTCAACAATCATTCGAAAGAACTGAAAGATTCATTTCAAAGCACAGATCAGACCTCGATGAAATGAAAGAGGTTGAGCAACAATTAGAAGGAGTCAAGAGAAAAGACACAGAGCTTTGTAAGACTATGGACGAGATTAACACCAAGATGAACGAGCACTCTGACACACTCAAGACACTTACTCTCAGGGTAACATTATTGACCAATAAGATGCTCATGACGCAATGTCCAATTATTAATGAAAAGGTAGAGCAAATTCACTCCAAGTATGCCCATTTGATCAATAAGACTCTTTAAATTCATCATCATTTCAATAATATTTATCACAATACTGTACAATAAAATCAACACAAGCTTAGTAACCCAACTCAACCACTGCTTTCAGACCAGCAAGTTTCAAAAGTGCGGTAAATATACCCATAATACCCTCTCCTGCAATTAAACCACTAGAAACTGCAAAGAAATACTTGCTATTAGTTTCTGGCCAACGTTGCTTCCAAACGGTGAACAACAAGGCACCAATAAACATGGTAATTGATTGCTTTGGAGGAACAATCATACCAATACCAAAGGCAAGTGCAGATGGAATGTATTGAGCCTTTTCAGGTTTCAATATGTGTACAACCTTATAGAAAACAGTCAGAAGAATACCAAAAACAACACCACCAATTATACCATAAACACTATTAGCTGGCAATCCATTAGTACCCTTACTCAAAACATCTGCAACAGCCTTCCAAGCATGAGCAGCAGGTGCAGGGAATGAAGCTGATCCAATATCATAGGCTGCATCATAGAGTTTGTAAATTGGTACACAAGTAATGATACCAACAAAAATACCAATTATTTGAGCAAAGAATTGTTTTCTTGGAGCAACACCAATCAAATAACCAGCCTTCAAATCGTGCATCATGTCACCAGCTTGGGAAGCACCAGCTGAAATAATACCAGCACTCAATACGTTGGTAGTAATTTGCTTTGGAGCAACACCAGCAAAAACAAATTGAGCAACCTTACCCATACCACCAACAGGATTGATATCTGTTTCACCTGTAGCTCTTGTTGCAACAATTGACAAGACACCACTGAGAGGAATTGCCAACAAGATAAAGTACCATTTCAATTCAAACATAAAGTGACCAATCAGAATTAGTAAAACTGATGAGATACAAATACCAATCAAACAATACCACCAAGGAATGAGATGACTATCCAATTCATACTGTTCATGTTCCAAAATCACTCTTTCACCGAAATGTCTTTGTGTAGATCTTCCAGAACCACGAATTGCAACTCTCTTCACTAAACCAACTAACCCCTGCCAAATAATCTTGGTAAGGAACAATAATTGAACAAATGAATCGGCTGTCATGATAGAAACACCAACCCATAAAACCCAACCTCGGGCACCACTAAAAGACATTGGTGCACCCTTAGTCCAACCATAGGCATCAACAATTGGAGCTAGAACACCCCAGCCGACAATAGCTCCCAAAAGTAAACTACCTGTCGATCTAGGACCACTTAGCATACCACCACCAATCATTAAAGGATCCAAATAGAGGGAAAATCCAAATTCGTGTAAAACTCTTGGCATTGGTGGTTCGGCAATTGGTGGAACAAGGAAAATTAAGAGAGAATAAAATGCAGAAAATAAACCCCAAAATACAAGCATTCTTGCCTTTTTGACAGTTTCATATCCTTGAGCAAACATGGATTTGATAGTAGCAGCAGTGGCAGTACCGGTTGGGAATCTCAATTTTTCTGTTACAATAAGATGTTTTCTCAATGGAACTGCAAAGTATCTATTATATATTGATATAATGTTGTAAATTCCTCAAATATTCCAAAACTTACACTCCAAAAAAGGCGACACTCAATGCCCATAAATACAACTCTCCAACATTATAATTTGTACCATTCAATTTCAGTGCAGGAATCGAGCTCACTAAACCTGCAGTAGATGCCATAGTACCAGCACTAGAGGCTGCAGTAGTGGTTATAATTGTTTCATATTTAGTGAATGGACGAGATGGTTTAATCAACTTGAAAACACCGATACTCAAAATGGATGCAAAAATACTTCCTATATAATTTTCATTTCAACAATGGGATTGTAAGAATAAGTTATTAATTTCCTTGAAAAATAACGAAAACTAACCTCCCTGAGTCCAACCAGTTCTCAATCCAAAATTAACATTCATGGCGCCAACTAGAATTCCGATCAGTGCACCAACAATAATAGAACGAAAGGTAAATTCACCTCTCTCCTTAAATCTTCCAATTTCAGTAGTATCATTTTCATCGAATTCTTCTTCATCATCATCGTCAACATCCTGGGTGGCTACTCTTTTTCGGAGTGTATCTAAACCAGCCTCATTCTCATCATCCATTCTTTCATGTTCCTCAAATGGATCTCCACCATCTTTTCATCCAATGGAAAAATATTATCCATATCCATTATAATCACAAAGAAGAATAAGAAAAATTATAATCATCAACAAGTAAATAAAAAGAAAAAAGAAATAATAATAATATACAGAAGGATGAATGTGATGAATAAAAATGATTGTTGTTGTCGAAATAAATGATTTAAAACTAACTTTTCAATAGAGAATCGTCATCGTTGGCTGTTGTTTCATCATCATCCATGAGAACGTATCCGAGTTTGTTGTTTGATGTTGTTTGTGGTTTGATCACCTCTCCACCATTACCTTCCTGATGAAACGCCGAGTCGACTCTGGCGTCTTCTGACATTTTTTTTTGAATGACCTTTGACAGCCAAATCATAATTGTAATTTCAACTTTCTGGACTTTTTAAGTTCACTTGTTTTGATGACAGATTTTTCAATAATATCTTGTTTGAATAGTATCTTGGTATTTACATAGATTATGAGAATCAGAAAATTGTAAACATTCTTTGAAATTATTTGAGAATAGTCTGGAATATTTTATTCTTTAAATAATAAATAATTTATTGCTCTGTATTATTGGTAGAAATATTTTCTTGGCTTGACAAATCATTCAAGCTCTTTTCGTGAGTCATTCTTTTGTAGTTTGGCTTTGCAATAACTGCAAAAAAGACAGAGCAAAGGAACATTGACATACAGAACCACATACTGTTTTGCATGGAAATCACAACAGTTTGTCCAGTCTTGGAATCAACAGCAGTCTGCTTTAAGGCTTCACAAATAAAGATGAAAATGCCAGAAAACATGGTTCCACATCCAAACATTAAACTCGAACTGAATGATTCTGGTACTGGGAAGGTTAGCTCACTTGCCATTTCGAGTAAAATTGGTACTAGTGGAATGGCGAAAAATCCAAAGAAACAAATTGCAACCATGGCCATAATGAAATGGGCATCAGTTCTTTGATACATGTTATTCACTGAAAACCAGATGTAGAAGCCAGTGGCACTAACACCAGCAATAAGGAGAACTGTTTTGTATCTCTTTGTAATGTCAGCAATAACTCCAAAGACAACTGCTCCAAATAATCCTGTCACAACAATAGAAGATCCAATAAAAGCAACATCTGTTACACTGTATCCGATAGCTGTTGCAATAGAGTTCAATTCAGTAAGGAAGGCGTTAACAGATCCAATACCAAATGCAAAGGCTAACAGTATGCATAAAAATGGGAAATTAGTGAGGATGGCCTTTGTGTCATGAATGAAAGATGTCTCCTGAACTTTCTCCTCCCTTTTATATGGAGGTGTAGGAGGTTTCTCTCTAAAGAATATAACAGTAACAAGTAAAAGCACACTTGAAATACCAGCCTGGAGTGTCAATAATTCAATCATACCTGTATCGTTATTATAATTTGCATCACCAGCTAAGGCTACTGCAATACCAAAGCAAGCACCAGTTCCCAATATATTACAAAATGATGAAATTGTGGTTGCAATAGTTCTCTGCTTTGGAGGAAACCAAGTTTTAGAAATTAGAGTTGAAGTGTTACTAAATTTGTCTTTAGGATTTTCAACAAGTATTCCAAAAACTTACACAATAAATGGAGGTGACATACTTCCAATTACACACCCTGCAAACCCAATCCAAAAGAATGTCTCATCACCAGATTTGAAACCAGCAAACTAAAATAATTGAAAGGACCATCCAGAATTAGATTAAATGAAAATTTTCCTTCTCCTTACCTTAATCCAAGCAGCAATAAATCTAGAGTACAATGATCGGAAGTTTAAAACAATCCACTCAATAGAATCTTTAAAAAACAATGAAGAAACCTACGCTGCAATGGATCCTATGAAGAGGGAAAAGCGAAGGCCTTTCCTCTTGAGAACAAAAGCTGCAAGACAACTGAACGGAAAATTGAGAAGTAAATAGACAGTAGAAGTCATTACAACTTTCCAACCATCAGTCGGTTTCATCTTATAATATGCAAGCACTGATGATGTTATGGATGTGTAAATGGTCTGATAAAAGGAGGCCATAAATCCTATATTACCAACAGCGTAATCAATGATTATTTAAATGTATTTCCATGGCACAGTAGCATGATTATAATTTAAAATATGAATAATTCCTCATACCTTGTGATGATTGAATAATCAGAATCAACCATCTGTATTTGTACAATTTAGGTTCTAATATTTCTTGATCATTTGCTTCCTGAATATTTGAGTGATTATTATTAATTATCAGTTTGGTTCTTTCCGAAATTTCTGGTTGTTGATCAGGATCTCCAAACACATCGGAGGAGGTGTTGATGGGCTGAATAAGCTTACCACTCATCACAACAATTTTTCAAGAATTGATTTATGCAACTCCTATTAGCTTTGAGAAATCAATGTTTTGTTGTAAAATGAACGTTCATTGAACATTGAATGGATCCTCTCGGAGAGTGCCAATGTAACATGATACATTGGAATCTAATATCTGCTCAAATTTGGAGCATTGGATCAATTGTTTCTAATAGGTCTTTTCGTGATGGAGTTAGGTATTACATGGTATTAGATGGTATTGCAATATTTTTGTAAACCAATGGGATAATCAAATAATTGCATTAGTCTACACACATGACCAAATAACCATTCGTTATTATCTCACATTCGTTTTTTTTCCGCCTAACAAAAAAAAACGCAGTTGACCTATCATACATAATGCTCGTGACAATCAGTTATCAACAACTAAACCTTTAGACAGCCATTGAAACAACATACACAATAATATCATCACAATGCCATTCTCTTTCCGCAAAAAGAGGAAAGCAGATGCTACTTCATCAACTGCCGAAATTGAACAAATAATAACAATTGACACACAACAACAAACAAACAATGAAAACGCCCAACCCAATTCCTCTCCATTACTAATGATGAGAGGTGAACCAAAGAAGAAAACACTTTCAAAATCTTCTTCCCATTCGTTTATTTCTTGGTTGACCCCTAGAAAGAAGACACAATCATCACAATCTATTTCGAATAATAATAACAACACTTCCCTAACTAGTATTGAAGATAATGCATCAACAATTCAACAAACGCCAAAGACTCCTTCTACAAAATCACCAAGAAATTCGAAACTCGTCACATCACAATCAACAAGTTATATTATGGATCATGTAGAGAGACAAAAATCATCAAACTTCTCTTCATCAATGCTTCCTTTGACGCCACTCAACAACAATAATTACGATAGTCAACGAAGTAAAATTAGAGTAGTAAAATCAGAGAAAACACCAAGAACATGTTCATCTCCAACCAGTGACGATGAATATCATTTAGGAATTAAACATTCCTTCACCATGTCTGTTATTTCTGATGAAAAGTCACCACGATTTATTCTTTCAACACCCGATAATAATGCACAAGAGCTAGTATTTGGTAGTGCTGTTGAGAATATAATTTCAGATTATGATTCGGATGGTTTTTGTTTCTCTCCCCTTGTGGACGAAACTAGTCCATTCCAGGAGACTGCCAACAAGACTGCTTCGACATCCATCTTATCAGATGACCAGGCAGAAAAGGAAGTGGATGAGTATGAAATTTTTGAAGAGTGGGCTAAACGATTTGATACCACAGAGCCATCATCTCTCTCTACAACTCAATTATCGACAAAGAAGAAGAGTGCCTCTTCCAGCTTTTCCAAACTCTTCAATGCAGTCTCACACTTGGATCCATTCATTCATATTCACCATACTACACCTTCACGGGGGAATAAGGTAAAATCACTCTCTCCAAAGAGTGCTACTACCAATGATTTATTCAATGATACAGAGACAGGAGGAGCTCTAATAATTAATGATGAACCAGCTCCAGATAGGGGAAGATTTAGTAGAAGTTTTAAAAATTTAATGATGGGAAAGAAATCTCCAGTGAATGGAGCTCTTTCTTCGTTGAGCCCTCGTCACGACAAGTCTCCTCCTCCTCATACAGTTGTACAACACAGTCGTTTGCTTGTTATACTTCCAGATGAAATCAAGAGTCTCATATTTGAGTTTGCAGAATTTAAAGATATTCTCTCAATAAGGAGTGTCTGTAAAGAATTGAATGCCATCACAGACGATGACAGATTTTGGCAAAGAGTATGCTTTGAGTTGTCACTCGATTTTTCACAAGTAACCTACAAGCATTTGAAATCTCTATTCATTGAGAATCAACTTCATGTTACTTTGGCTGGTGATGAAGGAGTGGGAAAATCTCTCCTCATTCGTAGGTTAAGTAATAATCCTGCCTCTATCTTGGAAAGTAAAGGAGGAAGAAAGCAACTGTACGACTCAATGTATATGCAAGATGAGGAACCTTACTATATTTACTTTAAGGAGAACAATAAGTTTGACAAGTCACACAAAAAGAGCTCACGTAGGGAGGATGTGTACTTTGTCTGCTTTTCAATTTTGGATAAGAAATCTCTAAGCAGAACTAAGAAGGTATGTTTGGTATAGCAATTATTAATCAAACTTACATATTATTTATATTACTATTAATGATGCATATATTTTATAATAACAAATACTAAACAGTGGATTAAGGCTATTCGTGCAAAAGACATAACTAAACCCATTATACTGGTTGGTCTAAAGGTAGATCTCAGAGACGAGGAAGGATCCGATCAATTCAAACTCATCAAGACTGAACAAGGCGAACAATTCAAGAATCGATTCAAACTCTTCTCCTACAGAGAGGTGAGTAACAAGACAAGAACTGGTCTTGAAGAGCTCATGCGTGATGCCATCAATGCCAAACGTATTCAAACAGAAAAGTTTTACAATTATGACAAGACACTAGGAACAGAAGCAGAAATGGAAGACATATCTGAAGATGTTTTCAATTATAGCGATGAGGACGACATGGATTTAGATGGTTTTAATAGTGCACTCCCCACCAATACAGCGACAACATCCATAAGTAAGACAGCTACACTCTCCAAACGACTCTCACAAATGAAAATCAACTTTGTTCTCGATTAATGAGGAAAGGAAGAATCGCGTCAGAAATGAGTCGTACTCTTCATACACTTTATTTTCCCACCATGCAAATTCCCACAAGATAGAGTTTCATATTCCATCGTGCACTAGAACAACCTCAACCGCCTTAACATCTCGTTTGAATCAACCCTCAAAAAAAATACCTCAATTGGCTCTCGGATTGAGTATACACATACAGTGAATAGCAACACTAACGAACACCAATAAGGTGAAAATCAAAAGCAACAGTAAGAAATGGGATTGAATCCATCCAAGATTTCTAAACACAACCGAGCAGAATTCGAATTCAACTATAAACCAAGATTAAATTCTGGAAGTGTTTCTAAGAAACATTCAATTCCAACCGATATTATTCATGAGATTGCTTCGTTCATGACCTTAAAGGAGATTATTCACTCCTTCAGTTGTTTATCAAGGGGATTGCGTGGCAGATTCTTCCTCAATCCAACCTCTCCTCATTGGAAAATCATTAACCTTTCTGATGAAATTATGTTTGGTGATTTGCAAATGGAGAAAATAGTTCAAAATGGTGTTCTCATCCATTCAGAAATGATAATTCTCAGAAGAACAAATGTAACTTCTTATTCCCTAAGAAAAATCACCAAGTTTTTAAAGAAGAATCCTGATAATAATCTTTCTCTCCTCGATGTTAGAGGTTGTTGTAAGGTTTCGAGATCTTCCAGCAAATTGCTTCAGAGAAGTAAGCCTTCCATTCAAATCAGAATGGAAACTAGATCTGACCACTTTGAATGTACCTCCGAAACCATTGAGATGAGTAACAATATATTTTCAAATTCCAATTACTTTAATAGATTAACACAAGAGTCTGATAACAATATAATCTATTATGGATTTGATGTAGCAAAATGTGCCTGTGACTATTGCTCTGCCTTTAATGTAAAGATGAAATTACTAATGGCTATCTATGGTCCCTATTATTTAGATGTGTTTGTTGGAAACTTTAAATATGACTTTTTTGAAAAAGCAAGCTCTTCAGCAAAGATTGATTGCTTTACTCCAACATTTGGTACCTCTAAATCATTCATTCCTACTGGTAATAGTCTGAATTATATTTTGAGAAAGCTTTGGAAGTACAGATTGGTCAAATCTGCCAACTTGGAATTGATCTATAGAAAATACACTCACAATCCTCTATTCATTGGTGAAGAAGAAATGAATTCATTGGAGTGTTTTTGTGACCGATATGGACCAATTATTGTATTGAGAAATGATGATATTGTAGTGATTGCAACCATATGCAACTTGGGTGTTGTCTTTACATCATTTGATAAATTGACAAGCCTTGGAAATGCTATCAAGGCAAGCAGATTCCTCTCGTGCAACGCACATTATGATTTGGTTGATATTGCTTAATAAAAAATGACATCATTATCTACTCTGATTGGCTCGGTGGTTGAGTCAAAGAATACATCAGCACCATACTCAATTATTGCATTATCATCATCATGTGATTCCATCTCCATTGAGGATATTTGTGGCAATCTGAATAAATTAAAGAAGGATCATGAGGCAACAGCCAAAGCATGTCTCAAAGCAAAGAAAGATAAAACAAGCCTTCACAAATTGACCGAACAACATTCGGAAGAAATTCAAAAACTTAAACCTTACATTGATCAACTAATTCAAAACAAGTTGAAATTAGAACAAAAGATCTTTGATTTACAATGGACAAGGCAATTTAAAGAACAAGAATTGGCTAGAGCAAAATCCGAAATATCAGATGAATCATCCATCAATGAAGCCTTAATTGACTCGTATGAAGTTTCTCTCCAATCCATTCATGATGAATTACTCCTCTTCAAATCTCGAATGGAAGAATCAACAAAGATGAAAGAACACCTCTCCGAAGAAATTCTTAGACAAGGCAATATCTTTTCATCCCAATGTCAGGAGAAGAGAGGAAAGGAGGTTGAATTGAGAGAAAAGATGGAAGAAACACATCACCTTCATGAGCTGTTGGATTCTCTTGAGGAAACATACACTGCTCTGTTGAAGGAGAATGTTAATCGAACTTCCAGTTCTAATCAATCACCACACTCAAAATCCAATGAAAAGCTATTGCTAATTGAACAACAAAAGTACTCCGATCAATTGAAGAATATCAACAACGAATTGAGAGAGTTGAGACAAAAGAAGCAATCTCTCGCTCAACAAATTGATTCCAAGAAGAAACTTAAAGAAGCCATGAATGAAGAGTTGAAGAATCTAGCAAGGGAATTGAAAAGTAAGGGCATTGGTAACAATTCAGACACAAGAAGGGTAGCTGAGAATAGCTCTGCAGCAGATTTGACAAGCCCATTCTCTAATCATTTTTCTGCACCAAAAACTCCTGCGCCTTCAGCTCAAAAGTTTTCATTCAAGAGAACTGTAGTCAATCACGACCCTCAAAAGATCTCAGCAACAACTCCAGATATCAGACTTCTCAAGAGAAAAACCTCCCCAAACGAAAATGTAATTGATAATGCTAATCAGAACAACAATTCTTCCCGTGTCGACATTTCATCCTTTGCTTATAAGAAGAATGATTTCAGAAAGGCCTCTGATATTAACAGTGTCAGTAATTCCTCAAACAATAGTAGCAGCAGCACTCCGACAACCTACACATTCAAAAAGTTGAAAAAAGACTAGGTAATAATGTACTGTATTACATTAGAATGAGAAGTGTCTAGCCACAATTGAATTCTCACCATACTCATCAAATTCATCCTTTGTAACACACATGTTGTCAAATGTACTCAAGGACATTAAGATGTTGGCTCCTAATAAAATGGAGTCCTCTCTATTCTTATTAATATTGACTGTTACCGTTTCAGCTCGCAATGACTTGGTTAATTCTGATTGAGTGAGTTTCTTTTCCAATTCTGTAGAGAATCTCTCAGGTAAACCTTGGAAATTTGATGACCCTCCACAAACAACAAGGTTATTCAAGCTTGTCAATACCATTTCCTCATCCATAGATTCCAAACTCTCAATAACTGAATTTTGAATGCTTCTTCCACACCAAGATTCATAATATTGCTTATCAATAGATAAGTCAAAGAAAAATTCTGTACAATCTCCCAATATACCCTCTGATTCTGTTGGAATTCTCAAAATATTACCATCTGGAAGGTTGAAAACTGGTGCAGTATCATTTTTTCTATCTTTCGAATGTACTTTCGTATAACAAAGTTTCTCCTTAATAGATCTCAAAATCTCCTTTTCTGAACTTGTAGCAAACTTTAAATTGACAGTATCCAAACATTGATTTTTCAAAAGCATTGCTTGTAATACTTCCTCAACTGAATGACCACCAAAAGGAATGGCCTTCAATGAATTCCATACAGGCATTCCTTCATAGACTGGCAATACTGTTGTGAATAACTCTCCCATATCAATAACCATACCACTTGTTTTACCAATACTGAAAATTGGCAAGACATGATCAAGAGATAGATACATTTTCTCATAATTCCAACTATCGAATGCATAATGAACGAGTTTCTCCTTCAAAGTTACATCTCTGTACAAGTAGAAAGGTAAAGCAGTGAAGAGACATTTAGGAGAATTTTGAGAGTTGACTCCTCTAATAAATTCAGCAACTTTCTTCTCCAACATTTGTTCACAATAGGATACAATTGGTTCAGTGTATGATGTTGGTTGCTGTTTTGTCTTGAATGGAAAATCAATACGTTCAGAGACAATATACTGATCGAAATACTTTTTTAGCGGATAATTAAGTGTACTAATTGACCTTTGTTCCAAACATTCATTTCCAAAGGTTTTCAAATCTTGTCCTCTCATCTTACTTTCAAAATCATGATTTCTATCCTTTCTATTCGCAATAACAGTTGCTTGATTCATCAATCTAATCTCATTTCCATCTCTACTCATTGAAATTTTAGTATTTTGAGCACCAATTGACCAAAATACTTTCACTTGATCACTTTCTTTCAAAATCTTTTCCGAAAATCTTTCCTTTACCAACAAATCTTGTCCCTTTTTCAATTTCTCCAAGAATTTACCATCATCATTTCTATCAACACTCCCGAGAGTAGCAGCTTGATTTAAACTCTTTCCCTTTCTATCATTCAAATCACTCCACTTTAATTGTTGCAATGCCGTTGTTGGATCACCCTTTCCCAATTTGACTTTAAATTGTGTTGTATGTTTGTTTGAAAATGATTCCCTATTTGCTTCTTCGCTGGTTCGTTGGGCAATTTTCCTCTGCAATGAGACAATTTTATTGATAATGATGAGGGAGAGGATGGAAACTACAATGGTCGAAAATGATAAAAAGATTAACAGATTTGGAGTTAATCCGTAGGCATCGAGGCCATAGTCATGAATGGATTCTGCAATGGCTTGTCTCCAAATGTCCATTTTTTTTTAATGATTGCTGACAATGTTAATATCTTGTTTATTTTTGTTTATTTAATATTATTAAAATATACAATTTAATATTTATACAATATGTTTATAGTTTTATTTATTATTAATTATGAAATTGAAAAAACAAATTCTCTTTATTTGGACAAAATAGAAAAAAATGAAAAAATTCCTTCCCTCATCAACTCTTCACTTGTTGAAAAACAATTTCGGAGGCAAAATCATCCTCACACAACAAAATTCTCTGATTGTGAATAATAATTTATCATCAGCATCACTCACTGTTAGAAATGCCTTCATCAATAATGTGATGATGAATAGGAGAGGAAAGACCATTCTCTCCGATACTCTGAGAACACAAACAAAGACTTCAAAGGGTACTGATAATAATCAATCATCTGGAAATGAAAAGGAGGAAAAACAAGGATTTTCTGCTAGTGATAGTAGTACTGGTACACAATCAAAATATAAAAAGTATGCCACTTGGACCTTAGTAGGTTTGGCTGGTTTGATTGGATGGATGGAATTAAATTATAGATCAAGTCCTGAATTTTCTGCTGGTGATGCTATTAGAAAGGCAATTTACGGAAATCCATATAGAAATTATTTAAATACCAAGAATGGTGTTGTTTTGGAATTGAGTGTGGATGGTAATGCATCTATTGTTGATGAAGATGCTTCTCAAGTTAAGAAATTAGTTTACATTTCGGAGGAAGGAAATATTCACTTGATTGTTCCTGATAATTTTGTTCAACCTGGATTATTGGTGAATGAGTCGTCTGCATTCAGAGATTCAGGTAAATTCAGATTGACTGATATCAGTGGTAATGATTTAATTTTGGAATGGAACAGAATCAATACAGTTTTGAGAACTAATTTACAATCAACAATGACACCAACCGAGGAAATTCTCAAAGCCTGTGCTTACAAATACATTGAATCTCTTCTTGAAAGAACTGACGGTATCAATATTCAAAGAACAGAATACATCCACATACCTAACCCAAGAATTCCAGTAAAACCATTGGAAAGTTTGGATCCTCTTCCTGTTGATCTTCCATATTCCAGAATTGCCAATAAGAAGGGAATGGATATGGTATGTGTGGTAAGCTCACACCCAGTCAGCCCTGATTCTCAAGAAAAACTTTATAGAGCCGATTTGTGGTATGTACACTATCCATTCGTCTACCACTTTTGTGTAAATCAACCTGAACAAACTCGTAAGCTTGCTAATTTCCTTCAAGAAATCAAAGTTGATCCAAACTCTGAAAAAGCAAGAGAAATTGTCAAACAAGCTTCCACACAATTGACAAACAAGGACGAAGTTCTTGAACAAATTACCTCTAAAACATTTGCTCCTGACAGATTGACATTAGACCCAGCAAAAATTGGCCTAAACTTGAGGAATGATTTGTTAAGAGTTCAACACAATAGTTTCTGTAAATTCATTTCCGTTTAAAAAAGTTAAATTATTATTATTTACTTGGCATGTTTCTTTGTGTATTCACGAGCAGTCTTATCGAATTTAGATCTATCATTAACATAGGCTTCAGCAGCATCGGCATCGAGTGGTGAAGCAGTATTTGGATTCTTCATAAGTTCTTGAATAGCAATAATAACAGCTTCCAAGTTCAATGTTGGTTTCCAACCATCAGCCTTCAAAACTTCTAAACAAATACCACCTTCAGCATCAAAGTTTGGATGGTAAACTCTTGTCTTTGCTGTGAATTTTGGAGGATTGAATGGATAGCTTTTGTATGTCGGATCAAAGCATCATTTATAAGTGATGATGATTAATACTAGCTTGGAAGAAATTAAAAACTCACTTTTCTGGGAGAACACAATCAAATTCAAATTTACCACCTTCATAAGGAGTACCGGATGGTCCACCAATAATAATTTTCCAATGTTTAATATCATCACCAACAAGATCAACTGTACAACCATCGACTGGTTTGGTCTTTAACTTGTTGAATTCCTTGAGTGGTCTTTGGGCGGCTCCTGCTTGACTCATTTTTATTATGTTGTATTTTTAGATTGCAATGTTCCTTTGCAAATATTTGCATCAAAAACATTGAAATTGTAATAGGTGATGCATGTTCAGTCTGAGGTTTAAAAAGTGCAATATTGAAACTTTAAATCTCTTATGATTTAAAAAGTAGTAGTTGGATTAGTGAAACAACGGTCGCCACTAAAGTTTTCAAGGTTGATGTCGAATGGAAGTTGAAAGTCTCCAATTCCCTTTCTATTAGGCTTCTTGTTTGAAATTCGTGCTTGCTAGCGAACAAATATACTGCCTTCCAATTAATTAGAACAAACAGATTTTTAAAAAATATTCATACAGCAGCGGATTGGTTTGTTGATTGGAAGTTTCTACATCATCACAAACAACAAACAGAATTCTGGTTTACATCATCACCAATAATTATTACACCAGATATCCATATACTACCTTCCAAATACAATGATATCGGGTTATACACCACCAACAACACAGCCACCAACAGCAAATAATGGCTTGGCTGAAAGTTATAATGGAATTGCTGGACCAAAAGCCGACGACTTTTTGGATAACCTCTTGGAAAAGGCTCCAGGATCAACCAAATTTTGGAATTACTTTTATACTCTCTTCATGATTATTTTTGTAATTCTCGGAACATCAGTTGTTATTTTGTTAGCTGTTTTCTTCCATAATAGAGTTATTTTCCCAATAGACAGTTCATGTACTACTGGTTCAAAGGATATTGTTATTCCTTCGAATGTTATTTCAGATTTTTGGAAGAAGTGTTCTTCCTTTTCTGAAACTAAATATTTGTCCTCTTTCCACTACAGCTTACAAGAAATTAATTGTATGAAATCGGAAAGTTATGGAAGAGCATTAAATCTCATGTCCGTACCAAATGTAAAGAGATCAATTGTGGATAATGTTATCAAGATTGCTGATCAATATTTGGCAGGTGCCCCAACTGCTGATTCCTGTTCAAAGGAAAGATCTAGAATTTTGGCCATCCAAACCAAGTACAAGAATTATTTGAGTATCATTGATAAGGGAGGTGATGTTGAACTTCCAAAGTTTTTCAAGACCTTTGTCTATCAAAAATCATTAGAACAAGCTCTCTCATCAAACAATGCTCTCCAAAAGGATTCATTGAATGATGTCAAGTATTCATGGATTAGTACTGTTCCAGAAACTATTAACGAACAAAAGGAACAAACTGTTTATGGATTGGCTCTTTCTAACAAGTTTGAAAACCTCGATTTTGGAATCGTTCGTCGTGTTTACGATGACTCGTATGGTTCTCGCATGTGGGTCTCTTTCAATGAAACTGTTGTTCCACTCTTTAAGGGAGATAGTTTTGATTTGTTGACTAACTTTGTTGTTGCAGACAGCACCAACATTACAGCATTCTACGAATTACTCGATTCCCAAATTCAAAACCCAGCTCTCAAGAACTTGATCTCTCAAAACAATACCAATTTGGTTGTTACCTACACTGATATGAATGCAGAATTAATGTTGCTCAACTTGGCCAGAATTAACTCAAAGGATCGTTCCAATGTTATGGCTGAATATTCCATGATGCTTGCCAAGTACACTGATGGTACTTATGAGCAAAGAACCAAGTTGACATGGGGCAGCTCTAAGGAACCAACTGATGGTATCTTGCAAAGACTCACTGAAACATCCTTCCAATCCTCATTTGTTCTTCAAGGTTTCTCTAAACAATCAGTCTTTGATCAAGATTTCCTCAATTTTGTTGTAAGAGATGGTTCTGACTACATTTTCTACACAACTGATGTTTATTGCAAGGATAGGGTTGCCAAGACCAATGATGGGGTTCAAGTTTCCAAATGTAATATTCTTAAAAGGGAATTAACCTATTCAACAACTCCAGAATATGGTCAAATTTCTGCACAAGCCATCTTTGATCCAGCCAACCAATTCTATGTTGGATTGAAGCTAGACTCTGATGACGATGACGATGATATCTATGAAGAATTGGCAAATGGTGATGCTGAAGAATTCCACTTTTAATTTGCATTGTAAATAAAAAAAATGTTCAAACAACCAGTTAGAGCCTCCACACATCCATTTGGTTATTCTTTATTCAAGGAATTTGGAAAAAAAGACTCGGAAAATGAAATGAAATTGAAAATTAATTTTATTGCTCGTGATGATGTACTTTTGTCAGCCTTGTCCAATATTTCCAGTGGTGATGATTTTAATTATTCGGATAGACAAGAAGAATTAAAGGAGGAATCAGAAGGAATTTATAGATTAAAGATTGGAAGACACAAAACTTGCCCTCTAAAAACTACATCTAATTGGACTGAGGAGGAAAGGATCAAATTAAGAGAATCCTTGTCAACAGAAAAACGAAAATTCAATCACATGCAAATAGCCACGGCTGTTCTAATTGAGAATGAGGCAACAAATGAAGTTTTAATTACAAAAAGGCCAAAACATATGTATGTTTAATCTATTATTAATTTGTAATTGAATGAAATATTATGATTTTTAATATCGTTATTATCATGATTTTCAATGTAGGAGGTAAGTAGATTTTAAGTTATATTAATTACATTTTCTCATCAGAGGATTTCCAAATACGTATGTAGTACCGGGTGGGTCGATTGAACCAGTGGACGAAACTATTTTTCATGCAGTTATAAGGGAGGCTATGGAGGAAACTGGAATAGTTTTGGAAAAATCATCACTGAAACCAATGTATTGTTGGGAGAGTTGTTTTCCAACCTCAATAGAATTCGGAACTCCATTAAGGCACCATCTGATTATTTATTTTCATGCCAAAGTCAATTTGTTTGAAAAGAATGCATCAACAGAGGAAAGGTACAAGAATTTGAAATTGCAGAGAGAGGAAGTTGAATCTGCTAGTTGGATTGATTTGTCAATTGCCAAAAAACTTTCTGAGCATCTTGAAGAACCTGCAGATGAACAGGTTTATCAGAATCAGTTTTTTGAAACCTATAATATTGATGGAGAGTATTCTCATTCACCTCTAAAGGTATTATTCAGCACTGATTCAACAATAGGAAAGGAAAGGTTGACAACAGGTACACGATTTCTCATTTCTGATTGGTTCTCAATGCATAAAGATTTGTGAGAATTCTTCTTCTTATTTTTTTGTAAATATTTGGTAGAAAATTGTACATTCGAAACTGCCAAGTTTATTTAAACCTCAATTCTATGGACATTGAAAAAATAGTTGGCCATATATTTAGCTTCTGCTTCATTTTCTGGAATGTAGAAAGTTTCAGGAGATACAATTTGAGAGGCTCTTGTTCTTAATTCAGATGAAGAAAGGTTAGTACCGATGGCAATGATTGGACCCTTGGCAATTTCTTGCTTTGTTGAGGAACAATTTTCAGACTTGTCAAATATTAAATCTATTTCAGGCTTGGAGAATTTGTGTTCCTTAGTGTGAATGACTTCAGAAACAACCTTTGGTAAGAATTGTTCTGCATCATTATATCTACCAGGTAAGAAGATAATAACATTGGATGGAACATTTTCTTTGAGTTTTGTTGGAGGAATTGGACAAGATTTTTCATTTTCAGTTTCTTCATCCTTTGAAATACCAGTTTCTGGCATGGAGCTTAATGGCTTCATCCAATCAGTAATCTTGGATCGGCTGGTTGAGAATCTATAGTTTTCTCCACCTTGAGGAGTGAAATCGTGGACAACATTCCAATGGTTATTATATACAGAAAGGCCAGATTCATGGAATTGCTTAGCAAGACCAATATAATTTGAGGCAAAACAGCTGAAAGTTACATTCGAAGATGATTCAATGACTGGTCGTGTACCACTGAAAATGCTGACTTCCAAATTATGGCAATCTCTTGTTCTGAATTGTTGGCAAGCAACAATCATCTTGACATTCTTACTTGTTCTGATGAAAATACTTCCTGAACATGGTCCAATGAAGAATCTACAATCATCACAAGAATCAATAAATATTTGAGATGAGTTATCCAACAAATAGAAATCACAATTTTTGCACTTGTCAATATTCATAGCTTGTCCCAAAATTTGACTATCCTCAATGTTATAAGTTGGTTGTTTTCAAAAGAACTTACCCTGATGTTCTCAAAACTACTCTATCTTGGAAACCGCTCAATAAAAAGTCTTCGGCTTTCAATTTTGAAAAATCAATTTCCTTTGGAGTTTTTTCTTTTTGTGCTTCATGACTCCAGACATATTGGAGGGGAGCTGAAGATGAATTTTTGTTGGCAGTAAAATCTGGAGTGGTTGTCTTTTCAGTGCTCTTTGAAGAGGAGTCTTTTGTTTGTAGGCAGCCCATTTCTGTTGTTTGTTGTAGGGTTATTTTTTTTAAGGTTTTGAGGTGTTGTTTTAAAATTTTGGCGCCAAAGCATGAAAGGCGCCAACTACACTTTGAAAATCATTGAGGTTTGCAAAACAGTAAAAAATGTTTCATTGACTATCCACTCTGAACTTCGCACTTGATGGTTGATAAGGTGTGATCCAAAATAAATAATTGTAATTAATAATAAATAAAAAAATGATCAACTCGGAACAAAGAAAGAAGTTTATAATATTTGATATGGGAGGTGTGCTCATCTCCACCGATTTTAACAATTGTATCAAGACAATTTACAATGAGAACAAGGAAGCATTTGGGTCGGTAACTGTTGATGACTTGCTGGACTTGTTGAAAAAACAATTTGGCCAATACAAGATCGGAGCCATCACAGAAGACGAATTTTGGGGCGTATTCTTTGAAAAGTATTTTAATGGTAGAAACTTTACATTGTATGGGAATACACTCACTTTGGAATATTTGAAAGATCAGTTCAGAAAGGATTTTATTATTCCTTTCTATAATGGATTGGCTTTGGTGGAGGAAATTCGGGATGCTCAAAAGAAACAATTGACCAATGTATCAATTGGAATTATGAGTAATCACTCCAAAGAGTGGTTTCCATACTGTACCCAACGTTGGAAATTGGACACAATGTTCACTGAAAAATTATTGCTTGTCAACTCTAGTGATGATGATGTTCAATGTGGAAAACCTAAATTGAAAATTATGCTACAACTTATGGCAAGAATTGAACAAGCAGGATACAAGGATGTTCAACCATCAGATATTGCATTTATTGATGATAAGCAAGCCAACGTTGATGCAACAAATGAATATGGAATGAAAGGTATTTGTTGGCATGGAAAGAAGGTACACTTAGATGTGTTGGTAAATGAATTGAAAAAGCTTGGCTTTTTGGAATGGAAAAAGTAAATTTACTTCTTTTTGGCTTTCTTTGACTTTCCAGTCTTCTTGGCATTCTTTCTCTTCTTTGATTTAGGTTCCTCTTCCTCTGGTTCTTCCTCAGAGTATTCTTCAATATCATCATGTTCTTCCTCAGAGCACTCTTCAATATCATCTTCGTCTATTTCTTTCTTTTGAGATTTTTGAGAGAAAAGAACTGGTGAGCTAGGGGTTGGTGAACGGTCTGTCTTCTTCTTTTTTGAGGTCTTCTTTTTCTTTGGGGAACCCTTCTTATTAGAGAGACCTTGTTTTAAATTTCTCAATTCCTCATCAATATTTTCCAATTCACCCTGAATTTCTTCAATTTCGCTCTTGTGTTTTTCAATAGTTTCTTCCTTTTGCTGTTCAGTTTGGGCATATTCTCCCTTCTCGAAAGCAATTGTTTCTCTGAGTACTTTCTTATACTCTTCAACCTTCTTCTTCTTTTCTAGCAGTAGTTTGACTTCAGGATTTTCGCTGAGTGGAGTTTGACCAAAACGGAAAACTGGTGGACCTGTAGCCTTAGAACCAGCATATACGATACCAGTTGCTTCAATTCTCTCTCCATCAAGTGTTAGAATCAATGGGACTGCTAAATTAATTTCCAGTCTCTTTTTTCTGAATGCCAAACCAGTAAGGAATGTTTCAAAAACTAAACTACTACCTAATAAATTCCAAAATGCATGTCTAATCATTTCTCGTCTAATGTCTATTTCTATCAGATTTACAGAATAGCCAACAAATCCATCTGCGTCAATTGGATCCAATCTCAATCTACCTTCATTATCCATACCTTTTGAACATTTCTGGATATTATCGAGGGGTAAAACTGGTATCTTGTGAGGGAAATTTTCTAGGAGTCGTCTCACTTTTTCCATACCATTAGAATCTTGTACAACAATACATTGCATCTTATCTCCCAAGAACCTAGAAATTGTGTCATTGTGCTTTTCATTATCTATATAACCTAGCTCTCCAAGAATTCCCACAATTCCACTATCTGTTTCCTTTTGGAGTTGTTTTACTTTCTGCAAGGCCTTGTTTTCCGCAAGGCCAACATTGCACTCTTTTTGTTTTCTACTGTTCTGTGTCTTGATCTCTAACTTCTTTTTAAGAATATTCAATAGTTTGTCAGCATTTTCCATATTTGGCATATCATTTTCGAAGTTCAATTCATATTCTTTGATTGTTTTCAGTATATCATTCATTGTGGATCTGAAATTACTAAGCTTGAATTCATTCTCTTGGTGATTTTGCTCGGCTTTCTTAATTTCCTTCTTCAGATAATCTAGTTCACTGAGACAATTTTGTTTCTTCTCTTGGAGTTCCTTCTCAATTTGTTGAATAGCACTGTTATCAGTAAATCCAAATTCTAACTCTTTTGGTGGAAGATTTTTAGTTGTAAAAACTAGCTTATACAAACCAGTTTCACCTGATCCCTCCTTTATGCTAACTCTTGAAAACTTGGCACGACCATTCTCAAATTTAGCTACTAAATCCCCTTCTAGCTCAGGAAGTTCACTGTCCATGCTATCTTCTGTTGGTTGAATGGAAAGAGTGACCTTTTTAATTTTATCATCGGCAATCACAGTATTGGAATACTTGTCTATCACTTTGAGTGAAAGTTCTTCCCAGAATGATCTTGCATCAATATTTTCTCCCATATTGGTAACTACAGGAAGCTGGAATTTATCATTTTCTATTTCCAAAGCTTCCGGATCTCCAGGGGAGACAGCAATATCTAGAGTAGTGTTTATACTCCCATTCAGTCCAAGAATTGGAACATATGGCAATGAAGAAATGTCCAAAGTAAATCTATATCTGTAAACTCCGGATTTAGTAAATTCTTTTTCACTATTTGCGAATGTATATGTTAAACTCTTGGAAGCAGATGGGCATGATATGAATTGCCTTTTATCTCCTCCTTGAGGGTTTGCTACTTCCATAATGATTGAATTTGGAGCCTTAACAGGTTTTCCACTTTCTCCCAAAACTACAACTTCAAAAGGGTCTAAAAAGTCTCCCACCACAAGATTTGTTGTCTTATTGGTAACCTTGAGTTCTGCTGGATGGGAGCTCTTGATAATATTTACAATAAAGCAAGTCTTGTTTGCCTTTGTTAACTCGTATTCAATCCAGAAAGTATGTCTTCCCTCTGTACCTTTAACCCAAAATTGTGGCATATAGGCTCTTCCATTTTCAATTTGTAAATCGATGGACTGATTGACTTCTCCTTGATATTGGATAATTTCAATATCAGTCTCTGGAGGTTCAATCTCAAAGTTTCCATGTTGATGTATTACGTTACCAAACTTATCGTGTGTTGTAATGTAAAATGATGGAGTAAGATTATAATTTTCAACATCGAATACTACCTCTCCTATCATGTCATTAACTCTCAAAGACACTGGTGGTCCTGGTTCAAGGAGAATATTTTCAATTTTACCCTCTTTGATTTTACCTCCCTTGTCAATAATCTTCAAATGGAATTCTCCAGAAGGGCCTATCAAGCTTACATCATTATATTTAAAAAATTTAAAGTGTTCATGGTCATCCAATCCTGTTAGGAGTCGTAGTTTGTCGAAATCACAAATTTCAATACTTTCTGCTTCACCATTCAATTGAGAAACTATTTCAATTGAAGGTTCAATATTCTCAAGTTCTGGATAATTTTCATTACTCTCGTTATCCATCCTATTTCCAAATGCATCCATAATACTGAACTTAACACTGAACTTTTGTTCACATTTAAGTTTTTCAGGTATTGACTTTCTCTCTATTTTAAATATGCATGGAGGCCCTGTTATGACACGTAAATTAATGGTAAAGTTTGCTATTATCATATCTGTGTCAATATCATCATCGTTCTGTACGGAATCTCCTGCTGCTTTGGAGAGTATATCGACAAAATATTTAGTAGTTTTAAAAATTTGTGGAACTACTAGAGTTGGTAATTCGCAAATACCTTTTTTAACTTCTAAAAGATTGGCTTTACACCATGAAGCTCTGGCGTATGCATCAATCTCTATCCTTTCGTACATTTCATTGCATAATTCCAAATTCCATCCAACTAGTTCTGAACTGACTATTGCATTCACTGTTACTTTAAGTGCAGATCTCTCCTTGATCATATTCTTTTCCTCAGTGGTTCTAGTTAGGAGGTTAAATGAAGAAGGTTTTGCAACTGAAGCTGATTCAATAGTAAGTGGAACATCAATGCAAATATCTTGGTAACTTAGTGTTATATATGCCTCTTTTCGTTGAGAACTACTTTGAGAGCTTCCTATAGCTATATTTTTGAATTGGAAATAACCAGTTTCAGTATTAAAGGTACCAGAAGCTTCTTCTTTCAAACATTCTCCTTTTACGGTTATGGTGAGAGGGGTAAAGTCATCTTCACCATCATAAAAACATGGAATGTAGATTTGATTATTTTTCTCATCCAGTAATTTGGCCTCAATATCTGGTAGAATTTTCTTTACAGAGTTTCCTGACAAGGCAGTAGCTGCATCTTCAGAAAGTTGAATAGTGTGAACGGCTCCAGCAAATATCACCATATCAATTTCAAGAGGTTGCATAATTAGACCAAATGCTATCACTAATTTTGTTTTTACAAACTTGTTGGAACCTAATGGAGCACTTTTAACAACAAGCTCAGTAATTTCTATTTGATTGCTATTGTTGAAGGAGGCCTTAAATGAGGATAGTTCTACGGTATCATCAGTTGTTGTAATTTTAAGTTCTTCCGTAATGTTACAAGTTGTCTCTTTGAAAGGAACAACATTACCATACGTGTCTTGTTGTTCAATGATTAGTGTGGGGAATGGTTTGTCAATAAAGGTTAAAAGGGAATCCTTGAGTTGACTCTTATCTAAAAGAGATTTGGCACCTTTAACTTTTGGTAAATTGTTGGAAAGTGACAGAGTGGATGGCGCCGCAGCAGTTACATCAATTTTTACCACCTTTGCTTTGATTCCACTGTCCTCAGAAGAGGATAATTCCAAAATATAAGTACCCACAGATGTAAATTCTGGCTTCAGCTTGTAAGGCTTGAAGCAATGCACTCCTTTTTTAAAAGCCTTTGTTGAAGTGAGTGACTCATTAAGTTTTTGTTCTTCTTCATTATCACCTTCATAGGTTATGGTCAAAGTAACTGGGTAGAGTTGGTTTGTCACAACCTTGTGATCTCCTGTCATTATACAAGCCGACAGGTATTTGAGAGAATATCCAGCTGTAACAGCGTCAGGTGGTGGTCTTCTCTCTCTTGCAGTAACATTTGGTGTATCTACAACATCTATATAGCTCGGTAGCTTATTTTTCATTTTGCTGACTTCAGCTTTAAACTCTTGCTTGGTGAGAAGGTTTTGTACTTTTGATATTGGAAAGCACTGTCCATTCTTTGAATCATCTGACTCCTTTTCAGGTGACCATTCCTTAACTACAATAGTTACAGAGTATTCTTCTGATGACATGTCCCTAAACATATCAACAAGAGTTCCAATAATTTTAGGTCTAGTTTTCATGACTAGATAATCTCCAATGGAATAATTTGTTTGTCCGTATTTGATCTTTTTGTAGAATGTTTTCATACCCTTTCCTTCTTTTTGAGTTCTTTCGAAATCACATTCGTCAAAAATTATTTCTTCATCTAATTTTTTGTGGCATTCCTTAATCCATTTTCTATACCTCTGTGTCAAGTTTCTTTCGCTGTAATTTAAAAGTGCTTGACAGAGTGCTGTTTGTTTGCAAAGGTACATTTTGTTGGCCGATACTTCAAAATTAGAATCAAAAAAGAGCATTCCCTTAATTCTTCTATAGCAATTTTCTGGAATATCCCTATTACTTCTTTCCTTCTCCATAAAAGGTAAATTTTTGATTTTTTCATTAGCTAACAGTCTACCATTCCAAAAGCATTCAAATCCAGGATTTCTTTCGCTCAGAGGTACTTCTTGGTCAGTAGGAATATATTTTCCTCCTTCCAAATATAATTCTTCTGGTATTGGAAGAGTTTCTCTTCCTTGTTTGAAAGGATAGTAATAAATTATTCCTCTCACTGTGCTATTAATTATCGACACTCCATATTGGGATGATGTTGGCAGGGTCATTTCAGGCGCGTTCAAATTTTCTCCATTTTTGACACTGAGTTTGATTTCAAAAGTGAACGGTGACTTTCCCTCCTGAAGATATAATGTTTCCATGTCCTTGTCTTCATTCGATATGGCTGTGCCATCTACTTTCATTATGACATTTTTAGGTTGCTTTAATTGCCATAAATCGTCTTCATCAATTGAGGGCATCTTTGTTTTCTTTTGAGACTTGATTGGTGGCATTTCTTCCTCCTCTCCTTCGGAAAGATCATCAATATCACTCATGTTATCATTTTCATCAGGATCTTCAATAATATCTCTTCCTTCCTTATTACCATCAGTTCCATGTATATAATAGTGATAGATGTGGCCTAAACGCTTCTTGATAATTGCTGGATCATATCTATCGACATAGACCTTCTTAATGTCCGAAATTGTAAAGTGAGTAAAGCTTTCCCATTGTTTTTCTGTATCAGTTGGAGGTCTAGAAATACAATTGGCTTTCCATTGTTTGTCTTTTCCTGAAGTAAAATCTTGCTCCAACTTTTGCCTTGAAAGGGAAACTTCATAAACAAATCTTGAATCTTTTGGTTTTGAGACAAGAGTGACTTCATCTCCCAAGTTGAAAATGGCCTTCTTGGAACCTACACCATACCTGGAAAAGTCTGACGTAACAAATTTATCAAAAAACCTTCTGCGGAGTGGTGCCTTTTCTCTTGTTGGCAACTTGGAATCATCAACTGGGGCTTCAGTAATACCAAGAGTAGCCCAATTGACTAAGGTTTTAAAATTCATTCCTCTTCCATTATCCCAAATATGGAGCTTGCTTGTAAGTTCATTACTCTGTGTAGGCTTTTCAAATCGAATTTCGATAAGCCTTTCATTCTTGTTGAGGACAGTGTTTTGAATAGAATTGTCCAAAATTTCAGCAAGAGCGGTAATGAAGTCATATTCATCTCCTCCGTGAATTAAAATATTTACATGAGGTACAATATCTACAGTCAATTGTAAATTAGCCTTAACTTTAGAAGATGATTCAGAAGTATTTTGGCCATTTTTCAATGTCAATATAAAACACCCATGACTCGAAGTGGGTGGTAAGTTTCTTGTCGAATGAGCACTTTGATTAATGTCGTCTAATATGATAACTTCGTTGGTGTTTGCCTTAGATTTTCCAATTTGAGATGCATCTAAATCGGCATCCTTTACATCCTTATCATCCAAATTTCTAATAGATTCAATTTCATTCACAGATTTTAATTTAAAAATCTCACAAATGTAATGTTTCAATTGATTCACACTTGAAATTTTAGATTTAGGCCCAACAAGTTTTGTTTTTCCAGTGTGGGCATCCACAATCTTGTACATTGTTGGATCTGAATTTTCTTCGATTTTTGCAGTTGTCTCATCGTTTAATTTGGTTTTTTTTCTTGATGGTTCTATTTCTTTCTTAATTTTAGTTTCTGTCACTGTTGGTGGTTGACTTGCAAGTTTTGTTGGTTGTGATGATGATTTTGTTGTTTCTTCCGATTCCGATATTTCTTCATATTCGTCAATAATATTACTATCATCTTGGTCTTCCAAATATTTACTACTGTTATTGGAGGTACTCTTGTAACCATTTTCCTCATCGTTCTCTGAGGAGGTTCTCTTTTTAGATTTCTTTGCCGTTGTTGATGAAGAATTTTTGCTGTTCGTCTTTTTGCTTGATGACTTTGGAGGCATTTTATTCTTGTGTTTGTTGGAATACCAACGAGAAATATTTTGGCGCCAAATCTTTAAAGATAAAAATACAGATCTCGTAACTAATGCCATGTTATTGGAAACACCTTATTCATGTCTTGGTGGTTTTTCCACCACTTTGATTTTTGTAATTTGAATATGATCTTCCAATGGATAAATATTTTCACATTTGGTTCTAATTTCTGCACCCATTCCACATTTGATTGCCATTTGCTCAACAAATTCCAGAATGTTCATCTTACTAATATGTTTGGTTAATACTTGAGCCATGACAGTCCTAATCTTATGAATTTGCGACTTACTGGCATAGGATGTCTTTTTCAATTGCAATTCTGTCATTCTCGTGCTCACAATCATGGCTATTCTAATCTTGTAACCATCCAAACTCTTAAATTCCTGATTAAGAGTTATGGTTGAGCGACCTTTTCCTATCAATGATGCCAATTTATCTTGACTCAATCTAAAACCATTAAACTCTGTTTCTGCATGTTTTCGAAGAGCAACATTATTGATCTTCAATTTTACAATATTATGATTCAATTCTTCCTTCAAAGATGGAATAATATCAGGAGCTGAAACTTCCACTGTTCGATCAAGAATTTTTTCAAACGTTGGAGTTTGATCCACTTTTTTCTTCACTTTTTTCTTCAATTTTTTCTGCAAGGCGATAGTGTGTTCTGATTTTGTAATGGGTGTCATTAAAGGAGGATAATCTCCCTCAGTATTGGTGACAGTAGCATATTCATTGGTATCTGATTTTTCATAGCTCAGGTATGGTGATTCTATTAGAAAGAATTCTTTTCTATCTTGAAAATATTTTGGCAGACGGTACCTTCTTGGTAACATACGTTTGTTCCTTCCGAGTCCTCCCATTTTTTTGCATGAAATTGAAATATTTATTGAAAATGGATTGATGGCTATTGTTAGTAATTTCACAATTCTGAGATTGAAATTCCAAAAAATCTACAAGATTTATTACAAAAAAATGAAATTATAACAATTTTAGCAGGTGATGTGAATAATATGTAATTATTAGTTAATTGTTTAAATTATTTAATTTTTAAATAATTGGGATTTTTGAATTTTTATTTAAAAAAAAATGATTGAAAACGTTCATTCTCTCGGTTGGCTACTCAAACACAACACTCCATTACTGAGTAAAATTTTACTATTTTGCGACTGCAAGACAGTGCTCCACTCAATTCCGTACGTTTGTAAGAGTTGGGCCAATTTAATGTATAATTGTTTTCCATCGGTTGTGGATTCAATGCACTTGGATTCCGTAGTGGAAAATTCCATCATGATGATGATGACGGATGAAAGTCTTAGTGCCAGTAATCATCACCATCAAAAGAATTCTACTACTGATGATGACGATGAAGAAATTAAAAACATTTGGGAACTCCTCTTCTATAGAGATTGTACAACTTGTAGAGGAAAACAGAATAGTTTTTGTTCCTTGTTGGAGAAAATTGAATTTAATCAAGTTTTTATTCCCGATGATTATGCTGATGGACATAGGGAGAGGAAGTGTTTTGAAAATTTGTATAAACACTTGATGAGGGATTGGGTTCTCGAGAATGCCATTAAGCCAAACGATGCACTCAGATCAGTAGCTGCCAATTATTCGGAAATTATTTCAATGAAGGATAGAGTTTCTCTCTTCCGAGAATTTATTGCAGAACAAGAGGAATATGCAACATTGGATAAACATCTCAAAATTAATGAAGGAGACATTGAAAATCTCACAAGGGATCTATCTCTTATAGAAGATACTTTTAAATTTACCAAGTTTGTCCAATGTATTGAAGTTGAGGATGAAGACGAGACCATTGTAGAGGATGTTATTGAGAGGAGGAGTATGCAAGTTGAAGGAAGCTTTTTAAACTGGAATGGAGATATTGTACACATGACTTTCGTATTGGATTTTCCATATAGTGAATTTAATCCAGAGGCAGATGTGGACATGGATGTATTTTTCAATCTTGGTGACATGATATCATTGGCAGCAGGAGAAGTTAATTTACCAGATTTAAATGTAATTCTAGGAAAGGACATTGGAGCTGCCTATCCATGGATTTTGGACACTAGTGGTTGTAAAGTTGAGAGCGAGGAAGACATGTTGCATGTCTTGTTGAATAACTATTTAATTACCATTCTAATTGGCGCCATTTCAATGCAAGTCATACCAATTAAGGAGTATAATGATTTAACATTTTCAAGAACTGATGACTTGCTATACTTTTTAAAGTTTGGCACAATAGACATTATGAGTGATTGTATACCTGAAGTGAAACCTCAAGTTGGCACTAATGATTTGATGGATGATTCCTTGAATGATTAGTTACTGGTTCAATTCAATTATTAAGATTTACCTTAATAATCAGGAGGAGTTGGTATATTTTAATTGTTCTAATCAAGTTTCGATATGATTACTTTGGATAGAATGATAAATTTCAAAATGTAATATTTCCATTCCTGGTAAATAATCAAGTCGATTATAACAGCCAAGCAACAGATAAATAACATTTCCAAATCAAAAAAATGATTGGACAAGCTATCAATTTGACGAATTTATTGGCAGTTGTTGCTGTGGTTTCTTTCGGTTTCCTCTATTCAGAATTTACTGTATCCACATTGAAATATGTAACAACCAACAGCTTGAACTATGTATTTGCCTTTCTTCCTCGTGGACAATTCTCCTCCATTGAAAATAGCATCCTTTCTAATGTTCGTTCAATGAAATCCATTGCTGAAATCTCTTCCAAGTATGATACTCAATTCGTCCCTTCACAATATACCTTCTCCGTTTGGGCACTCATTTACTTTTCCTTGTCCTTGTTTGGAATTCTATCCTTACTAACCAATAAGGAAGAAAAGGAAAGGATTGGTCGAAACATTGGCCCATTATTCTTTGTAACAAATTTATTGAATATTGCCTGGATGGTTTCATTCAGTTTGGAATATATTTTCCTTTCACACTTGATCATTGTTGGATTGTGGTGGACCTTATTCACACTCTATGCTCGAATCATTGATGTGAGATATGGATATACAGTGAGCAAGTATCCTCTCTGGGTCAAATTACCATTCTCAATCTATCTTGCCTGGATATCATGTGCAGCAGTTGCCTCCACAATGATGGTTCTCAAACACGATATTATGAAACCATTCATTGATTCATTTTCTAATACTGCTGAAAAGGAAAAGATGTTTGTTTATAATTTGGATTTCACCAGTCCAGTTCTTGCTGTTGTTTCCTTGGTTGGAGTATTGTCAAACATGTTGGATGAGCAACAGTGGGTTGCTGCATTTGTTACCCTTACCTCTGTTATTGGATTATGGTTCTCAAAGTTTAAGAGAGATTCATTATTCGTGTTGGTTTTGCTTTGGTCATTGGCAGGAATTGTCTTGAAGAATTGGTACAATCCAGATCCACTTGTAAGGATCGTCTCTCAAGTGAACATGGTCATTATGTTCTTTGAGTTTTTATTCTCATTGTATCATGTGTTGACTCAACCTGGACAAAGATTAATGATGGAACCAAGTATCATTGAAAAGAGAGATGTTGTTAGTAGCGGTGGTGGTGTATTGGAAATTGACTTTAAGGGAAATCAAAAAGGAAATAAGAAAAGGAAATAATTTAATAAAGGTAGGATTACAGTTCAAAGGTGGTAATTAAAGGTTTGTGGTGTTGGGATTCGGTGCTAGTATTTGTTTCCAACAATTGGAAGTCCAATGTTTTAACACAAGGGGAAATGAAGACATAGTCGAGGGTAGAAGATTCTTTGGTTTCTTGATCAACAAAGGTTGGTTCAAAGGCAACATTATGATACCATGTTCCTGAATATGATTCAGATTCACTGGATTCATCTTCATCATTATCTTCATCGTGATGATCTTCAGAGGAGGCAGTCGATTGGCGAGAGTCTGTCTTTTCAAAGACCATCAAGGAAGCAGATAATTGTTTTTGACATGGAATAATTAAGCTTTCTCTATCGTATGGTGTTGGGAAATCATCAGAGTCAGAGTCACTATCAATAGGTTTAGTTTGGTCATCATTATTGTGAGCACCAAGGTCAGTTCCAGTAACCAGAATACTCAGAGCATTTGATTTTGGTAAACTGTTAAAATTACCAACAGTAATGGTTGGTGTAATTGTTGTCTTGTTTGTAATTGAATTGTAATTTGACATTTTACCAACAATTTCTTGTCTCATAGAATGAGCAGCATATCTTCTAGCTTCCACTCCTTGATCCCAATGAGTGTTAAAAACAATAAAGTCCTTGTACTCTTCCTCTGCCTCCTCATCATATGGTTTAAAAACAAAGGCTGCCCAATTACAGAAACGAGGCACAAGTGAGTCCCAGGATTTAGTACCTGCTTCCTTGTGGTTCTTACTAAACCAATAGACGCCACAATCTACACACTTCAATCTTTCGGAATTATAAATTATTGGCAAGTATTCAGTGACAAAGTCATCAGGATCCCTATCTTCGGTTTCTCTATTTCTGACTTCATTCTGTAAAAATCTTGTTATTATACTGGTGGTGGAGGTAGATTGAATCATTGGTGTATCTTCGTCTCTTTCCTCACTACTTTCTATAGTTTCGTCAAGTTTACTTGGTTCATAACTATTCTTGTGTCCACAACAGAACCATTTATAAACTGGTGGCTCATTATCCTCGCTGTCAGTCATGGTTTCTTCATGCTTCATTTCCAAGTGTTCTTCAGCCTTTTTCAAGCATTTCAATGATTTAATTAATTGTCCATAATTGACATCTTGCAACAAGATTAAATCAGGTGCTTGTTCACCAATCTGTTGAATGGTTGACTTGTTATTATCATCATCTTCATCAATGTTTTCTCCTTCAACACTTGATGCACTCCATGAAGCAACAGTAAGCTTTTTCTTTGATGTCTTCCTACTACTCGTTGCCTTTTCGAATTGTTCATCAAATTGTGCATCAATCAATGATGAAGACATGTGATGATGATGTGAAGAATGTGATTTTTCTAAAATTTCCAACTTGACTTCATGACGTTCATCCACAACAATAACATTATTAATTGGTGATGATGCTGGAGAAAAGTCTTGCTCATCAACCCATCTCGATGTCACGGCAGACCTTCTTGTATAGAGGGAGGTATCTGCATTACCTGATGATAATATTGGAATACTATTGGAGGATGAGGAAATAGCAACATTGTTGAGGAGAGAATTTGTTTGTTGTTGTGGTTGTTGATCATCAACATTCCGAATAAGATTAAAATTCATCATATTACCGTTATTTTCCAATGGAGAATCGTGTTGTTGCTCCAAAATTGATGATGAGTGAGCTGAATCGGTACTGCTCAAACTAGTTGTGCTCTGTGATAAATTCGACTTGTCCTTGCTTGCCTTTCTGCGGTTCTTTTTATTCTTACTGTTCCTCTTTCTGGCCATTTTTTTAATTGTTGTCTTATCTGCATAGAGAATTTAATAATTGATGTGATGATGGGCGAATCATTATTACCGGTTGAGTTGTTATTCAGCCGAGAGTAGATAGCATGTAAATAATATCTTTGTAAATATTGTAACAATATAGTGGTATTGGTGTGAAGGATTAAAAACAAATTTCATGGTTAATTTTGTTGCAACAAACAATTCTTGTTCCCGCCAAGTTTTGGTGGCCATTTCCAAAAAATTCTAGAAAAAAATGTCTACAAACCCATCACGTAGATCAAACTTTCATTCTAGAGGCTCCATCTCGAGCAGCAGCCCAACACTAGATGAATTTACTATCGGTAGGTGTTATCAACACTAGTTGATGGGCTAATATCATATTATTCTTATGTAATATTTTCAACATTTATTATGTGGAACAAATATTTGTGTGGATTAATAATAACAATAATAGAAAATTATAAAAGAAAGATCAAGGAGCAAGAATCGGAAATAAGTGATCTCCAAAAGGAACTCCATAATTTTCGTATGAAGGAAAGTGATTTTATGTTTAATTCTTTGTTGATGAAGTTTTCATCAGAAAAGAAGAGGAAGAGAGATGAGTTCGATGAAGATTCTTGCAATGACACCAGTCAAAGTGTAGCAAAAGCCGAGCAACAAAACACCCACCAAAGCACTCATCTTGCAAATGGAAAACCACAAATCACTTTGGAAGAACACGAAAAAAAGATTTCCGAATATACTGCTCAAGTAGAAAACCTAGAGAAGGAAAATTCCGATTGGAAAACCCAAATAACCTCCTTGAAGGAATTACATGGAAAATTAGAACATCAATTCAATCAGCTTACAGAACAATTAGAAAAGTCTCTCACTGAAAACAAAAGAATTACTGAGGTTTGTGCTCAAAACGAACAAGCTGTCAAGAAGGCAGAAAGTGAAATCGAATCTTTAAGAAATGAGTTGAAACAAAAAGAAAATATCCTAAACCAATCTAATCAAGAGTTGGAAACCAGAAAGAATGAGTTGGAAAATGTGAAGAAAGAGTTAGATAGTGTAAAGAGCGAGATGGAATCACAAATCAAACAATTGACCACTCAGCTCGAACAAAATCGACAACCTGTAACTCAAATTGCTAACAATGACGAGAAGGAAAAGGAGCTCACTCAACAAGTTAAGAATCTTGAGGAAGTTAATTCTAAACTTCAACAAGAAATTGTCAGTCTCAACAAGGAAAAGGCCTCATTGGAGCAATTAAATGTTACTCTCAACAGTGATTTGATTAATTCACATGAACAAGAAAAGGAAAGAGCCAAGAAGGTCAATGAGCTGGAATCGACATTGTCCCTACTTGATGATGACAAGAAGAGACTCGAACTTCTCATCAAGGAAAATGAAACACTCTCCGAGGAACGTGTTCGTACTGCTTTGAATGAATCCGAGAGTAAGGATGCTCGTATCACAGAGTTGGAACAACAAAAACAAGATCTCACTACTCATGTGGAAGAGTTAAAGACTAAAATCAGTGATATTACCAATAACCAATCCAATTATGATCAACAACTTGTGTCTGAAATTGAAAATCAAAAACAATTAATCACACAAAAAACACAAGAATTGGAAGAGAGAAATGCTAAAATTGTGGAATTGGATAGCCATGTCCAAAAATTACAACAAGACCTCTCTAATGAAAAGGAACAAAGCACTAAGAGTATGAATGAAATCACATCACAAATTGAAGCACTCAAATCAGAATTATCTGCAGCCACTGAGAGTCATGCTATAGTTTTGAATGAAAAGACCACACTCCAGAATGATATTCAAATTCTTGAAAATGATAAGAATCAATTAAGTATCCAACTTAAAGAAATTCAAGGACACCACGAAAGCCTTCAAGCTTCTATTTTGGAAAATGAAAAACAAAAACAAGGTTTGCAAACATCTCTATCAGAATACGAAATCAAAATCGCTCAAAACTCTGAACAAATTAACTTGTTACAGGCACAAATCGAAAGTCTCAAACAAGTTGAAACACAACTCCAAAACTTGAAATCTGAAAATGAACAATTACAACAACAAGCCACCTCTTATACCGAGTTATTAAAGAAGAGAGAGGGCGAACTTACCAATCAACAAGAAAAAGAACAACAATTGTTACACCAAAAGGAAGAGGAGATTAAAAGTATTCAAACCAAATATCAAGAAAGTATCAAAAAGAGAGATGTCAAATTGAATAACATGGAAAGCGAAATCCAAGAATTGAAGAAAGCCTTGGAATCTGCCACCTCTGAAAAGAATCTTCTTAATACAACTATTGAACAACAAAAGAAGACATTTGAAGACAAACTTGACGATATTAATACACGACACCAAGAAGAAAAGAAGAATCAAGAAAAGCTAGCAGCATCTCTTACAGAAACATTGAACGAAAAGAATACTTTGGTGGAAAAACTCAAGAGTGAAAAGAATGCCCTAGTTGAAGAAAGATCTCAATTGAAAGCTAAAGAGGAACTTTTACAAACAACCATTGAACGCTATCGTGCCGAAACAGAGGTGGAATCCAATAATAATAAGAAGAAGGGTGTTAAGCGTGATTCTCAAGATGATACTGCACCAACATCTTCCTCAACAATGGACCCTCCAAAGAAGAAGGTAAAGAATGACACACCTGCTAAGAAAGAATTCAAAGTTATATTTTCTGGTTTTAATGACAAGATTGCCAAGTATACTAATGCTTTCAAGAAGACTTTGGAGGATTATGTTAAGGAATTAGGAGGAGTTATTGTTGACGATGTAGATATGGGAGCAACACATGTTGTAGCACCACCTGGTGTCAGAAGTAAGTACTATTGATTACCTAAATTATTAACAAGTGTCAGCAATCAAGGTTCTCCAGGCAGCAGTTGCACACATTTGGATCATGAATCCTGAATGGCTTGAGGAATGTAAGAAACATTCCAAGCTTGTTGGTATGTTGTTGTAAACATTTAAATTCTAATTTTTCCAAGACGAATCTTCTTTTGGTAAACTGAGAGAGGAAGAATTATTTAAGGGAAAGAATGTCGGTTTTACTGACGCATTTAAAAAGGAATGTGATAATTCAAAGTATAAGGCTCAAAAAAGAATGACCAATGCCAAAACTCTTGTGGAAGGAGGGTCAGGAGCTGTTACTGAAATGGAAGAAGCTGAATTGATTTTAGTGTCTGCTGAGGAAAGTCTTTCTGCAAACGGTAAAACAAAGAGAGTTTTTACTTGGGAAGGATTCCTTGATTACATTTTCCCAAAGAATTAATATTTTTCTAGCTTGTAAATAAATAATTTATTTTGATTCCTCCTTAATAATTTCACATCACAAAAAGTACTTGGGTATCCTTATCAACAATACTTGTTTTTTTAATGGTTTGTTGATGAAAATATTCAAACTGTTGGCTTAAAGGAAGAATGGGTTATTACGAAGTTTTGTTGATGGGTATTCTTGTGTCAAGTCAACTGATTCAATTGATTTTTTGGCGTAGAGTAAACATGCTGGCATTCTTACAGAACCATTCCAATTATAGTAGAGATGTGTTTGTCTGAAAGTAATTTTGATAATCTCATCAACTGAGAACATGGTATTGTTGAACAAAACTTGGTATCTGACTGGTTTGCTGTATCCAATATTACTATTAATAAAGCACGAGTTCATGTAAAATTCTTGAGTTTGGTATCTTGACATACTGGTAACAACAGTACCAATTGGTGGATTCTGATTATCCATATTAAATCTGGCATTAGAGTCCTTGTTTACACTAACCAGGCAAACTTTGGTATATTCCATTTCAGCTTCAAGACAAAAGTCATGAATAAGTTGAGAAATATCAATACAATCATGTCCACTATTGTACAAAATCAAAGCACTAGGCATTCCTCCACTGTTTCTATTACGAAAAGCTTGCAAGGCCTCCTTAATACTTGACAATAACTTGTTACGAATGTTTGTTTCATCACTCTCTCTGAAGGGAACTGTATAATACAGAGTAGTACTAGTATTTAGTGAGAGTGAAATGGAGCCTTTAAAGTTTCTTCCCTTTCTCTGAATATCAATACCACAAACTGATACAAACTCTTGATAGGATCTTTCGACAGACCAAATAAGACCACCAATCTTGGCTGACATTTGTATCAAACAATTAGGAAGTCTCTTAAACCAATCTCCATTACAAACAATACATTGTGAAGGAATACCAACAGTACAATTGTAAAACTGTTTCAATGCACTGTAAATATGCTTATTTTCATTAGCCATGAGGAAAAAGACATAGTCCAGGTCATTCCAATTTTTGTAACCTTCAATATCATGCATAAAATCTCTACCACGATCATCCAAATCAAATACAAGAGGCTTTCCCAAATCGTACCTTCTAATGGCATCCATAAATCCTTTAACAAGGAATTGTGGTGATACAAGCGCCCAATTTTTTCCTTGCAAACTGTTAATGACAGTATCCATAGAAACAGTCCATTTGTCATTTTTCATGCCTTCAATTCCAGAGACTTGTGGTTGTGGAACAACAGTAAAGCTAGTTTCAAGTGCTCTGTCGATTTGCAATCCAACCGAATCAAGGAATTGTCTTGACTCTCCACTATTCATTTTGTTAGAAATTCTGGTTATGTAGTCTTCCTTTTGTGTAACTGATTTCTTTGGAATTTTCCTCAAATCCTTCTTGTTAATACCAGAAATGTAACAAAGTTCTGGAATCAGATAGTTAACTTGTTTTTTCTGATTTCTCATCTTGACCATAACACAAATCAAAGGCTGATTCTTATCTCTAACATTGATATTGTATCTTTCCTTATAGTATTCAAAGTAAGGAACATCTTTTCCATCTTTTTTAAAGGTCGATGAAGGTGTTTGGTTGAAATCAATATCCTTAATGACAAATGATCTATTATTGTAGACGATACTGAGACCCTTATATCTTTCTGCTATGGATAAATAGTTATCTCTTTGCATATCATTCTTCAAATCTTCAATCATGGAATATCTGCTAGTGATCTTTTGTTTGAATGTTAAGGAGAGACACAAACCACTTCCAAGGAAGGCTAAAGCAGGAATAACACCATCTCTCACAGAGTATCTATCAACGATAGCGCCTTCTTTTTCAACTTCAGCAAATCCCAATCTATCCATCTTTAAGTATTTAAAAACCTTGGTCAGACAAAATGAAATAGCCTGTTCTAATCTAGTATCTTGAATATTATTGTTAATGGAAACTTCAGTCTTTCCTTCAATTTTCACTAAGAATGGAATCTTGACACCATTCTTTTCGTATGGCATAACAATTTCTAAGGATGGAACCTTCTCAACAGAAACAATTAATGAGCCATCAAACATTGGCAATCCAGGAATTTGTGAGGTCCAATTATAAGTCTTTTTTATCATGAAAAACAACTTGAATTTGAATGGAACTATATTCAACATGGATTCAGCCCATCTCTTACTTTCTTCTGGAATTTCAGCCCATTCGGTTGTTTTGGATGCACAAGTCACAGAAAATGATGATAATTCGAAAATTCTATTCGGAAGCATTCTGATTGGAAAGAAGTTTGTTTTAATTCTATCGGATGATGTTCTTTGCCCTCCGTGGCCTCCTTGATAGCCTCCTCCACGACCACCAAAGCCTCCATGTCCTCCTTGATAACCTCCTCCACGGTGGTGACCACCACCCTGGTGATGTGATGGTCTTCCAGAGTTGTCCTCCTTGAAACGTTTGTTATAGTCTTGATTTCCTTCGAAGCCTCTCTTGCTCATTTCGTGTGTGGCTTTGTGATTTGTGTTGGTCGAAGGAAAAACTGGCAATATGTTGTTTGCTTATTTTTTTGATTAACTGAAGAGAAATTGAATGATTGAAAAAGGCTGGAAAGTTTGTTCAAAATATTTGTTTCTAAACAAAAGGCTTCTTGTTCAAAGTCAAGAAATTATGTTTAACTCAAATCTCAAACATGATACATCAGCTGGAGTACAGTTTATAGTGATTAATTAAAGCTGGCATTTAGTGAGGTATCTCAACAATTATTCATTATTGTAAAGAAAGCTAAAAACATAAAAGTATCTCCCATTGATGATGGGTTACAATTACCTTGTTGTTAAAAGTTCAGATCTTCCAAACACTTTCAAAGTATTCTTTCAGATGAATGATTCTTCCAACATGAGCACAACCCATTAAATAAGTTGAGAGAATTCATGAGACCTTCATGATTTTATCTTTCTGGGTTCAATTCACAACATGGGAGAATTATTTTGCTTTTATCAACTACGGCCATATCACGATGAATGCATCTCATCCCGTCCGATTTGAGAAGCATCGTCGAGCCACATCAGTACTGAGGTTGGAGACAACTTGGGAACCTGTGGTGCTGTAGTCTTTGTTTTTTCACAATATTTACGAACATTTTGACATACTATCATTAAAGGAAACGCGCATTGCTGTGCAAAAGAAAAAAGGTAATCTCCCCCTGGTGGGCTCGAACCACCGACCTGCAGATTAACAGTCTGACGCTCTACCGACTGAGCTAAGGGGGATTACGAACATTTTTCCATTGTAAAAAGAACATTTTTCCATTGTAAAAAGAACAATCGTTTATTGAAATCAATTTTTAATTTTGTGCTGAGTTCTTTCACTAATAATCATTGATTCAGTCTAAAAAACATTAGAAACAATTAATCATATGAGAATAAAGGTAATAGAATATCAAATTACAAGATTAAAAACAATTCATTAAACAAAAAAAATGGAAAATCAAATCGAACCAATTTCTCTCATTCTTTCCGATTCTCCCTCATCAACACTTCTCAAACAACATTTTCACTCACAAACTCGATCCCTCCTCCAAAGATACAATCAAAACCGTAAATATCTCAAACAAGTAAAAGACAGTGCTGGTCGATGTTTAGAATTCTTTCCCGGAACAATCAAATCAAGAGAATTAGCAATCTATGGTCTTTCTCAGTGTGGTAGTTATTTGAGTAAATGTTCCGAGGTGTTGAGGAATGATGAATTGGTTGTCTCGATTGCTGTTCGACAGGATGGTCTCTCACTCCAATTTGCCAGTGATTTATTGAGGAGTAGGAGGGAGATTGTTATGCAAGCTGTTCAACAGAATGGAATGGCATTGAAGTATGTTGAAAAGAAATCGGAAATGTTGAAGGAGAGGGAAATTGTTATGAAAGCCATTCTCACTACTCCGATGGTGTTGATGGAATTTAATGAAAAGGATTTGATTTCTGATAGGGAAATGGCATTGACTCTCATCAGACAAAATCCTACAATATTCAAATTTCTGAATAGTCAATTAAAATCAGAGAGGGATATACAATTGGAAATTCTATCATTGGATGGGAAATATTTGGAATTTTTCAATGAGGACATGTTATTGTGTAGTGATAGGAAATTGGCATTCCTTGCTGCAAGAAATAGTAAATTGGCTTATCCTTTCATTGAGAAATCACTGAGGGATGAAATTGCTTTGGAAAAGGGTGATTTGACATTTGTGGAGAAGGTTTCAAGAATTCAAATAGGAGAGTATGCTCTCCTGACAAGCAATCAAATTCCATGTCAGATTGAAAGTATTGAAAAGGATTATAGTTCATCAAAGTGTGGGCCTTCATTCAAAATTAATATTTCAGGAAGAGCTCTATTTGCTCAATTAACTATTAATAATTCAAATCCAATACATATGACCTATTTTGCCAGTGTCAGTAATTTATCTGCACTGGTGTGCCCTTTCGTTTACAGAATCAAGTGTCAACTAATTGGAATTTCAGAAAATGAGACCCTTCTAATGAATATAATTTCAAGTGATTCAAATGCAAAGCTCTCACAATTTCACAAAAATCTCCTACCTGACTCAATTATTAATTGTTTAACAGACTCAAACACAATTTTAGAAATTATTCAAGTAATGGGTGAGCAAAAGATTGTGAGCATTACTCAAAACAATATCACCACATTACTTTCATATCAGTAACATTATTAATTTGGAAAGTTGGCTGTTTTATTCAAATATGGAAACTGGATAGCTCTTCACCACACATTGATAAGGAGATATCCAGCAACACCCACACAATTTAGTGATAATATTCAACTCTACTGTTTCCCTATACACTCACAACACATCTATAAAAATTGGCTCTACAAAACAAACAGATATCACAACCCAGGGAATGGAAAGCATCATGAACAAACAATTACTTGTCTCTGGATTTAATTTATTTCATCAGATTGACTTTTCAGATTCAACAAGAAGATTTGGCTTTGAGAATTTCTCACCACTCAAAAAGAATGAATTGTCATCATCTCCCTCCATGGCAATGACACTCAATAATAGTCGTTCGAGTTTAATGTCAATGATGTATGGGGAGAATATTGTAAATGCTTGTGGAAGTTTATTTTACAACATGTATTTGACTAATTTTGGAAGATTGTTTGTGTTGGGGAATTTTCATATAACTGATCATGAATATGTAGAGTTTCAGAAAGAATCGAATAATGGCTTCTTTTTGGATGATAGTGCTAGAGATTTTGATAATAGAATGATTGTTGCTACCACTAGTTATAAGAGATTTTACGAGTTGTCCAATCATTCATCACTAATTGATTCAAAGATAGTACAGATGGCATGTGGAAGAGATTTCTCACTCCTCCTCACACAAGAAGGCACAGTTCTTGCCTTTGGAAATAATATGAATAATCAATGTGCATTTCCACTGTCGAAAACATTAAGTGGAAGGGCCTATTTTCCAAATCAAATTCAATCTCCTGTTCAGGTACTCTCTAGAGCTGTTTCTGTTTCATGTGGACAGAAACATTCAATTGTATTGATGAATGATAGAAAGACACTTATTACTTTTGGAGATAATAGTTATGGACAGTTGGGAATTGGTCATTTGGATTCAGATCCAGACCGACATTTCATTTCGTTGGGAGAATATATGGATAGTGATGATTATATTGAAAAGATTGAATGTGGTGGATTTCATAACATTGTGCTAACAAGGAAAGGAACAGTCATTCTATTTGGTAGAGGTATAGAAGGTCAATTGGGATTGAAACATTCAAGTTCAATAAGTAAGCCAACCATTCTCAACACGTTCAGAGAAAACAATCTAAAGGTCAAATCTGTAGCTTGTGGAGAAATGCATACATTGTTTCTAACCTATTGTGGACAAGTGTTTGCCTGTGGAAGTAATTATAAGGGAGAGTTGGGACTTGGAAAGCACAACTCACTTGTTCAACATGTGACAGAGCCAACCAAGATTAATTTTGAAAAGAGCATAGAGACAATAAGCTGTGGATCGTGTCATTCATTAGCAGTGAGTCGAGATGGGAGCCATTTTGCATTTGGCCAGAATCAAGAAGGTCAACTCGCCATGAAGGGAGGCAATAGATTTGAGTTTCTTCCCAAGAATATTTCCATTGAATCGACGGAACATCTTTCAACATCTTCCTTATTTTCTAATAGCTCTTGTTTTTGTTCATTCTTGGTTAGAGGAACAGCCAATACACGGTTGACAGAGTTTTTCACCAAGTTGACAACTTCACTTAATTCACACAAAGCCTTTGCAGATTGCACCTTTACTTTTGAAGAATAAAATTATTAACATTTGAATATATTTGAAATTTTACAAAATATGTTCACTGAAGAACGTTTTTTAATCAATAAATTACTTTTAGGGAAGAATTAATACAAAAGAAAGGTAAAACTCAACACAATAAATGTGTTACTTGCTTGACGAAATGAAAACTTGGATGGTTTAAACAAAGTTTTGGAAGACTTGGGATCTACGAGCAATAGATGGACCCATTTCATCATATTGAGCCTTGGTATAACAGACTCTCTTGAATTCGTTCATAGTACCCAACATGGAACCACCAAACCAAACAGCAAAACGTTGGTGATTGTGAGCAATAACGTTACATTCCAAAGGACTTGGCTTTGGCTTACCACTTGAAGTCATGGAAACAGCTCTTTCATAACGTTCATCCAATTTCTTCTTCATGTCACGTTGTAAACGTCTATCAAAGTGTTCAAACATTGTTGAACCACCAGAAAGGACAATATTCTTGTACAAAGCTCTACGAGCATCAATTGGTGATGAGAGAATACATTGATCAACAACGTCTGGGAGTGGAGTGCTGAAAGTTTCAGTGAAAATTTCTGGATTGAAAAAGACTTCTGGAGCCAAGAATCTTTCATAGGCAACATCAATTTCCCATTTACCAGATCTCTTATTTTCTTGAGAGTACTTGAGAATATTTTCTGCTGGATTTTGGTCAAATTTACCAAATTCCTTTGCCAAATCGGAACAGACATAACAATACTTTTCCTTGATCTTTTGGACAGCCAATTTGATATCTTCAGATGGCATATTCTTTTCACGATCCATAACGAAACGCATCAAGAATTCAGTGACATCTCTACCAGCCAATGGGATGTGTTTAATACTAGAACCAATGACATAACCTTCAACAACAGGAATGACGTGAGTAACACCATCACCAGAGTCAATAACAGTACCAGACAATGTACCACCCAAACCAAGCTTTTTAGATTTGGATGATGTCCAAGAAGCACACAAAGCCAAAACAGCTTGGACAGCAATGTACAAACCAGAAACGTTGAATGTTTCGAACATAATTTCAGCTGTTTGTTCACGATTTTCTGGTGGATTGAGTGGAGGTTCAGTCAACATCAAGTAGTGATCCTCAGGTTCACATTTCAAATAGTTAAAGAAGCATTGTTCCCACAACATTTCCATCTTGCTCCAATCTTCAATAAGACCGTGTCTCATTGGATATACCAAATCATAGTTTCCACCAGTTTTTTCTTGTGCTTCATAACCAATGTAGAAATCGAGATCTTCCAAACCCTTTTCTGCTGATTTTGGATTGTGTGAAATACAGGTTGGAATGATATAGTTTGGTTCACTGTTACCAGCATAACCCATCTTGGTAAAACCAGTACCATTGTCAATAACAAGGACTGGATTGTTTCTAGCAATAACGTCGTTGGAATAACTCATCTTGTGTATCTGTGTTTGTGTTTTAAAATCACATTAGAACACAAAAAGATTTTTGTTGTTGTTGTTGGTCATTAAGATTGATGGATGGTTATTAATAACAATATAAACCATTCAAAGTGTTTAGAGAGGATATACACAATAATAGCAATGTTACCATCATCAATTTGAAGGCAGAGTAGATTTGTTGATGATTGATGGATACATAGTATATATATTGTTATTGTTAAGCAAGGCAACAAGAAAGTTGATAACCATCAATACCGGATCAGTAGATTGCATCAATAGGATGATCATTGTCCAAACAATACCAAAAAGCACCAAATGATCATCATCATTACCATCATATATTATCAAATATGTTATTATTGTTGTTGTAAGATGTTATTATTCATCATTATTATACATTGTTGTTGTTATATATTTAATACCATCAATCATTACATTGTTCGATACATCATCATTATCATTATGATTAATATTATATTATTAGACAAATGATTTTTTAAATAAAAAACGTACAATCAACAGTCAGCACGGGATGGAAGAGTGGACGTATTTTTTTTGTTGATGACTTGTGTTACAACACTCGGCTGATAGATGGGCGTGTTTAACTGTCAGCAGCATGTGAAAATCTGTTAATCTGTCTCGATGATTGGTGATGAGAGTGTTGGTGAAAAGAGAATATTATTGATTTAAAATGTTCGATGATTTGGTTTTGCAATGGTATTATGATTATGTGAGGTATGAAGGAGGATCCACGATTGAATGTGTGATCATGTGTTGTAATAATTTATTTTTAAAGATATTTAAGGATCATGTGGGGATTTCAGTAAAAAAATTAATCCATGTTAAGCTTGGAAGATGAGGAAGAGTAAGAATCTGAAAATACCTCCTGTGAAAACTGAAATTGGTGCAGGAATTGTGTAGACAGAGTGCATGCAAACTGAAAGCAAAACAGCAATGGTTGCGTAAACATTGGTATTCACAGCAGATTTCCACAATAATAAAATTGCTGCATAGACAAAACCAATGGCTGTAGCATTAATACCAGCTAAAATCTTTTGAGCCATTGCATTTTCTCTGTACTTTCTCCAAAGAGGAAGTAATCCCCAAATGAAAAAGAAACCTGGTAAGAAGAGACCCATCCAAGCGAGGAGAGCTCCTTGCCAACCACCAATACATGCTCCAACAAAGGCAGAGAAATTAAATAGTGGTCCAGGGAGTGAGCTAATAAGAGAGAATCCATTCAAAAATTGTCTTTCAGTAATCAATTGATGTTTGATACCAAATTCATTATAAATGAGAGGAATGACTGTTGTTCCACCTCCAAATACTGTCGAGCCCATTCTGAAGAATCCTTCAAATAGTAAAAGATACTTCCACTTTGTAAATTGTTTCACAACAAAGAGTATCAGGTATAAAATACAGAAAGAGCAAAGCATGATAACACCTGAAATTGGTTTGTCATTTCCAAACTTTTTAAAGAACTTTTTAACACGTTCCTTAAAGGAGAGACGAGGTTGAATAGCTTCTTCAAAGGAGTTTTGCAAATCGACTGATGACGGAGTATCTACAGACACATTGTTCGTATTGATAATAATTCGTTGTGCATTATTTTCTTCCAATTCCTCCTCTTGGGTATTTACAGTGGAGAAGGTTTCATCAGTTTCATTGTCGTTTTGAATTGTGGCAGGAAGAGGCTTTTTCCATAAGGTTGAAACGAAGAGGTAGTATTTTTTCAATAATTTCTTCCAATTTGGTGCATTAGGATTTGATTGAAGGGTTTCAAGTTTTCTCAATTCTTCCTCAGGTATTCTTTCTTTCATTCTAGAGCTAATCAAGTTTGTTTCCAAGTAGGAGTAGAAAATGGTCGAGAGAGCACCAGTAAACATGAGAATGACGAGCATCCAATTTTGTTGGACCATCAAGAAGCACGTGCAGGAAGCAATCATCAATACCTTGAAGAGTGTGGTACTGACGTGGAGCTTTGCCTCAGGAGAGATAGCAGAGCATGTCAGCTTCCAAGCTGCATTTATGACAATGGCAAGAGCACCACATGAAAAACCATTGATAAGCTTGTTAGCCCAGAGTGGAAGTTGAGCAACAATATCTACCTGACTGGCAATATATCCAGCCATAGTGAGCACAGAAACACTAGGCAGGGAGTAGAGAATGAAGGCAATAAGTCCACCCAAATATGAATTCAAATACAGAGTACCAATAGAGACAATAATTTGAGTAGAGGTTGTTCCTGGTAAAGCTTGAGCCAAGGCAAAAAGTTCTGTAAATTCCTTATCAGAAATCCATCTCTTGGAAAAGACAAATTGTTCCTCTATTATATTAAGATAAATTATGATAAATAATGTAAAGGTTGCAATATTGTAAAAATTATATAACAATTTCGTAACAACAAAACTTACCCAATAAACCCACATTGGCTACAGGACCTCCAAATGAAATAAAACCAAATGGGAAGAAGGCAATGAAGAGATCGAATATTTTCAATCCAAAACTACGATTTTCCAAAGTATTCAATGGCTGTCTAGCAGTTTCGATATGCAAGACATCATTACTAGGCACTTGTTCAGCATTAGGTGTAGAGGAAAGAATTGAATTATTCATCACTGATTCATTTCTAGGAATTGACAAAGTATCAACAATTGGTTCTTCAATTTCCTCACTATGATGTGCTATTATTCTATTTGATGTTTCCATTTCAGAATCACTATCATATGGATTAATATACTTTCTATGAGTTGTTAACGAGGTTTGTTGAACAGGAAGGAATGATGAATCTCTCTTCTCCACTCTATGATTCAATTCATCATCTTCAGCAAAATATGAATTTGATTTTTCTGTTTGATGATGATCATCGGAAGAGAAGAATTCACTTTGTTCAAATGTTGTTGATGGTCCTGGAACAATTTCATCATCGTATGGATTTTTCCATTTTACACCACCATTATTATCAATTGTACTATTAAATGTATTATCAATATGATTATCAATATTAGTAGTAATAGTCGTTGTAGTATTGCTGTTGCTGTTGTTATTGTATTCAATAAAATCTTCCGTATTGATAATTGTACTTGTTGTATTGTTATTATTAGTTTCATCATTAAAAGACGACACTGATTGTTCTTCCATTGATTCATTAATTCCCTCATCATTAGCACTGATAATATCCACTAATTGTTGTTCATTGTTATTATTATTATTATTACTAGTAGCATCAAACTCTTCATCTTCTTGATTTCCTCCTTCGGTATTATTACTATTATTTGCAACAATGGAATTTTCTGGTGTTGGATTAGATTTTTTCTTACGATTCTTTTTGGCCATTTTTTTAATGTTGTTGTTTTTGAATTATCCATGAATTGGATTTTGTTATTGAGAATTGTGAATATTATGTAAGTATTTAATGATTACAATAAAAAAATTACTAACATTGATGGATGTTGATGAAATGGTATGGTATGTTGTGAGCTTTGTTGATGTGAACTTATTTCGAAAAAAAAAATGATATACAAGAACACAATTCAGCCAACCGTCGACATTAATTCAAAATGTTGGCAAGCCGTTTCCATCATCATTTTACTTCTTTTCACAATTTCACAACTTTTAACTAATCTTGCCGAATGTTCTGATATTCTCCGCAGTAAATCAGTTTACACATTCGGTCAGAATAATGATAAACAAACTGGTAGAATGACATCTTCTGCAGCAGGTTATTCAATTTCGTATAACACACTGTTGGATAAAGTACTTTCGAATGGAAGTTTATCTTGGCAAATTGCCAATGAAGGACTTATTGGACTCGATCCGAATGTTTCCGTAAAATTGAAAAAAATTGTCAAGGGATTTAGTGCCGTCTTCTTCCTAGTAGAATATTCGAATCTCAATACAAGTCAATCATTGGGAGAATACATCTATGCAATTGGTAGTAACCAGAATGGTCAAGCATCAATGCTCTATCCACCATTTCTAATATCAGAACCTACATTAATTTACATTTACACAAGTGTTGGAAAGAGTGAAAATCCATTTCTTGGAAAGACTTCCATAAAACAAATGGAATGTGTTTATTCATGTTTGATTTTGACATCAGATGGAATTGTTTATAGACATGCAGGTGAGAATTACAATCACTATGCAACTGGTCGATGGTATGATAATACATTTCTTCCACTTTCTTATCAAGATCCAGATACAATGCAAACTTTGAATAATGTGAAATATGAAATGGTAGCAGTGGGTGGTGGTTATGGATATGAAACGTTTTTTGCCTTGACAAATTATGGACATGTGTTTAGTTTTGGTGAATATACTTTTGGTTTGAGAGGAACATCGAGTTCAATTAGTAGAGATGTTCCAACTTTGATTCCTGGATTGAGAAATATTACATTTATTGCTGCAGGAATGTATACGGATGTAAATTCATATCAGCCAACAGCTGGTGCCGTTACAGAAACTGGAATGTTATGGACATGGGGATCGAATGGTTTTGGTCAAATGGGTGTGAATAATGCAACATTGACAAGTAGTGAAACACCACAACAGGCAATCATTTCAAATGTTAAGAGTATTGTATTTGGATTTGGACATTTGTTAATTATTTTGAAGGATGGTCAAATGTATGGATGTGGTGATGGTTCCATGAGTGAAATTACTGGAATACCAGGTTCAACTTATTTCATTCCAACATTAATCAACGTTCCACAAACACCTATTGACTGCTCTCTATCCTTGAGATATACAGCATGTATTATGAATGATGGTAAATTGTACACTTGGGGAGATAGTACTAAACTAGCTCACTCAGATTCAGCATACTACTTACCAGCTGATGTTCCAAATAATGAAAACACAACCCACATTCAAATCCTTGCAGAGAATGCAGTTGCATACACCTCAGAGGGTCATTCAGTTGTTTGGGGATCATCCAATTCTGATTCACTTGGAGCTCTAGGTGATGAGAAACAAGTGAGATATCCAACTAAATTGCCCACTCCTTCCTTCACTGCCAATGAAAACATTACAGTTTTGAGGGTGGTTTCCTCCAGTACATGTACTTACCTCCTATCACACCCAAATGAGAATGGATTGAAGAATACTTTGGAATATTGGGGACCTTGTAGTAATGGATTGTCCTTTTCAGAGCCAAATTACAGTCCCTATCCAGCTCCAAGTACATTAACTGATTCGGGTGTTGTGGATGTGAGCTATAATATTGATTTTGCTATTGGATTGACCAGTGATGGATCAGTTTATGGTTGGGGACAGTCTTCTAACTCAAATATGGGACAACCTGATGCAACTTTAACAAGTGCAACATTGCTCTACACAGGAGATGTCCAATTAATATGTGCTGGATCGTCAACAAGCTTTATTCTCTTGAATAATGGAACATTGTTGGGCGTTGGATTGAATAGTTTGGGAGAGTTGGGATTAGGTCATACCTTATTGGTTAGCTCATACACTCCAGTGAATACTTCCTTCCTCTCCAGTGGTGAAACAATTGTCGACATGAAAACAGGTGAAAAAACAACCTACATATTAACAAGTATGGGAAATGTTTACGGAGCTGGATCAAATACTGATGGATATATTTCATCGAGTGGTGATTCAAATTTTGATCATTTTGTACTTGTGAGCTCACCAGTGAAAATTAAGAAAATCTTTGTGGGATACTATAACAATCTTATGACCATCTCAACAAGTGGCGATGCTTACTATTTTTCTGGAGCCATGTATAAGATTTCATTTCCATCCAACGATTCATACATTATCGATTTGTTTGGCTATTCCAGATCTTACTATTTCATTACCAAGAGAGGAAGTGTCTATACCAGTGGAACCAATCAATACTATCAGATATCTTCACAGAATGGATTAGATGAAATTATGATTACCTCTCCAAAACTCTATGTCAGTAGAAATGACTTGGATGGAATTCCATATACAGGAGCAGCTGGTGAAGGAAGAGCCATTCTCATTACCAGATATGAATATACATGTGGAGGAATCAACTCAACTGATGAAAATGTCTGTTCTTCAAAAGGACATTGTAAAAGTCCTGATGTGTGTGAATGTTTTGATGAGTATTCAGGATCCAATTGTGAAACGTTCTATTGTAATGGAATTGCAAAGAGTAATACTTCATTCGTTTGCTCTGGAAGAGGAACATGCAATGCTCCAAATCAGTGCACTTCATGTCAGAATTCTATTGGAAACTATTGTGAGATTAATCTCTGTTATGGAATTGCACAGAATGATACAATGAATGTTTGTTCTGGAAGAGGTCAATGTGTTGGATTTAACACCTGTCAATGCTCTCAGGGATTTTATGGAAATAATTGTCAATTTTTTTCATGTTTCGACTCACTTTCGAATTCAGTATTGAAACAAACAAGTATTGCAAATAGATTTTGTCAAAAAATCAACAAGTATTTAAAATGATAATATTTTTAATTTATTCAGAAAGTAATTTTACAATATCTTGTTCAATTTCGGAAGGTTCTGTATTTGGAGAATATCTTTTTAGTACTTTTCCTGTTTTGGAAACTAAAAATTTAGTGAAATTCCATTTAATTGCTTTGAATAGTTTGCCTTCTCCTTCCTTTTTAAGATATTTATAGAGAGGAATAGTTTCACTGCCATTGACATGTGTTTTGGCGAATATTTTGAAAGAAACTTTAAATTTGTTTCTTGCGAATGCACAAATTTCATCATTCGATCCTCTTTCCTACACAGAATATATTAATAGATTAATTTAATTAGTAGAATAAAAATAATAAAAATTATTAGAAACTTATTCGAAATTCAAATTCTATTAGAAACTTACTTGGAAAGCAAACTGATTACAAGGGAATGCAATAATTTCAAATCCTTGATCTTTATACTTATCATATAAAGCTTGCAAACCTTCATACTGCGGAGTCAACCCACAACTACTTGCGACATTCACTACCATCACAACTTTTCCCTTGTAATCGGAGAGGGAAACTTCATTACCTTGAGCATCAGGAACGGTGAAACTGTAAAATTCGGATTCTGTCATTAGAATGTACTCTATGTTTGATATTTTTTTATAATTGAGTTTAGTTAAGTTTCGTTAATTGAATATTTAGTGTCGTGTGTTAATTTGGTCAACTGACTTTCGCAGTATGCGGTCGTACTTGGAGGTAGTCCTTGTACCAACTATCAACTTTGGTAAGTCATTTAGGATAGTGGTGGACGTACTTGTTAGAAACTATTCGAGAAATAGTTTAAAAATTCACCTTAATTAAACACCACATAGTTTTTAAGTCAAAAACCTAAAACATTGTTCAGTTGACCAAAATGAATTTTAAGTTTAATTTTTCAATCTGTGAATGGACTTGAAAAGCTCATGTGACTTTCAAAATCTATTTTTATTCTTCAAATTCTGAGATGAAACTGTTTCACACAATAAAATCCATCAAAATTTCAATGATTTCCAAATGAAAAAACAAAAAAACCAAACAATCAGATCTATTGATCGCTAATCTATTGCTAACTGTGTAAAAATCATGACTGTCAAAACTCTCACTGTAAATAATACTGCCACCAATCAAACTAAATCTTTCCTTTCTAAGAACGATCAAATTGCTGAAGAAGAAACAATTTGGCTTAAGAAGAAGGAACGCTTTCTAACTTGTAAAGAAGCAATTAATAGAATCATGTGGGATTCTGATTTAAATGATGCTTACCTTCACTTGTCAATGATTTACAAAGACAGATTTGAAGGTGACACTTTTATTTCATATGAAGAATTCTTAAATAGTGATTTGGCTGAAGAACTTCCACAACATCGAATCCAACAATTGATTTATAGAGATGAATATGTATTTTGGGATAAAAATAACAGAATTGACTTGTTGTCAAATGGTCAATTGGGAGAATTGATTTCCAAATTCAAAAAGAAAGATCAAGAAAGATTTGCTAGAGAACAAGCTGAATTTACAACTGTTTTACAACCAATTCCTAAAGTTTCCAACTCTAATTCTTCACAAAAGAAGAATAAGAAAAATAAGAAAATTATGAAGGAATTTGTAAGAAATCAAGAAACATGTAAACAAACAACTTCATCTGATGATGAATATGAACAATATATGGAAGAATATGATGAACAATATTCAATCTATTCAAAATATTAAATAAAACTATTCAGAACTTTATTTACACAATAAATTACAAAATTGAAATGTATGATTGACTATTTAAATTGATCTGCATGATCAACAAAGAATTGCAATGCAGAACGAGGATTCTTACCAGTTACAATCTTGAAATCTCCACAAATATTTGCAGTAATTCCCTCAATCTTATACATTTGATATAATTTAACTAACATCCAAATGACAAATGATGGAACTTGCTTAAAGTTTTCTGCGAATTGATCTTCACTAATTGGAACATGTTTAACTTCCTTACCAATGGCTTGTGTTAAAACTTGTGCCAATTGATCGTAGGTGAATGTATCTGGTCCAGTAATATTGTACGATTGACCTGCATGTTTTTCTGGATTTTCTGTCAAGACAACTGCACTCAAATCACCAATATCTCTAACATCTACATGACTAATATGATAACCATCCCCTAAATCATGTTTAACTCTATAGAAACAACCTTGAGATTTGATTGTTTGTAAATCTTGTGTGAGGAAATTTTGTAAAAACAAATTAGGTCTCAAAATTGTCAATTTCACTTTCGAATGTTCGACCAATCTCTGAACTGCTCTCTCAGAATCATTGTGCCATCTCATCAAACAATTGATATCTCTTTCTGGACTATTTCCCAATGCTGAAACTCTTACAATTTGTTGTAAATGTTTACAATATTTAACAGCAAGATTTACAAATCCGTGTTCACTTCTAGCTTGAAATGGTGATGAAATGGTCAATAAAAACATTCTCTCCACATTCTCATATAATTCATCAATATTAACAGTTTCCAAATCATTCAAATCTCCTTCCACTATTTTTCCCTCCAAATTTTCGTATAATTTCAAAACTTCACTTGCCTTGTCTTTGTTTCTTGTTAGGAGTTTGACTGAAATCTTGGAAGAGGGAGATGCCTTTTCATTCAATGCACGGAGAACTTCCTTACCAACTGTTCCTGTTGAACCAACGATGAGTATTGACATTTTATAAAATAATTCAATGATCTGTGTTGTTTTCGTTGTTGCTTTTTTTGTGTCTTGATCAAATTATAACAACACCAATGAGCAATGTGGAACCAATATTTGATTAAAATATGAACTTGGCTGAGTGAGGTGGTTGTTGGGATCTATAAAAGAGTCCGAGTTGTGTCGACACAACTGGAAATTGTTTAAATTTGGTAAATTAAAAATGTTTATTATCCATATCTCTCCATTTGAGCCTCATCTCTTGCATGATTTATTGAAATAATTTACAATATTTCTGAATGTAATAGTATTAGTAATTTTATTATTCACATTATTTTGACCTAGATTGTTGCTGTTGATGATGTTGATGATGCTGATGATTGGTTTTTAAAGAGTTTGCTGTGTGTGTGGGAGGATTTTCACACACTCAATAATCTATATTGTATGTACACACATTAAATTTTCTGATAATTTGGATTCAATGGATGGAAATTATTGTAATCGAAATGATAATTTTTCAATTCACTTGGGAAGAATGGATTTTGAGATTCAACACTTCCAGCCAATTGTTCAACATCTGAGAAATTTCTCTTGAACATTGCAACAGGAGTTGAAGGAGTGGTTGAATTTCTTTGAGTATTTCTGATAAAATCCATGAGATAGGCACTCTTTCTATTATCGGTAATGAATTTGATGGATGGAATGCATTCTTCTTGGAATATATCTAAAATTCTCTTCTTTGAAGATTGAATTGAAATGATTGGAAGATTATCTTGCTGTGTTGTGGATGTGGAAACATTTGGATGATTATTCGAAACATGTGAAGAACCATTCTTCTTTTTAAAGAATCCTAATACCTGACTTTTAGTCAATTCACTCTTATTTCTCTTTAAAATATAACTTCCATCATTGTAATCTTCTTCTGTTTGATTTAATTTATGATTTTTTTCATTTTCCTCTTCATCCATCATTTCCATTTCGTCTCGTTTCTCTTCTGTCATTTCTTCTTCAATAGATTCTTCATAAATTGGATATTTCAAAGGTCCAAAAGTTAATTCCATTTGAATTTCATACTTCTTCATATTCAAATTTTCATTCTGAATCAAATCAATTAATTCTGCTTTACATTTCTCTCTCAATTTAATAATTCTCTGTTCATGTTTCTTTTTTATAATTTTTGGCCACAATTTGTAAATCATTAGAGAAATTCCAAAAGTTGGAACCAATGAAACAATTGCTAAAATTAGTAATATCTTTTTTCTGTTCATTTCTTTTAATTTATCGGAATTTGTTAATTGTTTATCATCTAAATCTCTGTCGGATGTTGAATGGACATGACTTGTTGTTGGAGAATTGATTGGTGACATTAAAATTGCTTCCTTGTCAATTAATTCTTGATAATTCATGAGTATTGTATTGGCCTTCTTTAGTATTCTATTAAAATCATCTTGTTCTAATTGAAAACTTTTAAATTGTGGGAAATAACGTGAAGGAACAAAACATCCACAAGTTTGAAATGATGTTTCGGTTTGATGTTTGGCAGCCGTGGCAGTTGGCACGAATTGCACAGTATGGAAGTTGTGCATGGTAGAGAGAGGAAGGTGGGTGCTTGTGAGGCAATTTTTTTGGTGATTTTAAAGGGAATTTGCGTTTGCCGTTGAAGTTTTTATTTTTACTTGACAAGAGACATGCACAAGTGGAAGGAAAATGTGGACGATTCGATTGCATTTTCATGAAGATGGATAATGAAAGTTATCCATTAGATCAAAGTTATTGCGAAGATGATTATTTTTCATTCTTACTGTCTGTGCATGTACTGAAACTAATGAGGTTTGTTGATTGGTGAGAATCATGAAGAATCTTGGACGATTCGAAACTCAAAATTCCTTGTTGATATAGAAGAAGTATTTCCTTAATAATTTGCAATTAATTGATTTGCTCAATCAGATGAATAAGTTGCTTTTTTAATGTTTTGAATAAGTTCACATGTGGAAATCTCTCGTTTATTCTCTTCTCAAAAAATCTTTTGAAAACGAAAAATTCAAAATTTAAATTTGTAATAATAATCATTGGAATCTTCCTTTTCCACAAATACAAATCCCTTCGATCCAATATTTAATTCTGGTTTCTCCTCTTCTTGATGAATGATAGTGGTCAGGTTTTGTTCAATCTCTTCATTTCGAATAGAATTTTTTTGATTGTCCGCTTGTTTGGAATTACAATTAGATGAGAAAGGAATTGGAGGGAGAGGCTTTCTTATTGGTGGATTGACCACATTGTCTGATGATTTCTTTTCAATGGCTACCACTGGATCCAAGTCAATTAGTTGTGTTGACAATTTTAGTGAATTTCCATCAGAGAGAGATTTTCCAAAAAGTCCGACCATTGAGGAAACTGAAGTAATCTTCAATGGAGAATTACTAATCAAGTCCTCACTCGATAAATTATTGAAAAATTTAAAATATTCTAAGAAATGCAATGTTAATTTTTCAAAATTTAAACAATCCTTATACGAATCCAATTTAAACTGTGAATATTCATAATGAGATTTCATTTCTAGAGTGGAATGAGCCAATTGCCACACCAATTCACATTCCTTCTCAATATTGACACTTGCATTATCTGGATTCTTGATGTGTTTTGGAAAATAATGATGCATGATACATATGAGTAATAGTCCACTCTTGATGCAGAAGGAATCTTGTTTGTACAATAGAGAAAGTAAATGTTGAATTTCTAACAGTTGGTGATGAGGAGTTGAGAAGGAAATATCGGAAACTTGTTCTTGCTGAAGAATTTTCAATTGATGAGTGGGTGTGCAATTTTCACGAATGTAGAGAAGATGAGAGACACTGGAAAAGTGAGTGCATATTTGAGTGATCCATTCGGTAAACAATGTGATGAGAGTTGTCATGTAGTTCAGTTGGGTTGAATTTTTTTTTGTGATTGGTTTCTGTCTTGGATGTTTGACAATCGGATGTGGAATGACTCCATTTAAGAGTATTGCTAATTGTTGGCATGTTAAAATGATAATTGAATAAATAAAGAAAATATTATTTTAAATTTGTAAAATGTTATTCGTACAATTAAATAATTATTGCCTAATCTCATATCCACCACTTGTTGTGATATATCTGACCCATGGTAAGGCATTGTAACCAGACTTGTCCATAATTTTCAGATAACGAACTTGAAGACCAGAAACAGTAAAGTATGGAATCTCAAAAGTGATACGGATTGGACGCTTACGTGATTCGACAAAGCTCTTTCTTGTTTTTGAACTATTGGATGAGGAGTCTTCGTCTTGGTTTTGATCCTTGTGGAGAGCTTCAGCAAAACGAGTTGATGTAGATCCAGCTGGTTCCAAATCTTCATTGGAAACAGTTGGCAGACCAACTTCTGCATGGAAAGTAAATTCCTTTCCACCTGGGAATTGTTTGATATTCCAACAAATACAATCCTCTTCAGGTACATATTCGCCATTACCAATCATACTACTAAATGTTGGAGAATCAGCATCTTTTGGTACAGGTATAAAGATTTTTACATTATTGGCTGCTGATTTCTTCTTAAATTGAGCTTTGGCTTTGATATTATATTCTACACGAGTCAATCCATGCATAGTGGCATGACATTCAATTAAAAATAGTGGCTTGATTCTAGTTGATAATCTATAACTCATTAATACAAATTCTCCATCAGGAGGAACGAATGAAATTATTCTATCAGTTTCGAATTTGTTCAAACGAACACATTGGTGGAACTTTACATCTTCTAAATCTACAGAGTGACCTTTCTTGTTGGCCTTTCCAAAATTTTCAAATAAAACCTTATCATTGAGACCCAATTTCAACTCAGGCATACCAGTCAAAAAAACTCTCATATTTAAATTACCTTCAATTTGTGATCTTAATGTTGTACCTGTGTTTGAAACGAGAAGACTCACACTCTCAACAACATCAAGGAAACATTCATTCTTCTTATAGACAATACCTTCCTTACGCCAGGAAATTGTTTGTGTGAAATTTCTTGGAATTGTAAGTTTTGATGAATTTTCTTCAACATCATTATTACCTTTGGTAATACTTCCTAAATTTGATGTTAATTGTTTTGTAAGAATTGAAAAACCTGTTTGTAAACCTGCTGTGAATTGTTGAAGATTGATGCCTTGTCCTCCATTTCCATTGTCGGCAGAAATTCCCATCAATTCGGTCCAAAATTTCAAGTTATCAAGTTGTTGTAATTTGTGAGATTCATTCTTGATGAATTCTTGAAGGATCTTTGGTTCCGTTGATTGTGGATAGCCAAAATCCATCATTTCATCAAGTAATTCATAAACAACAACAAAGTTGTCTTTTATACTTTCTTCTTCAACTTCTTTAAAGTAGTCTTCAAATACCTTGTATGATTCATAGAGGAAACAGATCATTTCCATGGCATTACAATTTGATGCTGCAACCAGCACGACTATCCTATGTTAATCCTCATAGTACTAAATGTACTTACAGTACAAATCCTTCTTTTGAATAAAACAAAATGAATATCCATCCTCCTCAAAAACAGGTGTAATATTCTCATCCTCTTCCTTGATTACTCTTCGAACAAATTTTTCTATAATGTTTCTAGGTAAATTACCCCTAAAATCACGATGAATAATATTCTTTCCTTTCAAATCAAGGATAAAGTAGGCGCTTGGACCTGACATTTTTTTATGTGATTGCTATTAAAAAATAATTGAATTAACGTTGCTGATGATGTAATTACGTCATTTGATTATTATTTTGATTTTTACAGTTTTAAAAATTATTATCATCAATTGCCGTTTTTTTAATGAGCAAAGATGAATAGTATCCACTAGTGTGGAAGAGCATTTGATCACCTTGTTGCACTCAGGAACAGAATGGATGATTATTTAATATTTGATTCAAGCCAATCGGATCAAGAAAACCGTATTGTGTTTTTCGCGCCTTTTTTAAAAACAAAAACAGCTTGAAAAAATGCAACGATACCAACAGAGGATGGACAACAGGCAACAACCTTCTAAGGGACAACAACATCGCCGAACTCTGTATGAGGATGATGAGGAAAACAGTAGTAGTGCTGATGAGGATATTTATGATCGTATTGCCATTTTGGCCAAAGAATATGGAGAGGAATATGAAGATGATGAGGAAGAAGAGAATTCCTCCCTTACTATGAGACGAAATTATCCAAAACACAAGAACATACCCGAAGATACTCCAACTTCAGAAACCAATGACCCTTTCTCGGAAGATGATAAAGAAGATTCTGAAGACCAACAGGAAATTCAAATGAAAGTTCAAACCAGAAAGGCATTAAAAGACTCTAAAAAGTTTCTCCATACCACGACCAGAAAAATGGAAAACAAGATGAATATTTCTCATAACCAATCTGTATTATCAAATGCTCTATCAAAAGAAAAGAATGATCTTTATGAAGCAACAATTAATCAAATTACTAGTAAGGATAATTGGATTTTGAGTACGAGTTTTGATAAGTGTTTTGAAAAGATTAGGAAACAAGTCATGTCCGATGTTTACAGTAGAGAGAAATCAAAGAACAGACCTATGGAAACATATTCAAGGAAACCTGTTGTTAGAACATCCCAAACCTCAAAAGGAAAAACAATCGAAAAGAAACCTGTTATACAACTTGTCACCAATTATGATGACAAGCCTCTTCCTACAAATAATAGAAGAAATTATGATGATATTCCAATAAGACAACCAAAGCAACAAGAGCAACAGCCAATAGAATCAAAAGAGCCTCCAAAAAAGAAGCAACAAGAGCAAGCTCCCATTCCAACAACTCAAAAAGACAAGTCGAGAAGACAATCAAAACAAAAACCTATTAGTATTGAGCCATATGAAGCAACTGAATCGGAATTGAATGCTTTGGAAGGATTTTTTGGAAGTAAGAAGACTTTGAAAATTGTTAGTGTTGGTTCAGTATTTGTAAGGGTACAAAAGTTTTGGAGAGCCAACAGAAAGTACAACCGAAATAAGGCTGTCCTTGATTTGAGAGAAATGTGGAGAACTACAGTTTTTGAAATGGAACGAGCACAATATGACCATTTAGACACCTCAGAGTACAAGAGACAATTGAAATACTTTGCTGCCCAATTCTGTAAGGAAATGCATCCTCAAAAACCTTTTACACCAGGTGGAAAGAAACCATCTTCAAAAGATAAGCATACCTTCCTACATAGAAAGCAACAGCCTGCATTCCTTAAGAATGTTAACAAGAAGAGGTCCCATTCTAAATCTTCTACACCTGCCACCCCACCTGATACACCAACACAACTAACACCAACAAATATTTCTCCTCCATCAAATGCATTCTCCACCCCCCTTAGATCTCCACCAACAAGACCAAAAGAGGAGATTGAATTTACTCCTCCAATAAGCCAATCTCCTCGAAAAGATCCACAACAAAAACGACCTGTAGCTTCTAACGACGAAACACAATTTACAACCCCTAAAAAGTCCAACGGTATGAGACGATCCTTATCTAGCAGAGTGTTCAGGTTGGAAACAAGAGCCAACATTGAAAATACTCCCCTCTCTGAACAAGAGGCCACCCCATTCAAAGAAGGACCAGAGCTTAATTTGACTTCAAATAGTGATTCAACTTCCATTCAACCTCTTCAACAGACCCCAAATAATATGAAATCTAGCCCTAGAAATAGCCCAAGGAAGATGACACAAAAGCAAGTCTCCTCCCCAAACACTACCCTCAATCAATCTGAAAATAATACTACCATCATGTCAGAAGAAAAACAACCAAACAATAGCGTTCTCTCAACCCCAACTAAAAGTGTAACAAATGAAATTTCCCAAAACACATCATTGAATAATATAACAGTTTCCCCAATATTGAGAAAAGCACCACCACCACCTATTGAGGTAAAATTTTTGAATAGCAATGATAATGAGCAAGAGGATCCATATGAAGAAGACGATGAAATGGAAGGTTATAATGACAATCATGAAAATGATTATTCTGAACATTCAGACTCATTAATAGAGGATAACCAATTTGATAATGAGGATTCTGAGTTGATTGAAGAATTAGAGCAAAGTTCCACACCTGAAAGAAGTACTGAGACAAAAAAGGCGGAAGAAACATCAGCCTCCTTGAATCGAGCAGAAGAGAATACAAACAACAACTCTAGCTCCCTCAACAATAATATTGAAAGATTCAGTCTTACCTACAGAGAAGAGGAAGTGAAGAAAAAAGCCGAAGCTCTCTACAATAGGACAACTGGAACCCTTAGCGATTTACTAAGTCCCAGAGGTCGACAATCCACGGAAATTGTTCAACCTGTCCCATCTAAGCAGCCAGAGGAAGACCCAAAACAAAGTGAAGTAAAGAGTGTGGAAAGAATCCTGGTGGAGGAAACCAATTTGTCCATTTCCTCACATGGAAGTAGTGTAGAAAAGGTACCGAAACCACCTTCCCGAAAGCCACCACAACCAACTCTTTCCTTAGAAGAATCTATGGAAAGAGATAGAACAAGATTTGCCGAGTTGGAAAACTTATGTTTTTCAGTAGATGAATCTTCTATTATTTATCAATTCGATAAGGAGTTTGTGTATAATGGATTACAATAGTTCAACAACTTGTTTCTTCAATTACATTATCTATTTAAACAGATAAACTGCAGAAAAGATTATGTGCCTCTTTAATAGCGCGGTTTACAATACAAAACAGAGAACTACAACACCAAAACTTGAAATATCCACCTCAAAAACGAAACTGACTAAAAAACATGGTAATATTTCTGTTTGACTAATTCAAGGTATTTTCCTCCCTTCTTAATTCTCGCATCAACTCATTATGCTTGATTCTCTTTCCATAATTTGAATCGTACAATGAGCCATCTAGATTTTCATGATTTGCAATTGATACTCGCTAATGCTGTGCCCAAATGCAAAACCTAGTTGTTCTATTTAACTGACTCATTATTGTTTTTGAACACGATTTATCATGTAAAGAAACAATGCCGGTTCAATTGTACCCAATCCTCTTCTACAAAGTCAACTCTTTACTCCATCCATCATTGGTATTAAAAACAAATAACGCCAAAGAGGTAAGTCAATCCCCGATCCAATACAAAACACTCAACGGCCATTCACCAAATAAGAAAATGGTAAGGCATTTTTGATACCCTCTCAACATTTTCAGAGAGCAAACCTATAGAGTTAGCATGAATATCACAAAACATTCTCTCCCAATACAACACATCAAAAAAAACAAAATTCATTACGACGATTGTTGCTGCTTCTTTGCTGAGATACGTTCACTAGTCTGTACCTGTATTTCTGCTGCGCGCTCACCACCTTGTAATACTGCTCAACCAAATTTTGCGTCATACATATTTCATTACTACTAGTGCCAAATATCAGATAATTCAAATATCATTATCCAAGTCCTCCATATATTGAAAATGGTGCGTCAGATAAATAACTCTAAAGTATATACCAGCAATGATTCCTCCTCCTCTTCATTGTCGTCGTCATCATCATCTCTAAAGAAACTGCTCATTGCAATGTTTCAAATCCTTCTAGTACTCTTTCTCATCACACAACACGAAGAAGTGAAAGGACAAATCTTTCCTCTGGTTGCCGAATCATCAATTTATAAGAATGCCATTATTATGCCTCCTCCTACATCAAAGTTTGAACCTAAATTTGCTTTACAATGGGAAGAAATAACAAGTGCTTCAACAATTTCCACCAATTATTTAAATTTCCACTCCCAGTGTGCTCTAGGTACTGATAAAATTGTAAAAACATCAGATATTGACAATATCAATAATAATTTAAATAATGGGTTAAAGGTAATCAAATGGAAATTAACAGTTGGTGTGGGTAGCAATTTTCATAATGCATTGTTCGGATTTTCTGATGGTTCTGCAAATGGTTGGACTAAAATGAAGAATGTCATGTCAAACAATGCTGCCTATTCCTCTACAGTTAATGGTAAATGGAGTACTAGCAGTTCAACTACCAGTTTCAAGACAAATTTCTATTCCTCTCTTGTTTATCCACCACAGGTTTATAGATTTGATAAGGGAGAAGTTAATACTAGACCAAATTTACAAGGATATGCTTCAATGTCATCACTCAACATGACTTTCTATGACATGTTCTCAGGATCAAAACTCTTGTATAACAATCAAGCTTTCCTATCTAGTAATAGTAAGAATGCGTTGCCATTAGTAATTTCGGGAGATCTTATTGATGCTATGTATAATTCTGATCCAAGTAATGCGACCATTGCTAAAATAGCTTCTATTCGTGAAGGTTTTAGAAATGAAGATGACCTTTCCTATCTATATGGACCTGATGGTACTAGTTCTATTGGTGGTTTTTTAAGAAGTCGTTCTCAATCTAATTGGACAGATATGTCTTCTACACCTTCTGATTTTGTTGTTCTATCCAGTTATGAGAATTATGTTTATGGTACTGACTTTTATTTCACAACCACTAATTGCTTTAATGATTTGGTCAATAGCAATTCAACAAGTGGAAATGAATTATACTTTTTCGTTTCCCTTTTCAATTATTACACACTTCTTAGTAGCAAGTTTAGTTCTAGAATTGACAATTCCTACAATAACAATGTCTTGAAGATGTTCCTTGCTTTTAACATGACACAATTATTGACTACTCCAAATGGAAACAAAATGTTTCCAACCATGATGCAAAGTTCATCATCTGCTACTACTCCTTCATTCAAGGATTCTACAGCAAGATATTTCATTTCAGAATTCCATTACAATACTCTTACTACTTATCAACAATTGAGATATTTGAGAACTACTCACGTTTTCTTCTATGGTTTGATTATTATGACCATTCTCTTCATGTTTAGAAAGCAACAACCTGTCAAGTCCAGATTTATGATCAACGCTTCTGTATGTGGTGTTGCTATTTTCTATGGTCTCTTTGGTATTATCATGGCTGCTGCAGTTCCAGATTATGACGGTATTGTAAGTGCTGCTGAAGTTTTATTCTACTTGGTCTTGGGTTTCTTATACGTCTTGTCTGCTGTTAGATATTTCTTCTCCAGAAATTTGTATAGAACTATGAGAATTAACTTCTCAAAGGAAAAGAAAAAGAAGGAAAAGAAAGATTCTGATACTTTTGAAGAAAAGCAATTGAAATTGCTTAGATTGTTGGCTAATTTGGCTTCATGGAAAGTTTTCCTTGTTGGTGTTATTGCAGTAGTAGTTTTAATTGCTGGTCTTTCCATTTTCATTTTGGTTTCTATTTTGACTGGTGCTGCTGATAATTTCACTGTTTCAATTTCACAAGTCGCTACCTATGTCAAGTTGGCTGGTTTGTTGGGCTTGGTCTTTCCTACTGCTATTATTTCTATCATTCTTGATGCTAGTATCAATTTTAAGAGAATCTTCAGAAAGGGTGGTCTTAAATGGTATCTCATTCAAGATGACCCTCTCTTATTTAGAGCCGAATTTGCTGTCTTTATACCAACTGTTTGTTTGGGTGTTTTACTCTTTGGATTGGATCAATTTTACAATGGTTTACCTTGGTGGGATTTGGAGCAAAAAGCTGCCACTTATCTTGGTCACGGTTTAGTCTATACTGTATTTGAAGTTTCACTTCTCTTGTTAGGTTGTGGTGGTTTCATTGTCATTGTCCAAACAATTCAAACAGTTCGTATCGCCATCCGTAGAGGTTCACTTTTTGATAAGTCTGATACCGATGTCAGTAAATCCAAATCAGGAGGATTAGGTCTTGGTGAGAAGACTGAATTTGAACTCTTTATGGAAAGTGTTGAAGCAAGAGCCGTCTTGAAACAATATTGTGAAAGCGAATTTTCATTGGAAAATTACTTGCTTTTCGAATTGGTAGAAGATTTGCACAAACTTGTGCTCATTGAACAGACTCAAGGTGTTTTACAGGAACCTGTCGCCAAACCAAAACCAAAGCAATTATTAACTGTTCAACATTCAAATTCTTTCAGAATGAGTGGTGATTTCAATGGGGCATCTCCTTCTGGTCTTCAACCTAACACTACCACAAATAGTGGAGCTCCAACAACTATTACCCCAAATGGATTGTTAAATCCAGCTGATAACACTTCAATGACTACATCATTTACTTCATCTGGTTCAGAGGTTGTCTTTTTGAATAATGAAGATCCAACTTCACCAACCAGTCCATCGACAATTTCAGAGCCATACTCTCCTTCTAAATTATCAACAAACGGACCAAACAAGGAAAAGGATAAGAATAAGGGACCAGGTGATGTAACCCTCCAAATTGATAGAATGATTGTCAAGATTTTAAAGACATACTTGAGTGAAAACTCTGTTTTGGAAGTCAACTTACCAAACACAACTCGTAAACAAGTTTTACATGCCTTCCGTAAACGTGTCTATCCAGATGACATGTCTAAGACAGGAAGTGCTTCTGGCTCAAAGAATTTTGATAAATCACCAAGATCTCAAAGACCAGATACAGACAAGAAACCAGAATCAATTGACGTTGAAATTTTGGCAATTTTGAAACAAGATGTATGGTTGAATTTGAAAGATACTTTTGGTAGATTGCAATTGACAAACGAATATCAATTGTTAAAGAAGAAACAAGCTTTGGAAAAGGAATTGAACGTTGTATAATTTTTTGCAAATTTCATAAAGTTTCATTTTGTTAAATTTGTGTCTTAATAGTAATTAATGAAACGAATTTGGCAATTAAATAATAAATTTATTTTCAAATTACCAATTTTAAGAAATCTTTTAAAAAATTATTTACAAGAATTCTTAATATAAGGTCCAGAATATTCAATAGTTGGTTGTCTCAACATTTGAGAAGTGGATCCAACAACATATAAATAATATTCAATAAAACATTGAATCATGCTCAATGCACCACAATCCAATGGATCAACCTTGATTGAAATTTCATATTGAACTGGTCCCATACTCAATTGATCCTTTGTAACAAGGAATTGAACCCAAGGAGTGAAAGAAATTGATTTACCAGTCTCTGCAACAATATGCTTGGTCTTTTTCTCTCTAACTTGCAAGATGAAATTCTTGGCATAGATGGCAGGAGAGGCCAAAATTGTGACATATTGAGGTTCAGCAACATTGACAGTATAAACATCAGCTTGCAATGAACCAATACTAGCAACCATGAAACTAGTATCCAATTTACCAGCAGCAGATAATTCCATAGCTCTTGACTTGGAATAATCTTCAAAAAGTGGCCATTGAACAGTTGTTTTAGAATCCCAAGCAACTTTGAGTGAAGTTTGAATATTACCCTTGGAATCAACATAATCTCCATTATCATTCTTTTGATAATTATGAATACCCATCATACCAAGAGGACCCAAAGGACCTAATGGACCCAAAGGACTGTAATTGTACAATTATAATTATATTGTAAAAATTTCAATATAGTTACAATATCAACTTACCCCAAAGGACCCAAAACAGACCAAACACCCAAACCTTGCATGTGCTTGGTAAGATCATTAATCAAAGGCATTACCTTATAGTAAGCATCACCCAAAGGTCCAGCATTTGAAAGTGGATTTTGAACATTGTCAGTCATTAAAAATTTAAAACTATCCAAACTTGAACTACCCATGATTTGTTTAGTAAAATCTTGCATAATTTTAACAACACCGTTAGGACTAGGAATCTCGTGTGAAAGTGGTCCCAAAGAAGCCAATGGTCTATCAAAATTAATTTTAAATTTAATTTTTAAAAATGGTCAATTCACACACATTTCAATAATTTAATTCCACCCGATTGTAATCCACAAAGATAAACTTACCCAGATGCACCCAAAGGACCAGCCCATCCCAAACAACTCATAGCATTAATATATAAATCACATGTTCCAGTAGGTCCTGGACAAACCTTTGGTGCAGGTGAAACAAAACTTCCATAAAAAGTTCCAGAAAGTGAGGCAATAGAATCGGAAGAAGTGTAACGGTAACATGTTTTAGATGCGGACAAGGGGTTTCTTGATCTTGCTTGATGACTTGGAAGTGTCAAGCAAGCTATCAATAAGAAAACTGCTAAAATGTAGACAGTGGCAGTTGACATTTTTTTTTAAGATGATGTTTCAGGTTTGACATGAAGTAGCCACCTTCATTTGGAGCGATTTCCATTACAGAAATTGGTTTTTTCGCGTTTTTTCAAAGTGTGTCACCAACAACAAAGCGAATAACCCTTTCGAACAGTAAATACGAATCATTCTGTTGTAAAGTGAATTTGATTCCTCTGATGTGCACTCTCAACTGTTACCCCTGTTGTATCGAATATTAATATTGGACTATACATATTGTTTAATTATTTGTAAAGGAGTATTAAAAAAATGCGAAATCTTCTCTTCATTCCATTAGCATCAAAACAAGGCACAGTTAGTGATAGTGATCAGAAGAACAATGAATTCATCATTCAATCATGTGAATGGTCGCTCTCCCTTGTAAATTATCGGAACGGAAGAGATTTGATGAAAAATCATATTGATCAAGAATTAATTCCCGAATTTACAAATGATGAAACTCTTGAGGTAAGCTTAATAAAATTTAAGTATATATGTAATGATGGTTGTATGGTGATGATGATGATGGTGGTTAGAAAAGTCAATATGAAAATATTAAATTTAATCATGATGGAATTTCAAATACGGTTCATATGATTTTGTATGATGATCATCATAACCATGATGTTGATCATCGGATTGGAAATCCATATTATAGATTTGAAGAGTTGAAACAATTGTGGATTGGAAATTCCGATTGGAAGATGGAATGTAAGATTAAAGTAAATAGTAAGAATCAGAGAGCAATGTTTTTGGTATTTGAAGGTGTGGACACAGTCGCAGATATCAAGATAAAAAGAAATGATAATGGACAAGTAGTTGTATTGGAAAAACAGGTAGATAATATGTTTCAATACTATGCATTGGATGTTTCTAAATGCTTGAGTGGATGTGATGAGTTTTCCATTGAGGTTTTATTGAAATCAGCTCTACAGGAATGCAGGGAACGATTGCAAAGACATTATGAAGAGGAACAGTATGAAATTCCTTGCCCTTCCTACACTCGAGATTTCCACACAAGAGGAAGGAATTTTCTGAGAAAGGAGGGATGTTCATTTGGATGGGATTGGGCTCCTTGTTTTGCCACTTCTGGCCTTCACAGACCTTGTTACTTGGTTGTTTCATCCAATGAAGTGGAATATTCCTCTTTCATTAAGGATGTGGCTGTATTTCAGAGGGATTTTAAATTTAATAGAGTTGGATCTGTGACTTGTGAATCTCTGAATGCAAATGTAAAAGTTTACTTGCACGGAAATTATTTGAATTATCAGGATTTGAGAAAGGATATCAATTCCATTCAATGGAAATTGCATAAGGAAGGTTTCGAATTAACTAATACAGTAACTGAATGGATGATTTCAAAAGATGAAGAGTTGGAAAATACTTTTATTATAACCTTTGCAATTGAATCTTTGAAAGATGTTGAATTGTGGTATCCTAATGGTTATGGATCTCAAGCACTGTACAATTTTGAAATAATAATTGATGGACCAAATGCTCAATCCAAATCCACCAATCTCGGATTTAGAAAAGTAGAGTTGGATACTTCTAAAGATGAATTTGGAGAGAAATTCCAATTCAAAGTAAATGAAATTCCCATCTATGCCAAGGGAAGTAACTGGATTCCTACCGACTGTTTCTCTTCACGTTCCATGAAAGGAAAAGATCACCTGGAATTCCTCTTGAAGAGTGCACACGATTGCCACATGAATTGTATGAGAGTTTGGGGAGGTGGTCAATATGAATCAGAGCATTTCTATAACTTGTGCGATAAGTATGGTATTCTGTTGTGGCATGACTTGATGTTTGCATGTTCTCTGTATCCATCTTCTCCTGAGTTTCTGGAGACTTGTCGTGTAGAGGCAGTTCAACAATTGAGAAGATTACAGCATCATCCATGCATTGCTCTGTATGCAGGAAATAACGAGAATGAGGAAGCTCTCCTTTCTTGGCCAGAATGTATTGAATCTCCTCACAAACAACGACTCTTTGTCGATTATCATAAGCTCTATTATGATACTCTGCATAGAGTAGTATCGAAGGAGGATAACTCGAGACCTTATTGGCCTAGCAGCCCATCGAATGGTATCATGAAGTATGGCAATCCTCAAGATCTCACTAGAGGTGACGCTCATTATTGGAGGGTGTGGCACGGAGGAAAATCATTTGATAATTATCTCACTGTAACTCCAAGATTTAGTTCAGAATTTGGATTTCAATCATTGCCAAGTTATGAATCTTTAATTCCATTCATTAATGATCCCAACTCGCTAGATCAATCACAAGATGCTAACATCTCCTCTCCAGTGATGGAATTCAGACAGAGAAGCTATATGGTAGGAAATAAGTGTATTTTGGAACATGTATCTAGAGAATTTAGATTCCCAAAGAGCTTCAAAGAACTGGTGTACATTTCTCAAATCTTACAAGGTCTCTCTATCAAGACAGCATGTGAACACTGGAGAAGACAAAGCAAGATTTGTTCTGGTGTCTTGTATTGGCAATTGAATGATGCTTGGGTTGGAAACTCTTGGTCAAGTTTGGAGTGGAACGGAAAGTGGAAACTTTTACAATATTATGCAAGAGATTTTCTAGCACCTTCACTATTGTCTTGTGTGGAAAATAAGGAGAATGCTTGTCTGGATATTTGGTTCACTACAGATTCATTACAATCCCTGAAATTGAGCAAGTTAACAATTGAATTGATTTCCTTTGGGAATGGTACACAATTACTCAAAAAGGTAATTGATATTGAGAAGCAAGTTGCAGAAGCATCTAGCCAAATAATTTATTCGCTAGACATTAAGGAAGTTGAAAAGAGTAGAACTAAAGGATTTTTGAAATTCAAATTGGATGTAACAGGTCAAGAATCAATTGCCAATTACCATTTCCTGACAGAGTTGAAAAAGGCCACTCTCAACTATAGTCCTGTGCGTGTTGCATCTCTTGTGGAGGACGATACCAATACCTTTCTGGAAATGGAATTGGAATGTGGATCTACTGCACCATCGTTATTTACCTACATTGTTATTGAGAATGACAGTCAAGATACCACCTCTAAAACCTCTCTCGAATTTGATTTGGATCATTTGAGTGATAATGGTTTCCATCTTATGCCAGGAGAAGTGAAGAAGATTACCATTCACAAGAGACCTAGTTGGAGAGGCACCTCGTCTCAATACGCACCACTCATTCATATTATGAATTTGAGAGATAGTTATTAACAGACTGTCATGTATGTACATTACAAATAAATTTAAATGAATAAATTAAATTTATTCCTTTTCAGCAGCTGCTTTTTGTTGAGATTCAAACCAAATATCTGTTAAATTTTGTGAAACAAATTCAAAAACTGAAAACATGATACCAGTTGATAGTGTCACCCACATAACTCTAGGAGTGATACCTTTGAAAAATCCTCTCCAACCATCATCTTGTTTAATCTTTCTGAACATGGCAACAAAGCCACCCTTAAATGTTGTCGAGGTTTGTAATCTAGTCTTGATGACATCAATTGGATTACTCAGTGAGGCAGCCATAGCACCTGCAGTACCACCAACAACTATCGACTCTGAAAAGGTTAATTTCTGAGCAGATTTTAAGGATTCTTGTGGGTCTTTAAGTGTTGAATTTTTCAAATCATCTCTGTATTGATCCATCTTTCTATTTAAAATTGAATTTTTCAATACTTCATAAATTAAAAATTGAGTCATACTGTATGGAATATCTCTGACCATTGTTGCAGAATAACCTCTAAATAATCCACGAATTCCCTCACTCCTAGCAACTTGATAAAAAGTTTTAAGTGTAGATTGTGAATATTGTGCAGATGAAAGTGAATTTGTTTGAAATCTACATTTTATCAATTCAGATGGCACAAAAACCAAAGATCCCATAAACTCTGCTGAACTACCTGCCAACATGTACGCAAAATTTTTATGTTCTCTCAAGAATTCTGAATTCTCCAAAAGTAATCTCTTCATTGATTCATAAGTTCCAAAATAGATAGCTCCTGCAGGTAAACTCCCATAAAGCGTTGGTACCCATCCTCTAAAAAGTCCTCTCCTTCCCTCAGTCTTTGCAATTGTAATAAAAGCATCCAAAGTATTCTTATAAACAAATCTATTAGAAGTTGATAAATCTCCAACAAATTGTTGTCTAGTTTTCACTGTATCCAATGGTTGTAACAATGTATCTGAAACTATAGATGCAATAGATCCAGAAATAAAATCAATAGCACGTAATCTCTCTCTCTTGGTTGTTGATTGTAAATTACTTAATTCCTTATCATCTTGTTCATCTAAATCCGATTGTTCTTGTTGTTGAATCATGTAGGGATGAGGTGGAAGAAATGCATGATGTTGAGCATGATGATGATGTGGATTATTTGAATTATTAGGATTATTAGGATTTGATAATAATGAATTATTATTAATATTATTTGTAATATTCATATTATTAATATTATTAATATTATTATTGGTAGTGGTGGAGGAGGAGGTATTAGGAGAAGAGGAAGGAGAAGATAATTGGGAATTTGTGGTGGTCATTGGAGAATTAGGCACTAAAGATGATAATTTAGAATTTAATATAATATTTAAATTAAATGATGATGTAATAGATAGTATAATAATATTATATCAATGATTATTATAAATTATATATTGTTATTATTATATGAAACTCTATTCGGGACGACGGCTTTTACTTTCGGAGGAGTTTTTTCCTCTTTTTTTGGATTCAATGAAAATAACGACTCGAAATTCACACACTCTCTAGAAAGAGATTGGAATTGATTGGGTTAGAGGGAGAAACAGAAGGTGAATAGATAATGGAAGAAATTAATAATGAATGTATGAATATATATTGAATGAATGTGTTAAACTTTATTGTCGGATGGAGTTTCATAGAGGGATGATGATGAGGAATCAACAATTCCCATGGCAGTAGCATCTTCTTGAGTTGAATTGGAGTTTTGATGATGATTTTCATCAAGTATTTGAATGCTCTGGGAAGAACCAATGTTGTTGGTAGTGTAGTGGCTGTGTGGTGGTGATATTGGAATTGTTTGTTGTTGGAATGGTATTAAGCTCAGTGTCCTTATCATTATCTGCTGCTGGAGTGACAACAATGATTGGAGTGCCACCTGGTGAGGTGTTATGGAGTGGTGTTGGAGTGGTTGGAGTTTGAGAGGGTTGGACTGTGTGTCCATTGATGTGACCATGACCATTTAAGGTTGTAGATGGTGGAATAGTTGCTAAATTACTATTCGAGGATTTGGTAAGGGCCTTTGCTTTTTGAATGGCCTGAAGTGAAACTGAATTCTTCTTAACAATCTCAAACCATTCCTTATATTCGGCAGTGAGCTGGAGACGACGGAAGGTATCTCTCAAATTCTTCACAACCTCTGAAATGACAATATCCAAATCATTGACAAAATATTCGCTCTTGAGATAGTCATCAGTGAAGAAATCCTTGGCAGCCCACTTGTTGAAAATAGTCTTAGAAAAACTTGACAAATTGACAGTCATTGGAGCATTATCAGGAATGTATGTGTTGTAAATGTTTTCTCTGAGTTCTGTTGTGGCCTTGGCAATTTCTTCCTCTGTTAAATTTTGTTTCAATAGTGGACGATAGAATGGGCGATCTGAGGATGGTGATTTACCAGTTATGGATCTAGGACGAGCTACAGCCATGAATAATTGAGTATAGACCTTTTCCATATCACTGATAAATGCAAGATTTTCAATGGAGAATTCAGTTTTAGCGTATTGTCTAATGAGTTCAAATCCCTTCTCATCAATGAATAATCTGGCCAATTCATCTCCCAACAAGTCAAGATATGGAGAGTTTCTAATTGTTCTAAATTTGATAATTTCACCTGCATCAAGTTCAATACTTGTTTCTTTAAGGTTATCATCATTGTGATCGGCATATCTATCGAACAAAAATCCAATTCCTTCAGCACACTGATTACTCAAACGAATTCTCTCATAGAGTGTCATGAGACAAATGAATCCACCACCAGAGGCCATCAGTTCCAAAAAGATGGCGATCAATTCAAGTGGCAATGCAACAAATGTGGCCAAAATGACAGAAGGAGCATAGGTATTGGAGAGGAGAACGACCATATCGTCAGTTCTGGACATGGCAATGGATCTAACCACACCCATAGAAACATAAAAGACAATTGAAATGATGTGAACAAGCATTTCCAATCTATAGTAGAGTCTGTCATTTCTCACAAAGTATGCCTTCAATTTACAGCCTAATATGAGTTTCTTATTGGCCACTATATCAATACTAAAGGCAACAATTACCAAGAAGACTGCAAATGCAACCAATAAGCCACCAATTGCTTGAATGGCAATCAAAACATTCGGAGCTGGAACAGTAAAAAGGAGAGGAATAATGATCGAGTAGATAATAATCAAGACAATAGCCATAAAGGTTACTGTGAAAATCTTGACCTTCTTGGATCTAGCCCAACGGAATGTTAACTGCTTAGCTTTTTCTGAAGTATTGAGTGAGCTGGCATCGGATCCCTTTCTCTCTCCAATTGGTTTGTCATTAGACCCTGAACTTGAAGGAGAGTTATTGAGTTGAGCAAGGGATGAAGATCCACTTGATTGATTCTTCCTCTCAAATGATTCACGTTTCAGTTTGTTGTACATTTCAGCATAGACCTTTCTCTTATAAAAGAAGAAGAGAGTATTCATAAAATAGATCAGATAAGATCCACTGAGTAAACCAAATGTTATGAATGTAAATATCATGAGCAAGTATTCTTCTCCCCAAAACGATTGCAACAAAACTCTACAAAAATTAATAACAACCTGGAAGAGTACAAGGTATGGCAAATATCCTCTCGAAGCTCTAGGTTCAGTTTTCCTGAAATAAATTAAAAAGAAGAGAATAATCAATCCAGTGATTCCATTCACAACTACAACCAATGTAGAGATGGCATAGTTGGCACTGACAACTCTTCTCTGCATGGTCAGTGTTGGATCTTCAAGATCAGAATTTAGGGAAACAGTATCTTCAAAAAATACATTGCTATCTCCAAAGATTACATTCGTTGGAAGTGGAAATTGAACTTGAGAATTTTTAGAAGCATAAACCTTGAATTCGAATTGAGTTCCCAAATTCGAAACCAATAATTCACTTAGCGTTGGAACACTTTCAACCCTATCACCCTCATCCATTGGATGTTCCAATGCAGAACGAAGTAAATCCTCCAATTTCGCCTGCACAGTAAACTCAGTACCAAAGAATGCCTTTCTTATTCTCACCGGTTTAATATAGACATAGTCAGTGAGTGGATTTTTCATTTGTGGTTCATTAATAATAATACCATCATTCATTCCAATATTTGTTGTGGAATTGATAACCAATTGCTGACCTACGAGGGCAATTCTTCTGACCTCTCCTGCCTCAACATTGACTGTACTACTATCTTCAGCAATACCTCTAATACCTCTACTATTATTATTAGTATTATTATCATTATTAGATGTATTATTCATGGTGAGAGAAGTAGAAGTAGATGATTCTGTCGTATTAAAATCAATATCTGTAAATAATTCAAAATAGAGTGGAGCCAATCGAGGTTGATAAGCCATTGCCCACAAATTAGTTTCATAAAAAGTCGAATTATTAATGATATTGATGGACAATCCAAAGAGTGTTTGTCTCAGAATGTTGGCTGTAACTGTAATCATTGTAACTTCAATGCTGGTTGGACAATCAACGATGGTACCTGCTGGAGTGGTCCTTTTTTGCATATCCGTGAGTGAACCTAATAGTTTCCAATTTCCGTAAACATTTGGAAGAAACTTGTATTCGTGGCTTGAGGTGAGTTTGTTGTATGTTTCTATTGGCATTCGACAATTACTCGCAAAATTGGTCAGTGGAGAAGCCTGTATTATTATTGTTTGATGCCATACTATTAAAAGAAGAAGAAGAAATAATGATGATGAAAATGTATTCGAAATGTTTCGAACAAAATTATGCCTGCTCATTGTATGTGCTGGCTTGTGGGGCGTGAACTATTTTGATGATAACGTTTTTTTAAAGTGAGACTTGAAAGGTGGATAACAAGTCTTGATGGTTGGACGAAAACGTATGAAATTGGTATGTATCGAATAAAACTCCTTATTAAAAATACAAGTCTTCGTATCCGATGGCCGATGTTATTCTTGTTGTTAAATTTAACCACAGTTACTTTAATTACTCAAACAGTAAAGTTATTGTTTATCTGCTGTTTTGCAAAGGTTAATTGTTGATGATGAGAAATGAGAGCTTTCGAATATCTTGTGGGATTTTTTAATTAATGCATGCAGGGTTTCGGCAAAGTTGCTATTATATTTCAACACATGACAAGAATAAAGTTGTATTGTGCCCAACAACATAAATATTAAAATGGAACCTATTCACGTTTTCTGAAACATTTAAAATTAGGTTGTTGCCATATTCGAAATGAAAGGAAAATAGTGTTGAACGGTGAACGACTAAGAATCATGTTTGGTCTTTGTTAAGTTATTATCTCAAATATTCAAATAAATTGTAAATATTTAAATTTTTAACCTTTCTTTAATATTGAACTTTAGAATTAATATTATCCTGAAAGATGACATTTTGTTGAAATTGACACAATGAAACTGAACTCTTTTGAACAGTGGCAAAAAAGAAGAACTGGTTCCTTTTGTAAAGATTACATGTAAATATTTCAATTTATTTAAACATTACAAGTATACTTGAAATCAGAATATCTCTCACATCTCAACAAACCAGTACTGCTGCCATAATATCCTCCAACAGGTTTCTTACAACCAGAATCCTTATAAGTAGTGGTTGTAAAATAGGAATTAGTACAAGTGGTAGTTGAGTATTCACCAGAGAATGAATTTGCAACTGGACCACATGAATTAATTCGTTGACCCTTAGCACTGACAACATTAATTGGAGCAAGTTTATCAACATCACAACTGGAAGCATAATCACCCCATGGATAGCTGAGTCTCCACAACATGTCATCTGGAATATCAATAACCAATGGTCCACAAGCTGTCAAGGTAGATTCAGTGGCAGTGTTAACACATCCCTTAACTTTGACATTTCTAGTGGAATCACATCTTCCACATCCCTTAGTACAGAGTGATTGGACTATTCCATAATCACCATTACAAACTGAGTTTGACCAACCATACTTTTCCCTGTAACACATACTGGTAGCATGGAACAATTCGACAGTATTCAAATCTTTAATGAGACAGCCAGGACGAAGGAATTTATAGATCTGAACAAAGTTTCCCTTTCTATTGACTGGAACAGCCAATGAAAAGCTGCTCAAACAAATAATGCAACAGAGGAGAGCAAGGAGAGAAATTGCCTTGTGGATGCTATTGGAGGTGAACATTTTTTAGAGATGATATGGTGGGATATTTGCAGTAAATTCGCTTAAAATCTATTTTGATACAGTAGTGGGCAGTTTGTTACAATGAATTGTTGTTGTTCCGTACCTTCCTTTGAAATTATCCAATAAATTGTTTCACAATTTCACAAACATTTCTATGTTACTCTTGAATGAAATGATTGAGACGATACATCTCAATTCAAATATCAAGCAATCAGATAACATATATCAAATAACTGGCATCCAATAAGTGAAGATATTCTATCTGATTGCTTGATTGTGGAGCGCAAGTTTTTTAGAAGAGATAAGTAGTGCCATTACTGTGTCTTGTACGGTATCGATTTGTATTACTCACACCTTACTATAAAGCAATCAGAACTTTGGCTCAATGCCCTTAATAATTTTCATCAATCGATCGTGAGTAACATGATAAAGTTTGGAAGAAAAAGAAAATTTGTCTTTTTACCCATCAATGAGTAAACTTTGAAGTAAACATATGAATCAAAGAATTTCTTACACACTAATTATACCGGCCCAATTAACCCGAACCTCTTGATCTAAGGCATCGAACATATTTAAGATATTTATAATACTATTAATATATTATCATGTACCATTTAAATTCAATAAACAATAGTGCTATCGTTCGCACTCTTAGGACAAAAAAAAATTCTGTACATTTGCTATCCGTCCGTAATGATTCTTCATCGGATACACAAACTAGCGAAAAGTGGATGTCGAGTAATTGGCGATGATGATAGTGTCATTGAAGTAGACACAAAATTTGGAGAATTATAATTCATCAAAAAAACAACAATATACCTATATAATACAATATGATTTATTGGATCCGAACATTATATGTGCTCATCATGGCATTCCTGTTTGATGATTATTATGAAAAGAATAGTCTTCCATATGATGCCGACCACATTTATGAAATGAGAGTTTTACCATACGATTTGGATATGAACTTTCACCTTAACAATGCTCAATATCTTTCCTTCATGGAACACGCCAGATTTGATATGATTTTGAAACATGCCAATGTTTTTAATAGATGTAGAAGAAAGGGCTATGGATGGGTTGTTGCTGGAGTTAGTTTCCAATTTAGAAGAAGTGCCAATTTATTTGATAAGGTCAGAATTGTAACCAATGTGTAAGTATTCATAATTCATTGTTTATTCATTGTTTATTAAGCTGTGGTGCCGATGAGAAATGGTTATACGTACAACAAAACTTTTATGTTGGTAAGAGATTTATCGGCAGAGGTATTGTGAGAATGTGCACATTTGATAAGAATGGTGCTGTTTCGACTGCCAGATACTTTAAGGACATTTTACATGTTGATATTGAAACTGCTGATCCAAAATTCAGAATGACTAAGGATGATTATGCCAAATTTGTTAATGCTGATTATTCAATTTCTGCCAGTGGTGACACTAGAGATGATATCATGACCAGAGTCAGCAGTTTTGTTTTCCATGACGAAACTTTGAAGGAAAAATAAATTGAATATTAAAATATTCAATATGTAAAGGAGCAATTTTATACAAGGAAATAAAGTTACAATTTCTACTTTTTATAGTAATTGGAATAAAAGTGGAGGGCAAGAATTAATTTAGCATCTGGCGTGATTCTTGGTGCCTCATCAATTGGAATAACTCTCAGAGTTATAAACTCGTTTTCATTCTCTGAACCTGTGAATTTACCTTTGAGTGAATTCAATTCCTCTCTAGAGATTGAAGTCTTGTAAAGGAAGAATCTCATAAATTCATCACTACCACCAGGACTCAAATAATGACCTGGGAATGGAGAGCCACTTCCAAAGCATAATTCTGTCAAATCTACAAGTTCAGTATCTTTAATTTCAATTCCAGTTTCTAATAAATTAATTAATAATACATTCACCAGTGAAATTGAAAATATTTGAATAATTATTTAAATAGTTGGGATTAATTTAACACATACCTTCTTTTACTTCCTTTGCAGCAACACCAGAAAAATTTCCATTATCATCAAGAGAACCAGCTGGTAATTCAACAGATTTCAAAGTACCAATCGGAATTCTTGGTTGTTGCACTAACAGTAAATATTCCTTTCCTTCACATTCCAACACTATAAGAATTCCAACAGATCCTCCTCTATGTAAATCATTTCGAATGGTTCATAAATATTTACGGATTAAACCTACCTAGCAAATACAATTCCTGGTAATGGAACTAACTCTTCTTCATTTTGTGTAACAATTTTGGTATAGGTAGCTGATGTATTACTGGATCCATGTTTGGAGAGTGGTGTTCCAACTTGAACAGTCTTTTGAACTGTTCTAATTACCTTGATGAAAATATTAACTTTAAACTTTACAAAACCAATTTGAAATCTTGTTCCGAATGTATCAATAGATTGTATTTCAATGTCCTTAATGAAGAGATCTTTCCACTCTGCACCTGGAGCAATTAATTCGGGATTAGGTGTCGAATGTAAAGATCTGTAATCTTCAATTGATTTCTTCATATTGACGAGCCAATTATTAAATTGTGGACTCGCAATGATATTCTCAATTTTTGTACATGCTTTAACTTCTAATTGACTGTCCATTTTCACCATTACTCTTTGATCATTAATATCCACATATTGTGCTACATTGTAATTTCTTCTAATGTTAGAAAATCCACCCATCCCATGTTGTGATGATGAAAATAATTTGCAATATGAAGATTTAATTAATGATGATGTATTCTTTGATAGATTGTGAATAACGGATGCACAACTTGTTCTGGAAAGAAAACGAGACATTTTTTATGATGAGTGAAACATGATAAACAGTTGATACAATGTAGTGTGGATAGGAATGTGCGATTTGTTATTGTAATAATAATGAATACATTACAGATTGGATTATTACCAATCAAAAAAGCCATTCAATAGAGGATATTCCAATTGTTGAGACTGAGAAGTAAATTGATTAATTTGAGAATAATCCAATGGCTTCATGGTTTGGTTTCTGAGCTGATACCCTCTTAGATAGGAATCAATGCAACAATCAATTTCATTAACGTGCTCGAGTTCTTCTGTTTCAAAGGTTGTGGATTTCTTATGGGAATCAAATAGGTTGTGTAGTAATTTCAATTGGTTCAGATTGTTTACAATGAATTCTAAATATTCTTGGTTTGGAGTACAAGATACTACAATACCATTATCTTTAACTGTTTTGATGAAATCCATTCGTGCACCATTATCTGATTGAAATTTCCATGGTATAATTCTTTCATGCTTTACCAATTTCATCCTATCGAGAATATAGACAAGAGTTGGATGTGTTTGAGTGAAATCATCTTCAATACTCAACTCTTTCAATAAATACTTGATAAAGTGATGACAATTACAGGAGAGCTTGGCAAATTGTTTGTAGCTGTTCCAATAAGTACACACTGTTGCAATAGTTGTGATTGCATTCTTTACATTTTCTCTGCCTCTAATTGTATGATATTGGTAACACATTACAGCGGATGCAGCTCTAAACATGTCACATTTTAATTTGACAAAACTTGAATCGTTCCAATCTATCTTGTAAGGTCCAATAATAATAAAAGGATGATTGACTCCTATTAAATTCCCTCTAAACAAAGTATTGGTAATTAACTTTTTACAAGGATATTCTAATTGTGAAACTCCTATCCAAATATTTAAAAAATAGGCTTCATCAGTTGCAGAACAGGAATGTTCGATGACACTGTCAGCCATATCAATTTTCACTTGTTCTTCCATCATCATTATGTTATTTTCAATATTTGACGAAGGACTATTTACTAGATTCAAATTATTGTTATTATTTTCACAATTCCGTAATTGATGATTACTTGTAATATGAATATCCACCATTTGTTTTCCAATACTCTCCACATTCATCACATGTTTTAGAAATAATTCTTCATTCACCAAATATTCAATAATTTGCAAATTGGATGATGGTAATGTTTTCCTCTTCTTCCTCCTAATATTTTCCATTCTCTTCTTTACCTCTTCCGACATTTTATCTTCTCCTCTCGAAGAATCCAATTGTTCGCGTCGTTCTTCCATCAATACATTTTTTTAAATAATTATTTAAATTATCATCAAATGATGTTGAAATAATTCATTAGGCCATTACGCATAAGAGGTTGAACTTGTAGATGAAATTGGCGCCAAAAATTGGAACCAACAACAACCTTAAAAAATGGAACAACCCGAATGTTCCATCCCGACCTCAGCTACAACAATTCAACAGTTACCGAGACCACCATCGGTTATGGACGATGATGAGGATATAGAGTTTGAGGTTTTTAATGTACCTAAAAAAACAAGTAATGAAAATTTAGGGACATTTAATGATAATAACAATATATCGGAACAAGTAATAGTGGATAGGATACCTAGGAGTAATAGTAAAAGTTCATATTCTTCTTCACAACCTCCTGTGGATGGTGTTGCTGACGATGTTGAAAATGAGGATCAAATTGAAATTGAAACAACAGGAAGCAGTACCGGGAGTCATGCAAGTACGATTAAATATGAAAATGATAAACATGCACAAGTAATGGCTCACAGTGAGCAACAATTCATGACTGCCTCAGCAACAATTATAAAAACAAATGAATTCGATCATTTATTCGAACATTCGGCTCGAGAAACGGAAAAGGAAAGAAAAAAAAAAGACAGAAGAATTATTGGACATTTAGTGAGGAAGAGAGTTGAAAATTTTTTAAAGATATTTGATGCATATGGTGAAGGGATTGATGGTCCTCAAATCCGAAGAAAGACAGTGATGGGGTCTTTCGTCTCTGTAATTATGAGGTTTATTGTAATAGTATTAATTGCTTGGAAAATGTATAAGGTATTGAGTATGACTAGGTCTGAAGATATTGGCGATATAATATCTATAAATTATAATAGATCTGGATCAATGTATTTTATGGATATTCCAACATTACAAATGAATGTCTCGAGTAAGATTTTGTTTTTTGAGAGGGCTGAGGACGGTCCTTCGTTACAGAGGATTGACATCATTGATATGTATGGATTGGAAAAGACATTTTCAACATTGAGTCCAAGTGAGAGTTTTACTCTGCGGAAACCCTTAACGAAATCAATTTTTGGAAATGCTAATATTGGATTGAATTCTTTTTTTCCTAGAAATAGAGATGCTGAAACAGGATTTGACTCGGTGAATACTTTTTCAACAAAAACGTCTACAGTTTCTTCAATTCTGGATCCTGCTGAGGCATTATATATTCAATCAAATCAGGATAAGGATTTTATTGAGCATACAGTTCATTTATATTTGAGATTTTTGGATAATTTGAGAGGAATCAAACCTTGTCAACTTCAGATTGGAATGATAAACTCTGGTATTCTTGCGCTATTGGAAGATGTTGATGAGTATGGAAATATAATTTTTGAACATCAATTACAGTCACACGAGGATGTTTATTTTGCAACTGATTCTTCCACTTGGGCAATGTCAAATATTATCCCTAATGAGACAGAGAGAGCTTCTCCTAAAGTACTGAGTGAAGGCATTTCCAATAGCCAATTTTACCTCACAACAAACTTTACAACATCGAACTTGGTTTCCTTTCTTCAGAAAAAATCAGTCAATGGAAATTTGAGAAATATTGCCCAGATATTTCTCGATAGAGGGATATCTTTGCCTCTCTTTAACGAATGGACCTTTATAATTAATTACATGAACAACTTTGTATATACTAGTAACAAGCTTATTTGTGACGATTACGAGCAAGATATAGATGAAAGCTCTCAAACCAACCCTAGGTTAATTCTCAATAACTCCTTCATTCGAAAAAAATTATTTCCAACAGATGTCAGAATTATTTCCAATAATTTGGGAGAGAATGATACTACTGTATTGGGATTTGTTAAAGGTGATTTATCACAACAGCCACCATTCTACATGATTATTGCAGGATTTTCAGGACATTCAGAGGTTGTAACTGTTTCAAGTATGGAAATAACTCAAGGTAATAATAACACAGATGATTATAGAGCTGTGTTATTCAATGTTGAAAGATCCACATCAATTCCATTTGCAGATGTTGATATTTATGCACCTGATGATTTTCAAGAGCAGGTAGCAAATTATCAAACACTAACTAATTTACCAAAAGCTTTACCAATCAATTGGATACAACAAGGTTTGTGGAAGTGCTCCCCCGAAAAGTATGGAGATGGTTTTTGTGATTGCGACTGTGGCTTTGTCAACGATACACTCACAGTAAGGGACATTGATTGCAATACTATACTTCCGAACCTTTTCAACTCTGAAAATCCAATCTCTAAATTATCCAAAGTATCATGTACCTCTAAGGGATTACTGTGCTCAAATAGTGGCCAGTGCATTTCACCTTCTTTCATCCAAGGTAGTAAACCATGCCTGTATAAGGCATCAACATTTGGACAAAAGAAGGTAACAGGATTTTTTGGAACAACAAACGATTTTTACAAATCTGGTGGAGGAAAATACTGCTCTGAATGTGAAGGTTACAATATCAATAATGAACAATCTACATACAGCAGCCACAACTCGAGATTTATGTGCCAAGTTGCCCCAAAAGGATATGTTTTTGGCATTGATTATTTGAAGAAAATAGAGTCTGATACAAGTATTTGTTTTCCAATAAGAACCAAAGTAGGAGAAATGCCATTCCCTACCATTATTTCCCAATTTGAAGAACTTGCGATGGTGTCAATTAATCGGGGCATGAAAACAAAATTAATGAACGTTTCTGAAACAAGTTCAATTAACAGTGCCAAATATTTAAGCTCAAAGAATGAATTGTTTGGTTCTTCAGCTTTTAATATCCAAACCATTTGCATAGGAAAAGACCATGAGAAGTTAGCATCTTTCGGAAGAGTTGTCTCCTACAACCCCTTCTCTAAATCCCTAATAGTTTCAAAGGAATTTGGATTGGAATTTTCTCAACGGATAATACCCAGCTCTGTTCAATTTTATGTTGGAAAAACATTTTCAGAAGATGTGGTACTTGACAAGATAAATCAACAACCTCTCATGGTTCAAATTGAAAGTCTGGTAGATATGGGAAATTACCAACATTTGACATTGCAGAAGGCTGTTGACATCTCTATGAATTTGTACACCATTACTTTTATTAATGGAACTAGAATAACTATTGAAACCATAATGCCCTCAAAACAATCACCAACAGGTGGGCAAAAGTTTGTGGTGAGAAAATCTATCCACGACTTCTCCCTAATTCAAGAGTCTACCTTTTCAATTTTAACTATTACTAGTAACACCTCACTAGAAATTATAACCCAAACTGAATTGAAATCCTACTTTTCGATAGGTTCCATTATTGAGTTTTTCACCGAGGACATCTATGTTGGTTCCAGCTCTATTGATATTGAATATTTTCAGGAAAATTACAAGTTTAACATGTATGATCCTGGTGATAGATGGAAGTCTGTGAGCTACCAACCTTTGACTTCTTTGCAAATTGAGTATGCTTTATTTGTGGTTCCTATAAGGAAAACATTCAAAACATCTACTACTAGTGCTACCCCACTCGATTTATGTCCAAGAGAGCACTCTTTTCTTCTCAATTCATCATTTCCTGATTTTAAAATAGATCCTCAGAGACAACATTATTTCACATGCTCATTAGAGGCCACCAAGGATTGTACTGAATATCCTGAACAAGATTTTTGCCCATCAATATCATTTCTAGATGCAGAGCCTACATACAAGTTTGAATTTGATCATCTCTTTCAATTGAATAACAAGTGGAAAACTATGGGTAATTCACTAGAAAAAGACATTGCACTAGGTGGTGCAACAGAAGTTGAGTATAAATACTCATTCTCTCAGGAGTATCATTTTCAACATGATTCCAGTTCCAATGATGTTGATGCTGAATTTACCAAAGGGTTCAATGTGAATTCAAATTCTACATCCAATATATTCAATGGAAGATTGAACTTTTTAGGTAGGTCTCTTGATGATGCTGGAATACCTGCCCATTCTCCAATACTTGATTTTGAAGTGAAGATTGACCTGTCTCCGTTTTGTGGAGAAGATATTGTCAAGTATGGAGATGGCATTTTACAAGATATATTTTCTGGAATTTTGAAAGAAACAGGATCTTGGAGATATACCTTTCGAGAGAATGCTAAAAATGCAGAAGGAGCTCAACAATATGCTCGAAAGGTCTTCACCTCTCCTCTCACCATCAAGTGGGATCTTTCTACATTGGGAGAGTACAATACGAATGACAAACTAATTTTGAGTCCAGGATACGAATTCGATTTTAGAGCTACTCTGAGAGCTACAAGCGTATATTCCTCAGGATTTACTGGAAATGCTGACATTAAGGAGGTGAAATTATCAATTGATAGTACTAGTGTTTCCAAGACAGCTTTAGATTTTTCCAACAGAAATAAGCTTGTCTTGAATTATATTATTCAAATCGATCTTACCCAGAGTAATCAAGTCTTTCTCATTGCTGAATCATCAGTCTTGCTGGATTTAATGACTGATGTAGGTGGAGCTATGGGAGTGCTTTCACTTGGTGCATTATTCTTAAAATTCTGGCAAATGCTAGTTGGTCAGCCATCTGTCTTTTTGAGAGATGTTATTTTGGCAGATGAACGTAAGGAAGAACGAAGAAAAGCCTCTCCAACCTTCCTAGATAGAGTATCTTCATTACTATTTGGTAGGAAAAGGAGAAATAGAATTGCACACTTACATCCTCACTCTCAAGCTGCTTATGAATTGAAATAAACATTCCAAGCACCTCTCGCTCTATTAATTAGAAGAATTGATAATTCCTTAATATTATTATTTAATATTTTAAAAAACTGTAAAAAATTTCCACACAGATAAGGAACCTTTCAGTCCAGTTATTGCTAGTTTAATGACCACTGCGAAATGGTGTGGGCTTGAATAATGTATTGGGATGCTTGCTCTAAAACCATTTTTATAGGTTGTGCCCATTATAAGGAAATATTCTCTGGAAAAGGAAGAAATATTCAATATCTGTTATTATTTGCAATGATGATGGTTTTGTGCCTTATCATGTGCAATAGTGATGATATTACTTCGGATCAATAGATTGGTTAATAGTAGTAGTTGCCACTTCATACATTAATAATCGCGAACTAATGCCCTATTGCTTGCCAGGTACGAAATAGTTTTTGGATGCAAAGAAGCCATTCTTGAACTATGAACGGTATTTTGAAAATTACAATCCAACGCTTAAAAAATACCTTCTGTTTATTGTGCTGATTAGTGACAGGTCAAAATCCACTGCTAACAACAACTGAACAACAACAAGACCATGTCGGTTAGGACATCAATAACCGAGCCCAATTTCCATGACAATTTCATTACAACTCTAAATGATTCATCATCATCTTCAAGTCGTCCAGCCACAACAACAAGTATAGATTTATTCATGAGAGGAGAACCAATTCTTGTAGATTTGCTTTTACATCATGATGAGGATATTTGTCTGCAGGATATTGACGATCATCAGTCGGCGATGGATAAAGAAATGTCGACAATTACGAATAATCTTCCTCATCAACAACAACATATTATCGGTCAACAACACGAATTATCATCATCACCTGTTGTTGCTATTACTTGTACTCCTCCACTACTAACTAATTTAGACATGACATTCAATTATGACAAAACTGATAATCAGCAGCAGCAACAAGAAGTAAATACAACTAATAGTAATAATATTGTATTTAATAATGATATAGTAATTGTGGAAGATTCTAATAGCAATAATAATAATAATAATAATAATCGAATGAACATGGTGAATATTGTTGATGGTAGTTCTATTATATTAAATAATACACCTCAACTCTTTATTGAAACAAAACAAGATAATTCTAAAGGGTTAGTTCTACCTTTAAATTTATCTAATGATAATTCTCCAGTCAATTCAGAGATTTCATCGGCTGTGAGTGTGACCTCCTATGGGTCAAGTCTTCCATCGACTCCAAATAATTCCCATCAATCTTCAAGCTTTTTCAATTCATCAACAACAATGGTAACCAATGATGAAACTGATTGGGAAATTATTGTAAAGAATAGAAATGCTCAACAAATAGCACGTATGGCCTCTGCTACTGGTTTAGTATTTCATAATAATCTATCCTCCTCACCATCAACTACTTCATCTTTATCGTCTTCAAATCTATCAAATCAACATCATCACTGTGTTACCACTCCAAAATTGGATACATCTTCTTTAAATGAAACATCATTCAGAAAGAACTTTATCACTCGACATAGTTCTGATCAGAGAATTGCAATCTCTAGTAATAATAGTAGTGGTAGTACATGTAATGAAGAGTCCACATTTGGTACTGGGTCAAGCAAGCAGAGAAGCAAGACAAGTTTTTTGTGGGGAAGATCTTTAGAGAGGAAGAATTCTGCAAACAGCAATACTTGTATGCCTCCAATAGAGGATTCTAAGAATGCTCAACTCGATATTTCGGCCTCTTCAATAGAGAGTAGTGCCACCAATGTTGCATCAGATGAGAGCTTTTTAGAGTTTTTACAGAGTGTAGATTGTCGAATGAATGTTATTTCGATAGAGTCAATTGATTCTGCCTCTACACAAGACACATCATCCAAAGAGACTTTGAAAAAGTCCAAATTTTGGGATAGACTCAAGATTATCAAAAAGGCAATTAAGAAACAGCTTATGGAAGAAGAAAAACCTAACAGCACCCAACAAACACTTCACACTCAACAACCATCTAAACACTCGAGAACCAATAGTATTACAAGTAATCCACATACACTTGATTTGGATTGTAAAAGTACATCATCTTCCTCTCTGACAAGCGTTAGTGATGAAGACAAGTATACGGTTGTTATTACTAAACCAGCAATAGTCTCTAATAGTGCAATTAGATCTGCTGAGGATGAAATGAGACATTGTCTTAATGATCCAATTTGTTTACAATTATTTGATGAATTTTGTTGTCAGGAATGCTCTCAAGAGAATTTACTTCTTTGGAAGGAGCTCAATAAGGTCAAGACTAATTTCAAGAAACTTTCAGATAAGAGAAGAAGCAAAACCCTTCGAACCATTCACTCGAAATTCTTCTCTGAGAAGAATGAAAATTTCGATGTAAATGTTAGTGGTCGAACTAAAGTTCAAATAGAGGAACAAGCAAATAGCAAGAGAGTTAGTTTAGCATCTGGCGCACACGTTTTAAATAGCTTACAACGAGATTGTATCAACAATTTATGTGACAGCTTTTCGAGGTTTATTCTCACTGAGGATTACAAACTATGGAAACAAAACTTTGATAGGTAAATTTTGGAAAATCAATACCCCAAAGTTAAATTTGTGTAAATATTTGAAGAGAGTGAATTCAAAAGGATTCAATTATTTCAATTTTCTTTAATTAAACTTGTTTTTAATTACAATTAATTTGATTATTATTATGGCGCCATGATGAACTCGAATTAAAATAAAAAATAAATATTAAAAAATGTCTCAAGATCAAACGGAAAAGCTTTTGAGAAAAAGATCAACATCAAGTGGTTTGAAGATTATTGGTAATTATCAAATTTTAAATGGCGGAATATGTTTATTATGATGATCAGTTCCTGAACCTGTTTTTAAAAAGTTGGATTTACAAACTGTTTCTACTCTGATCGGAAAGGAAAATGCTTTGTTTATTGATGTAAGGTATGATTATTATTGTTGTATTTTATAAATCAACATCATCATGATTGTACGATCGGATCATCATAGAGATGAAGACTATGAAGGAGGTCATATTAAGGGATCTATTCATCAACCATTTTCTTCTTTCGATGAGTTGTGTCCATCTCTTGTTACCCTTGTTGAAGAGAAGGCATCCACTTTGGACACTCTTGTTTTCTATTGTATGTTTTCGGAACAAAGATCTCCTCAGTGTGCTGCTGCTTTTGCTGAAAAGATTTCTGGAAACAAGGCTTTGGAACATTTAAAGATGTAAGTTATTGGATAATTTAATGTATGATTAATTGTGATGATCGGATTAATGAATTGTAATATGCTATTATTATAATAATAATATTATAGAATTATTCTTTCTGGAGGATTTAATTCATTCTTGAAAAAGTATACACCACCAAATGATCTTATTGAGGAATATAATGCTGAATGTTATAAGGAAGTTGATGGACAATTATTGCACATGATCGATGCTCAGTATTTGGATGTCATTACCGATAAGAATGTCAGTGTTAGCGAATAAAATAGCTAGCTCAGAAATTAAGATCTAGTAGTAAAACTGCAGATGAGGAACCACAATTTTATTTCTTTTTTCGTTTGAAAAATTGGAAAGCAGATGAGGAACCACTATCTGAAGAGGAGCCTCCCTTCTCAAGGGATTGAGTAAGCATTTCAATAATGTCGTCACAAGGAACATGAGACGATTTGGCAATATCTAATGGTGTTTTACCTTGCTTATTTTTCAAGTGTAAAACCTTGTACATTAATGTTTGTTTTGGTTCTACTCTTGGACTCGATAGATTTGTAGTTGAAGCACTTCTACTATTTTCTCTTGGTGTTGAAAGGAGACCTCCTGAAGTTGGAGTGGTATTTTGATTTGGTGATAAATTTGCAACAGAGCTAGCTGCAACACTAGGTCTCTTGTTCATTTGAACACCAACAATATTATACAGTGATAGGAGATATCTTACAGCAAATGTATTGCTGTCGCTACAAGCATATGCAAGACAAGTTTGATGTTTGTCATTATCTGGTTCCATCAACAACTCATTGAGGACTTCAATATTTTCTTGAGACTCTTCGTCATATTTTTGTTTTTCTGCAAGCTTTTGTTCTGGTGTGAGCTCTACATTCTTTGGTGCTAATCTGAGGGCCGATCCTAATGTACTCTTTCTAGGTTGAAGTAGCTCATTAATAATCAATTGCATGGATTTCAAATCACCCTTAATTACACAATCGTGTAGAATATTTCTTCCATGATAATTTTGACTCTTCAAAACTTTAATGAATTGCTCTCTAGAAATGTATGGCAAAATTGCCTCCAAAATTGGTTGTTTTCGTTTCAGTACACTGTTGTTGTTACTTTCTGTTGATGAATTGTTGGTTTGAGAATTATTCTTGCTTAGTTCAGGATTGAGTTTCTTAGCTCTCTCTGAAGGATCATTGTAAAACAAGTCACGAGCCTCTTGTTCACTCAAGCCATAGAATTTTTTAGCTGAGAGAATGAGTGTCTTGGTTGACCATCCCATTTGAGGAACAAGCAACTCCATGGCTTTGAACATAATATTCTTCTTCAATTGGAATTCATCTTGAAGGAAGTGACTAATGTGATTAGGGAATCTAGAACCATTTGTATTGGTTTTGGAATTGGCTGGAGAGGGTGATGAATTATTTTGAATTGGGCTTGATTTAATCTTGATAGAATCTTCAAGAAGGACACCTTGTTGATTACTGGTATAACCTCCTCCTGCCATTCCATTAATACCTGAAAGAGCAGCCAATGAGTCTGATCTCATTTTGAGTGCAGCAGGAAGCTTGAGAGGTTCTCTCTTCTTTCTTCTATCGTTTGTTAAGAGTTTGTTCTTATTTTCATAATTGACTTCACCAGATTCACCAACAAACATTTCATCCAATTCTTGGAAAATATCAGCAGAAACGTCAGTATCACAACTAGAAACACTAGTTGTTGGTGATGGAGCTCTATTCGAAATTGGAGTATTATCACTATGTTCTGATGATTGTTTAACTGAGTCAACTCTAGGTGAGTCATATTTAGTTGATTCATTGATGGTATCCTCATCTTTTTCCTTGGACATTTCATGTTCGAGAAGGAATTCTTCAATCAAAAGTAAATCTTCATCTGGTACTTGAGATGATTCTCTCTTTGATTCTACCGATTTTTCATCAGCAGCATTAATTACATCCTTTGTTGAGTTTTGTGAGGAGAGAGTTCTTGGTGAAGGTTGAGTTGGCACTTGTTGTACCTCAACTTCTCTCCCAACAAGATTGAAGAGTGGAACACATCCTTTTTGATCCTTCTTTAGTAAAATAGCTCCCTTCTGAATGAGATAAACTATTCTATCCAATGGTAATTCGAAACAAGCACGGTGCAACATGGTTTCACCTCCACGAATTGTAGTATCCAATGAAGCACCAAACAAAATGAGCATGTCACACACTGCAAAGCAACCTCTCTTCAATGCTACATAAAATACATTGTATCCAAATTCATCATCCACTTGTTGAATAATCTTTTCCAATGCATTGTTATTATATGGAGATGAAGCTCCAGTAGCAGGAGATGAACTAGTTGGTGAAGGAACATCTGCCTTATTCTTATTACCGAAAAAGCTCTTTCTTCCAGAGCCTCCTCCACTATTAGAATGTGGATTGGCCACAAGTTCTGATCCATTTCTAGCTCTTGAAACTCCTGTCTTGATTGTTGAACTCTTAATTTTCGTACACAAGAATGCACAGCTCTCAGTAGCATTAAAGAAGGAAGTATAAAAGAGTGGAGTCATTTTCATGGCATCCGAAACAAATAAGAAATCAGGTCCACATTCATCAAATAACCATTCCATAATAACACTCTGATTGTACTTGGATGCCAAGTGCATTAGTGTACACTTTTGAATAGAATTAAACTTGGTATTGAGTAAATATTTAGTCCACAATAATTTCAAAGATGGTTCCGTTGCAAATTTAAATTGTTTCCAAGTGTCGAGAACGTCCTCTTTCATGGAGGTAAATTCCTTCCTTGACATGACTTCAACTTCACGTGTAGGTGATCCAGTACTACTTGATGGACTGCCAAGAGATTGGAGGTCTGCGAATCTAGTACTGTTCCTGTTTAGTTTTATACTATTTCTATTAACACTGAGACTGTTACTGACAGTAAGAGTTGATGATTCGTTACCACTCAATTTCATAGATCCAGTTGTAAAGAAGAAGAATCTAAAGTAGAGTAATTGTTTCAATCGGTAGAGAGAATGAATAGAAATGTGATAGAGACCACTCAAGTCCATTAAAGCACTTCCCTTTGAAGATAATACCGAAGTTGTGGTATCTAAAATTATTGATTTGGCACTAGTTTCCGCAACTGTATCTTTTTCAATCAATGGCTCAACTTGGCTGGTTTCGTTTGCTTTCGAATGCTTTCTGTTAACTTTCTTCTTCTTGGCAGATAAATGTTGTGATGATGGAACAAAGCAATTCAACACCAACTCCTTCCAAGTATCTTCATCCAACGAAGAAGCATCTAAATTATCAAAGAATTGAGCCACTTTAACAATATCAATATCATTATAAATTGTTGTACTATTTGTACTTCCGTGATAACTGTGAGTAGAACTACTTCTACTCAGAAAACCATTTCCACTCAACTCTCCCATATCATCGACCAGTTTACCAATTTGGTCTAAATTCATTGGAGTTATTGGAGATGAATAATTATTATTAACATTTTCAATGGATTGTCTGTTTGTTTGACTCGGTGTTATTGTTGTTGTTGATGGTGGCATCATTGGAGTAGTGTGATTATTATTATTTGATGAAGGAGTTGAAAATTGGTTATTATTATTTGGAGGAGAAGTGGTAGTTGAGTAGTGGTGGTTATCAGTTGTTGTTATTATTGAAGAAGTATTCGTCATTATGGAAGCCTTTCGAGGGGTAGAAGGAGAGTTAGCAGAGTTTAATGTAATGGTTTCATCGGTGGTGGTAGAAGTATTACTAATGGGCTGTTCAGGTTGAGTTATTCTGGATGATGATGTTGATGATTCTATTGAAGTCATCTCGTTTGTTTTATTTGAAATAATAATGTGTGTATATATATTCGAAGAAAGTATTACTCGAGGTGTTTTTGTAGAGCAAAATTTCTTCTTCTTGAAAGATAATATTATATCTTGTGATTTGGCAAACGGTTTTTGAATTTGATTTTTTTAACCGGAATGTTGGTGATGATTGTTAATTTGCGCCAAGTTTACTTGTGCTATTTTGTGTGGTGGAAAAATGAGAGTGCTGACACTAAACATGGACAAACCAAATGGGTTGTTTGATGCTAAGAAAGTTATTGAACTCTAACAATTAATTGGCTATTCGTTTCGTTTAGTTTATTTGATGGGATAACAAAATTTCTGCTTTTAAACAGTTTGAAAATCGATCGACTTAGACAATCATTAGTATTTAATGAGTTTCATGGATTTTCATTCAAATATGTGTGGGGGTCATGGCGCAGTCGGTATTATTAATAGATTTTAGGGTAGGTAACGCTCTCAATCTACCTCAACGTAACTTTAAATATAAACTTTATTTATTTTTAGAAAGGGTGGTTTGCGCTCTCAAGCAATGTTGCTCTTTAATGTACTGTTGCTATACTTTACATTGAATTGAATTTATTGATTAATTATTTCAACTTTTGAAGATTTCTTACTATTTTTCATACTATTAATAATTTTTAATTTTCTTTCTTTTCTTAATTCTTCATCATATTCAATTTCTTCTGTATAAAAACTAATATCACTATAATTTAAATTTGATTGTTTGGAATAATTTGGAAAATAATTATTTTCTGATTCATTAAATTCTTGAATTGTTTTTGATATTTTTTCAATTTCATTATCAATAAATTCATAAATTTGTTCATGTTTTTTAAAATTAATTTTCATTGATAAAATTAAATTTAAAAATAATAATCCTTTTCTAAAAATAGATAAGGTAGGGTTGCGCTTTCATTAATACTCAACGTAACTTTTAAAATAAAAAACTTACCCAAAAATTTTACATTGAAAATTATCATCTTCAGATTTAAAATTAATTAAATTAATTTCATCTGATAAATTTGTTTCATCAATATGTTCTCTAAAATTTTCATTTGTTGTAAAAATTAAAAATGAATTTGAATTATGAATTATATCTTCTCCTAATTCATCTGAAATTTCACTAATTCTAATTATTTGTAAATTTTTAATTATTGAATATAATCTTCCAAAATTAATACAAATTGGTGAATGTTTACAATTTGATTTAATTATAAATGTATCATTATCTTTTAAATAATAAAATTAGGTAGGGTTGCGCTCTTAAGTATATCAACGTAGCGCGTAGGTCTCATAATCCTAAGGTCGTGAGTTCGATCCTCACTGACCCCAACTTTTTTGCTAGTTGGATCTAACAAATTCTAGAATAGCACCATTTATTGAAACAGCTTGCCATACAAATTCTCTATCTCTTTTCAAGGCATTAATCAAAATTTTGTGGTTCAAGTTTGATCGATTCCTATGCTAATTACCTGTCATATCTAAATTGCTCTCGAACAAACCTCAATACTAACCAATCCTTGAAGGAGTTCAATGTCATTTCTCAATCTTTCAAGAAATAAACTGAATGGCTAATCCAGATGATTTCAGTCTTTCAATCACTTGATGCATATGTAAACAAGAACCAGTTCCGTCTTCTAAAGATTTATATCCATTAAAGCAGGTCTCAAGGCTGAATCACCTTAAAGGTGAAACAGTCCCTGAGCTTTAATACCCATTAGTATAATTACTTGTTCTCAATCTTGTTTTTATTAATTTGCAAGGTAACATCTTCAATTCATTAGATCCATATGAATATGATCTTGGTCTAGAATCTTATTATTCTCTGAGAAGGATTTATGTTTTGCACGATTTTGCCTTAATTGCAACATACACACCAGCCCGCGTAGCAGAGTGGTCAAATGCGTAAGACTTAAGATCTTATCCCGAATGGGTTCGTGGGTTCGAACCCCACCGCTGGCATTTCCTTTTCTTTTTTGTTTTCTGTGCATTGGTGATGTCTTTGCAACTTGAATGGAAAGTTTTCTGAATTTGAATTATATTCTTATAGACCAGATGCTTTTCCAATAACTATAATAACTCATAAAAACAGATTCCTTCCTTGAAAAAGCTTTTAATTATATTAATTTTCCAAGAGAGAATTCAAAGAGCTATTTTCTACATGGCTTGTCCATTATGATTGATTCAAAACTCATAAGGTCTTTGCCTTAATTATATTTTCTTTATTTATTACAACAACTGATTAATCTTTACTGATATACCGAATTTCACAATCTTTAAAAAAAAATGAAATATAACAAAAAAATCTACACAATCCTTCTAAGGTATCTAGATTTGTGCAATATATATCAACCTCATTAATTAATCTCTCACCCATTAGAATGAAGGCAATATAAACTCTCTCGTAATTCATCATAAAAAATAAATTATTACTTGATCTCTTGTCCACACTTTTTTCGAAATGGTATTTCAGCATAGAAAAGAATAAATTCTTTACCTCAGTTTCATTTTCAAAATCACAATTATCCAAATTACGTTTTGAAAATTTACCATAAATATTATTTCCAATTACAATCATTTCTTCATCCAATCAAACATTTTTTTGGTTGATACTTCTTGTTCTTTTCCTTGAGAGGAAGAAACCATTTTGATAATACTATTTCTATAATACTATCCTGAACAATATAACTCTACTGCTGTAGTATTACCCGTATGATCATATATGGTTTCCCACCACGAAGACGTCTTTTCCTCATCCAATGAACATTTATGCAAAAATTCAACCCATGGATGTCAAGGTTCACTCTCTATCATGTCGAGAGGAATTTTATGATTAAATATTCCCAATTTTTCATTGAATTTATACTGAGGGTCTTTCTGATAAAACGTGTTTTCCTCAATTCCGAAGGTGTAAATTTGTGCATTATTTTTACTTAATTTTACAAAACTAAGGAGTGACTTAGGAATCATCCAACCATTGTGTAGGATTTATAAACATGTATTGATGGCTGAACAACATGAGTATTATGTCTAAATGTACACAACCTCAGCCAATAAAAAGTCATCAATTTGTTATAATAGATATATATTATGAGTGGTAAAATATTTATTTGCCAACAGTAGATGGTGATAGTTAAAATTGATCAACAATAGTTGCTCCACAAATTGAGGATCATCCACTACTGAAGCGCTTATGAAGTTTGTCGCACAAAAACGCAATCGATTATCAACAATCATTACAAAATTCTAAAAAAAAATGCTCTCTTGGTTAAATGGTGATTCAGCAAATGTTTTTTCCTTTCCGTCTAAACCAGAGGTAACAATTTTGAAGGAACCACAAAGTTCTGACTCTCCTATTATTGTTGATGGTATTAAATTATTTTCATACAAGGGTTTGTTTTAATTGCATGTCATGATGGATTGACCAGTAGTATAATAACTGTAACTCTCTTTTGTATTGAAAACTTCATCAAATTAATTATCAATCATTTGATACAAACAAACAAATGGAATTACAATGTTGGTTGGTTAATGAATCATTGAAGATATACTTGCCATTCGTGAGGAAATAGCAAACGAGGAGGATTATGAAATTCTCTATGAGGAACCTGAAAATTATCGTAAAATGTTCATCAAGAAGAGAGGAGAGGGTTCAACAGGTGAAATTAAACGACACAAATATACTAGAACAAATTTTCCATCCTCTCCAAAGGAAATGTTTGTTGCTGTTAGGGATTTTGAGAGGAGAAAGAGTTGGGATGACAGACTGGAGGAGAGAAATGTCATGAGAGTTTTTAAATTTACTGATAAGGAGTAGGTTTCTTTTTGATGATTGGATAATCTTATCCTAAACCTATTTTTGTTATTACGGATCGATGTTATATTGTATCACAATACTACTCTACTATATTAATTACTGATGATAATTTAAATTATAACTATGATGTAAATAATTATTTAGAACTGGTAAAGTTGTTATCAATTCAATTGAGAGAACTGCACATAAGGGTGCTTTTCCTGTTCAAGGAAGAGATTTCATATCTCTTACTGGTGTTGTTATTATGAATGAAAATCACTACTTGACTCGTTCTCATGCCCTCGAATACAGTTTACTTCCATACGCCACAAATGGAAATAAGAAGGAAAATCCACCTCCTCTTCCACAAGATAAATATGGACCTTCTGAGGGTTTCAATGGTTACATTAGAGGTTGTAACAAGTTTTTTGCAAATGAATGTTTTGGAAATGAAACAACAACTACTTACACAACAGTTTTAGAGACTGATGTTCGTGGTTGGGTTCCATCAACAGTTTATAATTGGTTTGTAAAATTTATTCCTGCCAATGGTGAAGTCAATCTAGGAAAAGGATTGGAATGGAGAAGGACAAACTCAATTTCAAACGAATTGAATGATTTTTATTATAATATTGATTCACCATTGTTTAAATAGTGGATTACATCCATGTAATTAATTGTATATATAGAACTATACTTGTAAATATATTCCTTTAAATTATTTGATTTTATAAATCAGTTTGTAATAAATTTCCGTTACAATTTATTTACGATTGATAAATTTTTGAATTGGAATTGCACCACTATCACTACCTGTTGCGATACATTTAATAAATTCAGTTGGTTCCAACATTGTAATATCACAAAAGTATTTAAATCTATTTGCAACATATTGAGCTTCCTTATATCCCATAAATTGAGTGAGATAGTCAACTTGTTGATCGTCCTCTTGGTAGCTTTGTTCCAATTTCTTCAAAAATGACTGGACAAGTAGTGAATTAATAAAGTGTGCTTCCTCAAAAAGTGTTGGGAACGCCTTAGAAAAGGTATAGCCCTTCTTCCATACTGCATTTCTCTTTTGATTACTCGAGTAAATGTCCATATAATATTGATCATAATCCAAAATTAGATATTTCTCACTGTAGTACAAGGTTCTGAATCCTACATTATTGGAAAATACTGGCGAAACTGACAATCCAACCATGGCAAAATTATTCTTGGTGTTACCCAAATCATTAACCTTATTGGGTTGTTGGTTTCTGAATAATCTGAATTGATCCTTATGCAAGTGACCGTACAGAATGGTGGTAATCATTTCACTATATTTTGACACAAGTGCCAAGAATTGAGATTCATACATTGGCTTCCACAATGATTTGTTATCAAATGAATTTTGACTTGCTGGAATATGGGTTACAATGTAAACAGTTACATCTCTAATTGAGAGTTCACTTCTTGCCTTTAACAATTCCATTTCCATCCAGGCAAGTTGTCCTGATGGATCACTTGGTGGCTCAGCTCCATTTGTCATATTTGGATATCTATTCGCAGAGTATAAAAGTGAATTTAAAACAAGAATAACCAACTTGGATTCTCTTCCCTGAGAAGTCTTGACAATTTCATACTTGTAATATCCACCCTTCAAGAAGGTATTTCTTTGATAGTCCTCAGTGAGTCCAAACATTTTTCCCCATCCAACAGGTCCAGTCCACAAACTTTGATACCAAGTCAAAGCTTCATTTCCATGATCAGGATCTTCAATATATGGCAAATAATAATCAGGATACAAATCATTATTTCCAATGCATGGCAATATTGGCAAATCATAAACATTTAACTGTTTTGCCAAGGTAGATTGCAACATTTTCGTCACATCCAATGTATTTTGCAAAACAAATGATCCATTAGGCAAGTGATGAGCATTGTAATCTCCATTCATGACAATAAAATCTGGTAAAATTCCATTATGCTCCCTAATAACTTGTGCAATTTGTGAAAATGTGCTTTCCACAAGTGTCTTTGGAGCATCACATCCATATCTTCCGTACATTGCATAATCAGTAAAATTCGTATCAATTCCCTCGAAAGAAGGTGAACTAGAATTACGAATCAAAATTTTTCTCTTTTCCTCAATAAACAAAAAATCTTGGATTTTTTGTTTGGTATTTCTCAAATGATGAAACTCTTGTTGAACACGTTCTGGCTGATTTTCCGTAACTACTTGTTGTGGTTTTCTACAAAAGTATTGATGATTAGGAATGGTTGGATCATAGAATGGATCATAGTGAATATCAGTCATCCACAAAAAGTAACCAAATGCCGATTGTTCTCCTCCTCGTGATTTTAATGATGAGAATTTATTAACTTGTTGTGTTGTTGAACATATTGTTGAAGAAAACAACAAAATGATGAAGAAGGAGAATAAATAATTGGGTGATGATGAAACATGTTGAGACATTTTTTAATAATTTAAAATTTTCAAATAACTATTTTGAAAATCTACCAATATTTTCACATGGTGCATGTGCTGAGAATGTTAATATTGCTGATATTTGAATAATTTAATTTTATTAAGGAATTTGTAAAATTTTATTAAAAATAATTAAATATTCGTTTTTAAAAGAAAAGGAGAAAATTAAGAAATAAACCCTTAACTCCTTATCTTACACAACAAAACAATCAAAATAAACACTATTAATATTGATAATACTAATAATATATCCAGATGAAAAAGAAGAACTTTTAATATCCATTTTTGAACCTTTCCAATCTTTATGAACAAAAACAGGCTCCAAAATAAATTTTTAGAAAACTAGTCGCACAAAATGCCGACCTTAAAATATCCAAATAAGCGCAGTAAATTTGTATAAAATAAAATCATAAAAAAATGCAACAACTTAATACTAATTTATCATCTGCTACCACTGGTCAAGAGCAACCACATACTCCAAAGACACCAAAAACACCAGGTTCTTTCCCTGTTGTTGCTGCCACTGGTAAATCAAGTCAAGATGAAGCAGTTCCAATCTTTTGTAGACAATACAAGATTATTTGTAAGAATTCTATCGGAAAGGTTGTTTTGAGAGAATTCGATTCTATTGAATGTGATGGTACTGTTGTTATTGAAGGTTTGTATTTTAAAATTTGTTAAGCTTAACACAATCTTGTTAGGTTTCCCATCTGAAGAAGGAATGACTGCTATCATGACTGCCAATTATATTATTAAACAATTACAGCTTCCATTGGTTGGTGATATTGTTTCTCCATACTTTACTCCTCTTGGTGTTGTCAGAGATGGTTTGGTATGTTTAATACAATTAATTGCTAATTATCTAACATTTATTTTAATGATTGGACTTTATTGTGTGTTGTATAACATTTAATTGTTATTGTATTAATCATCAATATTAAATTGATGTAAAATTTTACTATCCTACCATTCACCATGTGTTGAACAAAATAATAATCAACATGATGACAAATATTATAACACAATGTTCTTGTTAAATTTAATTATTTAAAGCCTTCTCATGGTATTAGAATTTATGGTAACAAGAAGATTGTTGTTTTCGTTTCTGAATATGAAATCAAGGATCCAGAAATTCAAAATGATGTCATTGATGCTGTTTATGATTTCTGTCAAAGACACAGATCCAAGTGTTTAATTTCTGTTGATGGTTTGGACATGGACCCAACTGTTAAGAAACAACCTTCCGATGATATCAAGATTGGTATTCAAGCTGCTGGAGGTGCTGGTGAAGAAGGTGATGATGAAGAAGGAGAAGATGAAGAAGGTGATGAAATGATGAGCTTTGAAGATGAAGATGCTCCAAAGACCACAGAAGAACTTCTTAAACTTTTGGAACAAGAAGATTACAAGGAAAAGGTTTGGTATGTTACCAACAATGAACATTATGCCAAGAAATTGCAAGAAATGAACGCTACTGTCGCAATTGAAGTTGCTTGTACAGGTATCAGTGGTGGTATTCTTGCTGAAGCTCCATTTAGAGGTGTTCCAGTTTTGAGCTTGTTCGCTCCACTCAATCGTTTCCTCAAGATTGGTACCAGAGCTAGTATTGCTCTCATTCATGCTCTTAACAAACTCATCAGTGAAGATCAAACAAGTATTCTCATTGATACTTCTGAATTGGATAAGACTGCTAAGGAATTGGAATCTAAGTTAAAGGATGTTTTGGGTAAGATGGGTGCTACTGGTGATGAAAAGGTCCCAGGTTCTGCATTCCACTCAATGTATATGTAAATTTAATTGTAAAAATTGTAATTATAATTTTAAGGGAATTGTTTTTAATTCGATTGATAATCATTCAATTGAGCTCATTTTACTGTTGAATTGTTTCCATCAACATTTGATATTTGCAAATGTGAATATCGTCATTGGAAAGGTGTGAAAACAACAATGTGATTCTCAAAATCCCTTATGTCCAAAAGCAGACCTATCCAATTTTGCCAATTGTGATTTCTTTTGACCGAAATAAGACTCGAGTATCTAGTTTAGTTTAGGTTCTCTTCAACAATTTCAAAAAAAAAAAATATGACACCACTTACTAGAGAAGACTTTTCAACCTTCACAACCGATCAAGTGTGAATTTTTCAAACAACACAAGTGTCCAGACAGAGTGTTGAATTGTAAGTTTTCAATTTATTTGACGACTCTTAATTTCTTTCTTTTTATTATTTATTTTGTTAATTTCTATTCGAAAGTATTGCGTGAGAAAGATTATAATGGAGTTAAAGTTCTCTCCTCCACAAAGGACGACTATTTGAAGGAGGGAATTTCACAGGCCTCTTGTGTGCTATTGGTGAGGGAATTGGAAAAGGTTCTCAATCCAACTATTAACAATTCAGTTTCTACACAACCTGCATTGGAAACATCGGCAGAAACTAAAAAGTTATTAGAAAAAGGAATGAAATGTATGGAAAATAATGATCTCCAAGGATGTTTTAATGCCTTCTTTGATGCCTCACAGAATTTGGATGATCCAACCATAATTACTGAATATTTTGACAAGCTATATAAGGCAGGATTCACAGATGAAAAATCGTATGCACTCCTCATGGAGTATTTTCTGATTCAGGCTGAAACTGGGGATGCATTCTCATCTAATATGATTGGACAACTTCATTGTGGATATTGTGGACATGCAAAGGAAAGTAAAAAGGCCTTATTATGGTTTGAAAAGGCAGCTAAACAAGGAGAAGTTTCTGCTCAATTCAATTTAGCTAAATTATATTTGGATGGAGATGGTGAGCATGTACCAATCGATTATTCAAATGCTCTGAAATGGTTCAGAAGAGCAGGTTTAGAAAATTCACATCCAGACTCACTTTACTACCTCTGCACAATGTATGAAAAAGGTTTAGGTGTGAGTGCAGATTTGAATTTAGCAGAGGAATATTTTGAAAGAGCTAAAGCTTTGGGTTCAATACTTACTCAATAATTAGAGTAAATCAGTGTAATTTATTTTCAAACATTTTTGAATACCATTATGAACACAATATTCAACCTGGGGACCAACCCAGCAAAACTCTTCCTTTATGATGATTTCAAATCTAGACATGTTTAGAGAAAATCCAAAACATCCTACTTATAATTTACATGATAGTACAACAACCCTTTTTACCTCCACCTTCACAGTTGGCAAGCTTCTTTTCTAATTCCTCAATTCTAGCCTTCAGCTTCTTTTCGTTTTCTAAAAGCTCAGCAATCTTTTCTAACCTTGGATCTCCTCTAGAAACTCTGAGTTTGTTCTTAATTTGCTTGGCTCTATCAGAAAAGTAGAGAGTGCTCAAGGTCTCTTCACTATTTACATCTGCTGAAGAAACACATGATATCATTACACAAAATGCATTACCTCCAATGGAATCTTTCAATAACCGAGTCAGGATTGAATTTCTGTATGGTACAAAGTTTGTTTTCTTCACAAGGGCATTAATGACATTACCCAAGTTGGATAAACTGAGATTGATATTTGCTCCTTCCTTCAACCGGTCTCCTGTAGCTTCTGTTGATGAGGCTCTTTCACTACCAGCAAGATCGACCAGTGAAATCTTGTTGGATCTCAAACTGAGACCATCTTCATCACCTTTATCAACTTGATCCATGTAAATTGTCAGAACAGCGTGAGATCTTGAGGAGAATTGATTCATTTTGGTTTCGCCAACAGTTCTCCTACTAGCTCCTTCATCCAACAACTCGTTCAATTCCTCTTCACTTCCGATTGGCCTTTCAATGAGATTTGTAACAATAATTCCCTTCACCTTATCTTCTCTAACATCATATTTTAACTTTTCAGTTCTATTGTGGAGAAGATCGTGAATATTTTCATTATAAATTTCAATATATGAAGCCTTAATGGTAATATCCGTTTTCTTTTGTTCCTTTCTCACATATTCAAAGAGCTCTCTCACAAAACGAGTCATTATTCCTTGTTGTTGTTGATCTCCTTTCACACCTTCCATTGTGTAGGTTTTTCCACTTGATGTTTGACCGTATGCAAAGATACAAGCCTGAATTCAAATACAACCTTAATGAAAAGATTAGTCTTTAAAAACATACATTATATCCCAATATAAATCTCTCCAAACACATTGCTCCTGTAGCTTTATAAATTTCAGTTTGAGCAGAAGTTTCATCAAAAACTCCATCAAAGAAAAATTCCTTATCTTCCTTATCCTTTCTCACCAGTTTGATTTTTCCTTCCGATTTGCCTATCGATAAGCAAGAACTACTCTTGAGAGATAATTCTCTCTGATTCAATGGTCTTGATCTCACCACAACTTTAATATTAGTCTCGTCAACTGCTGACACCATCGTATTGATAGCTTCTAAAGCAACTTGTTGTGACTTTTCTTCCTCCTTCCTAGGCGAAACAATAATGGTTGTGGTACCAGCACTCAATTTTGAATTATCCTTCTTTTCATTATTTGTTGATGAAATTGCCGATCCAGGAGCACTTCCTGCCTTCTTCTTCTCTACTGCAGTGGTTGTAGCAGTAGCAGTGGAGGGACTCTTTGCTGCTTTAGGATTTTTGTTATTAGTATTAGCAGCAGGCGCATTTGTTCCTTTTGATGCAACCATTTTTTTTAAAGAATTTTTTGAGGTCAGTTAAGGTCGGTTGAGGTGGTTATTGTTTGGCGTAGGTGTTTTTGGAAAAATTTAAAGTTCCTTAAAGATATGTGAAGAATAGGAGAATTGGAAGGAAATTTGAAATACATATATGAATGGGCCAAACCTCTTATAGTTGATTAAGAATAAGTATTCATTGCATGATATCAAATGTAATGTTGAACATTCAACTCAGATACTCTCAATTAATGTCATTTCTCCAAATCCAAGTATCACTGTGAAACCAGTAGCCCATTTTACAATAAATTCAATATTGAAATTAATCTTACAACAGTAACATGAAAATCAATGAGCGCGCGATACTACATTTGCGGTGGTTGTTTCAATCAAAACACAGATTTTTTCTTGAATTTTTAAAAAATACAAAAAAATCAATTTCATCATCATGCACAACAATAAAACATTTGCCTGTTGTTGTGCAACTCTCTTGGTGGTGCTATTGAGCATTTTGATGATCTCATCGAGGGATGCTCTCGTATTTGGAAAGTTTATCATCAACAACAAAAAAGTAATGCCAACCATTACTTTTGAAGAGTTGAAAAAGTTATTGCCAAAGGAAGATTTGAGCAAGTTGAAGGCCGAAGCCTTGATTAATACAGTATCTATTTATTGTTCATCATCAGCATCATCAACAAGTAAATATTATTTGAAGGAAACATCGACATCATTTACCTATACATTTGGTAATTATGATTTTGATAAAGCCATCGCTGTTGGTATTCTCTATGATGGTTATTCACCAGTTTTGAATAATCAAACTGATGCTGTTGATGGTTGGATGCGTTTGTGGGTCTCTACCTTCACCAATGTTAATAGAGAATCAAGTGGTGTTGATGCTTGTTATAAATCGGAAATTAACAGACAATATGCTGCTGGTATGGTTGAAGGTTTATTGACACAACCACAAATTTACAACTTTTTCCAAAATCAATATAGTAATTGGAAGTTTGCAAAGAATAATGTGGATTTGAAGGCCAAGTTTGGTGACAATAATGAATGGGTCAAGTCACACGAAAGATTCAGGTCATCTCAACAACAAGGAAGAAATAGTTCTAATTATTATTTCCCATCTGCATTGGTTGCCTACATGCAAGACAATTACAATTGGTTGAATCAACAAGTTGCTTCCAATCCAACATCTAATTATTGGAAACAAGTTGGTGGAACTTTGACTCAATTCAATGGTCTTGTTCAAGGTTATACTATTCGTGCCGAACAAGAAAAGAATGAAGTTTATGGAAGTTTGAATTGGTTGGATTTATACTTTTTACAAGCTGCAGGTGATATGGAAACTTTGGAAACAGCTATTAAGGATCCATCAACCACTACCAGATCCAGAAATAATAATAATAATAATGGAATTGTTCTCCCAGATGAAGAAACCATGACTGATTGTAGTGCTCTCATTAAGATTACACCAGATTGCCTTAACCTTTTCGCAGGACATACAACATGGAGAGGATACAACATTATCAACAAGATGTACAAGGTCTATAGTTTATTGTTGAACAATGTTGCCTCAAAGACTGTATCATTTGCTTCATCTCCAAGCTTTTTGAGTAGTAAGGATGATTTCTATGTCACTGAAAATGGTCTCGTCACTATGGAAACAACCAATGATGTTTTCAATGAAACCCTCTTCCAATATATTACACCAAAGAGTGTCTTGTGTTGGGTTCGTTCCATTGTTGCCAACAGACTTGCTACAACCTCTAAGGAATGGGTCTACTATTTTGGACTCTACAATTCTGGTACTTATAACAATCAATGGATGGCTTTGGATTACAAGAACTTTAAACCTGGAGTATGTCATTTGCCAAAGGATTCTTTCTGGATTTTGGAACAAATTCCTGGATCCGTCATGACTAGAGATGTTACTGATGTTTTGAATAAGCAATCCTTCTGGAGCTCTTTTAATATTCCTTATTTTGAACATATTTATAACATTTCAGGATATCAACAAGCCAAGCAAAAGTTTGGTAATGATTATGATTATAATTTGTGTTCTAGAGCTCTCATTTTCAAGAGAGAACAAGCCAAGATTGGAGCTGATAGATCTAAACCAGTTGATTATAAGGATTTCGGTAGAGTTTTACAATTCAATGAATGGAAGACTGATCCATACAGTTTAGGCGATCCTAGCAAAGCTGTCTCATCTAGATATGATTTGAGAGATCTAAGATTCGCTGCCTTTGGTGGTATTGATACTAAGGTTACTGACTATGTCAAGAATTTGAAACACACTTCCATGTGGGGTATTTGTGGTCCTACCCATCAAGACGAATCTCAAACTCCACCATTCACTTGGACTGATAAATTCAAGGCCACCCATTTGGGCCAACCTCAAACTTATAATTTCGATTGGGTTGATTTGGAAGATGTTGACTCCTTCTATTCCTCTCTTTCACAAAAATCTAAAAGAAGAAATTAAACTGCCAAAAATCAATAAATATTTATTGAACCTGTACAGATTTTCTCTTGATTTTCACCTTCTCCAACTCATTGAACCAACACTTTCACTTTTTCACACCCACTCAACCAATTCATTTCAACACACACAATGTTAACTATTTAACTCGACGCTAAAAAGAATCACACATTGAAAAATATCTTTGAAATTAAAAAAAAATGCCAAACACGCGCCACCATCACGTAATTTCCAAATATTTATTTACTCACTTTGAACGGAGAGATCTTTCGTTATTGATGAATGGTTATGTAAATTATCAACAAGATGATCAGATAAATACTCTTCCGTATGTAGCATCCATTCCGATTGATATATCGGAAGATGAAGGGTTGATGGGAGGTAAAATTGGTACATTGGTTGGATTATTTATTTTGAGTGTTGTATTTGGTATATTGCCATATATTGTTCATCATTTATCTCAATTGGAAAGATTGAAAAAGTTAAAGAAGGCACTTCATATTGTTCAACTTATTTTCGGATATTGTAATGCTATTGCTGCTGGTGCAATTTTGGGAAGTGGATTGACTCACTTGTTACCTGATAGTATTGAATGTTTTAATAATTATTTTGAATTGTATAATCATCAGTTTGATAATTCAACATTGAGTTCAGTAGTTTTTGGTGATTCACCAACTACTAATGGTACATTTACTCCAATTTCGGATACAGTTGTTGATTATCCTTGGTCAATGATGATTGCTGGTACTATTAGTTTGTTTTTGGTTGGTTTGGATAGAGTTTTCTCTGAACATTCACATGGATCTTCGAATAGTTATGGAGGACATTCTCACTCACATAAAGGAGAGGAAGACCATTTAATTGTAAATTCTGAGGAAAGACATGAAATGTACAGTGAATTGGAACATGAAGAAAATAAGGAACGTCACAAGTATTCCTTCCTTGTCAAATCATTGCTTTTTACATTTGCTATTTGTGTCCATTCAGTTTTTGAAGCATTTGCACTTGGGTTGGAGACAAATACTGAATCATTTGTATCCTTGCTAGTTCCTATTGTAGCTCACAAGGGTTTCGAATCATTGACAACAGGATTCATTGTATTGAGATATACATTGTGTAAATCATGGTTCCAGGTTCTTATTTTGATACAGGTTGCCATCTATGCATTGAGTACACCTATTGGAATGGGAATTGGTATGGCCATCAGCAGTGGCGATTTGTCCTTTTCTTACTATATGATTTCAGGTATTATTCAAAGTATTGCTTGTGGGTCTTTCCTTTTCATTGCTTGTTTCGAAATTATTCCAACAAGTTTGGAGGAAAATTTTGGATTGTGGGATAGAGCTTTGAAAATGTTCTTGATTTGTTTAGGATTTGGAGTCATGTGTATTTTGGCTGCCTTCTCATAAATCAATTTATTAGCTTTGAAATCTCGATTACTTGCATCCAAATTTCTAATCAAGCATTATTGTTGTAACTGGTTTCGGATTGTGTTTGCTTCATAAGAAGAGATAATACTTCTTCCTCTAGTTTTCCTAGTTACTGCTTCCTCTTTTTGTTCGATACTTTGTGCAGAGGTCCTCATAAATTCATTCATTTCTTCATCGGTTGGCATTGGTTTCGTGTGGTGTTCATCATTCAGCAAGTAACATTTTGTCATTCCCTTTCCTTTCACTTCGATATTCCTCTCCTCAAAAACAAATCCCAAATCATGAACTCTCTCATAGGTTGATCTGGTTATCTGTATTCTTCCTGAAAGAGATGTTGATTCCATTCGAGAAGCTGTGTTAACTGCATCACCCCACAAATCGTAGGCAAACTTTTTGGTTCCAATCACACCAGCCACAACTGACCCAGTATTGATACCAATGAATGTATCACCTCTCTTCAATCGTTGGGCAACTGATTCAGGTAAGATATTCTTCAATAGATTTTCAGAGTGTTTCTTCTCGTCTTCCAACAGAGCTGCTGCCTTTTTTTCTGAGGTGATATCCTTTATGGTTAAAATAATTAGAACGCCCTTTCCTGATACCTTAACTGTGAAAAGATTGAGTTTTGTTGGGAATTTTGTTCCATTTTTTCTTAAACATTCGGATTCTAATGAATCATGACCTCCACTATCATTTCCTGAAAACTCATTTACGAGGGCACTCACTGATTTTCTGACAGATTCTTTTGTTTTCCCTTCCTCGAATATGGAATAGAAGGAGGTTCCAAGGATTTCCTGTGTTGCAAGACCAAGCATATTAAGGGCTGGTGTGTTGATTAGTTCCACTTCTCCTTCTGTATTGATGATTATTGAACCATCAACACTTGAATTAATTACAGAGCATACGCCCGAATAAGATCCTTGTCCTTCATCTGATTGCCTTTCTGATTTTAGACTAAACTTATTAGACAATGGATCTGAGAATAGATTGTAGAGTGCTAAATTCTTCAATCTCTCATTGTTTTCGAGAGTTTCAATAGGAATATAATTCAATAGCATCTTTGTGTAGTAATATTGATTAGAATTCGACCCCATAATTGAGAGAATCAATTTACAAAAAATTAAAGAAATACAAGTACCCAAAATAGTAAATAACAATACAGAAACATAACTGGATTTCTGAAGAAACTCTTGCAAATTCTTGCATAAATGATGCTAGTTTTAGAGAGAGAGGATATGACCTAGCTTGATTAGTGTAATGTTCAAAAAACAAGGTACTAATTTCTTGCATTGTAAAGTTGGTTGACTGGTATTTGTAGAATTTCTTAGTTAACTCAGACACTTTGGATGAAGTTGAAACAAATTCAGACATCATATATTCGACACCAATACAATAACTATAGTAATTTTGCACATTAAATGTAAAATTATTTGCTTGCAAATATTCAGTACAATTATCTGAAACTCCAAATTTCAATGTCTTGTCCATCGATGGATAGATACCAACAAGAGGTGTATCGTATGCTAAATATTATGGAAATTATCAGTAATTAAATTGAGGTTGAAACTTACGAATATTAATATTACCAAATATCAGATCCGTATAATTAGACGAAAGTCCATCAATTTGATCCAAAAGAATGTGGCTCAGCTCGTCAAATGTAGAACTAGTTCTTAAAAACGGATGGGCAATGTTAGTAGCCCCAAAGTTGTTGGTATTTCCTAAACCATAAACGGATAAAAGTTCTGATAAGTAGTATCCACAAATTTGTACAAAATAAATTACTCTAGCTCCAGCTTGAATATTATAATAAGTTTTGAGTGCGCTTACTGCATTTCCATTAATTTCATTATAAAACATTCCCAAACAAAATGGGTTGACTAAAACCAAAACCATGACTGAAACTATGAGGGTGTACTTGGCTTTGGTAATTTTCGAAATCAAACTGGAATCAAGTGAAGAGTCAATAGATGATTGCTTGGAAAGTGACTGATATATTCTAGCTATCTTGTCTCTTGGAGTCTCCTTCTTGATTGTTTTTACCAATCTTTTAAGGTAGTACTGTCTGTAAAGAACAGTAATAATGAAGCACATAGCGATTGGCAACAATGCTAAACTACCAGCTACGAGATAGATTTGAAAATACGATAATAATGAAGTTGTGGATAATTGGCTAGAATCTACATAATTCGAACAAAATGCAGACAGAACATCAAATGCATTATCTCTGTTACTCCAATAATACATGAAACTATAGTCCTGTATAGAATTCATGAAAGTACCATTAATAACAGACCTAACGAGCTGATCTCTTGTTGATTGAGAAATTGTTGTGGAGTTGGACAATAACAATAAATCATTGAGAGGAAAACTTTCTTGGATTCTTTCTAAGAAGCTTTTCAGATTATTGGTAAATTCATTGACTGATATTCTTCTTATTTGCACTGTACCTGAATAGTATCCATTGTCTCTAATCGTAGGAATTAATGCTGTGTGTTCTCCTGCACCGTAACTATTTATGAAATTAGCAAAAGAGCTCAATAAACTTACGCTGTATAGATAGGAGCATCAAAAACACCTTTTTGTGCAAGTAATATCAAATCGTGTAGAACATTCTTGTCATTTTCCATTCTATGAAGATAGTTTTGGATATATTCCTTTAGTAAGAGTTAGAGAATGTTATATTGGAGGGATACTACTTACCTGAAAGGTTTCTGTTGGGAGACTATCATATTCTGTCTTCCAATCACTTCCATAATTAATATAATAATTAATTGCACTTTGCATACTTCTGACATTTCTTATTACAGACATTCCAACTTCCTCAGTCAAACAAGCAGAATTCAAGTTTACAACACCAACTCTAATCGAAGATCCAATGTAAATAGCAAAAGAAGCGCCTCCTAAACCAACACTGAAAATGATCACAAAAATTAAAATAAACAGACTGTTTCTCAAACTTTCGTTTGGTTTGTTCCTAATTCCATTCCTGAACAATAGGTCCTTGTGCATTTCATGTTCTTCTTCTTCGTCTACCTCACTTACTGGTGCTTCAGAGAATAAATCAGATTCGGTAGGATCGAATGAAGTTGGTACTACTTGTGACTCTTTTCTAGGCCTTTTAGCACTCATGTACAAACCTCTTGCATCCTTTTCCAATCGATTGGCTTCTTCATAGAGGGTTTCAGATTTCACCTTGTCAAACTGAAAAAGCTCAACGTACGTGGCATACAACCTGAGAATCTGTTTACTTCTCTTACTTCCCATTAATTCCTCAAACATTTGATTACATTCCACTGTAATCTCTGCAATCTTATTTGCAATCTTTTCAATGGTCGAGTATTGTGGTGATTCTTCAATAAGTTCCTTCCAAAAGTCTCTGTGGAGAGACAGAAGCATATCCTGATTGTATTTCAATTCTTTGATGGTTCCATCGTCACCCAAATCAGAACTATTAATTGATGAGATATTTAGCCTATGCTCTTGCAATTCTAATGATTTGTATAGGGAAATAGTTCTCATAAAAATATTCTTTGAATGTCTAACAATATGGTAGAGTATATCAATGGATTTGTCCAAATTGATGCTCTCATCTTCTTCTGCATGAGCTAACAGCATGGAAATGTAAAATAAACATTTAGGATCTCTGATATTCTTATTTATGAGCGTCTTGGCAGTAAGTAAATATAATTCCCTTTCTGTCACATCTCCAGCAACAATTGCATGCTTTATTCTATGGTATTGACTAAAATAGAAGCTTAATTTAGAGAAATATCCTCTTCCATGATTCTCTTGCATAATATTTGTACAATTTACATCAACGCATGCAAGAATTGACTTTCTGTCAGATGATTTCAGATCAATCCCACTGAGTAGGGTTTTTCTGACTGAGTTGATTATCAAGCGCTGGTACAATTCCATCAAGATTATGAAAATAACAAAGAAAATGATTGCCAAGCCAAATGTCAAAGGCAGGCCAATTATTTGTAAATAGAAATTATTTCCCTTCAGTATAGTAGAAACCAGTGAACCAATAGAAACGCCTGTTCTAGCACCTGCAACAGCAAATAATATTGAATTATCAACAGTATTAAAACATGTCTTGAAATAGAATGTAACTGAAGCAAATATCAAGCTCATTACAATATTCAATGAATCTGAGATGATCTTGTATTCCAATGGAATTGAAAATATGAGTAATACACCCATAAAGTTTACAATGTCAAGCGTCATAATATGAATGGGATAAGATGAGCAAAAAGGAACCCTATCATAAGTATTCATGTCACTAACAATCAATCTATTCAGGATTATTAATGCAAAGAGTATTGCCAAACATCCAATAGCTAATACAATTACTACCATGTTTCCAGAATCAATACAAGATACTTGATTGTACCTGTACAATAGTCGCTCCAATGTAGTTTCATTAATGAGATTCGAACAATTATAAAATCCCACCAGTATGTTTACGAAAAGAGGAGAAAGTACAAGAAGTAAATTACCAAATATCCATAATCCTATTCTTACATATCTAATATTATCGAGTGCTTTCGTAACTACCCACACAGAGGCAATGCAAAGAACCAAATTCATCATGACAAACATCATAACACCCAAACCTATTCCAATACTTGCATAATATCCCCACATGTCCACCAGCAATGTAATGGGGAAATTGATTATTGAATATATTATATTCGAGTATAACTCTCCTACCTCTCCATTTCTAATCGAAGGAATAAACACAGAAATATACAGAAATAAGGAATGAAACAATAGAGTTGATAGATACCATTTCCATCCACGCTTTGAACCCTGTATCTTTACGGAAAGGAATGTGGAGAGAGTATTTTGGAGAGTCTTATTATTGAGGTTGGCTCTAATCAAATTCTGACTAATCGAACTGCCAATATCAGTCATCCTTTTTTTTAATTTCCTACTCTGATGAATTGTAGATGATGAGAATATTAGAAAAATTCATTATATAATTGGAGAGATTATAATTATTATGGATGATTATTGAATCTCTAGAAATATATATATTATGAAATAGAGATGGAGATGGAATAATTATAATTTAATAATATTAGCTGTTACGTATGATGGTTAGTGCTGTTTTCCTAATTTTGATCGGATCGTAGCAGTAAAGTGCTCACTAGCCATCAAACATTTTTACATTTTTTTAATTGTTATGTTTAACGAGAGAAGTGAATTGGTGGTGATATTATTTCCACGTTCCTGTTCAATTACAACAAGCAATGTTACATCATTCTAATCTAGAATTATAGTGATGATACTCGACTTCCACTATTGAAAACAAGTGAAAATTAAAAACTTTTTATAAATTTGTAAGTTTCTCTTAAATTTGTTCGATTTGACAAATTGTAAATGGAAATTAAAAGTTACAATTATATCTTATGCAACATTCTTTGCCTTCTTCATTCTGGCTCGTATGAAAAGTGCAATCACAACAGCAAGAAGAACACCAGCAACGCACACGACAACTACTCCACCAACTGATGAGGCTACTACAGCAATTAACACTGTGTTGTCGTTCACTAGGATTGGTTCTGAGTTTTCTGGTTCTCTTCCCTTTGTGTTTGCCTTTTTATAGTTTTGGTCAATTACTGCAAAGGAAGTCAAGTGACTAGTTCTGCAACTCATTGAAAAAGTAACAATATTTGAGGAGGGAGAAAATTTCAAATCATTAATTGTCGTTTCTATGCCGTCTGTCTTCCACTCCTTGTCTGAATTATCAAAAAACATGCAGGTGAAATTTAATAACGCATTTGTATCTTTGGCAGTTGACAAATTGGAGAAGTACAATTCGATAGGTTCTTCCAGGTCAACTATTGGAATTTTCTCATCATTGATATTGAACATGGAAATTGTTACCACTGAACTAATTGCATAAGCTTCCTCACTTGAAGGACCACTTGAAGAAGAAACTGAGCTAATCACCTTTACCACCTCAGTTGAATTAAATCCTCTTTCATTGATAAGATAATCTTTCACTGCTGTAGGAAAATTGACTGTTACTGAACTTCCAAACTTTGTGAACGTGATATTCTGGTTATTAACCTCTTTTAACGAATAAATCAATTCTTTCGTCTCAATATTTCCATTTTGTCCACCACATTTGAAGGTGTTATTGACCAATTCTAAAGTTCCAATACAGTAAGGAGTGGTACAATTTCTACCAATCCATCCTTCCTTACAAATGCAATTATCAGGTCCAATACATGTTCCTTGATTACAAACTCTTTGATCAATCGAAGGAATTCCAAAACAAATTGGAACAGAACAGTCCGAACCAGTATAATTGGCATTTCAGAGACAAGTATTTAATCCAACACACGAACCATGTGAAGAACAAACTGCCTCATTATTTTCTGGTATTTCATTACATGAAACCATTTGACATTCCGAGCCAAAATACCCAACCTCACATTTACAAATGTTGAATGATTGGCATGAGCCCTTTCCTCTGCAAACTGATGAAGAATTACTTGATTTTCCATAGCAAGATGTGAAATTACATTGAGGACCTGAATAACCTTCCTTACAAAGACACGAATCCTTATTGAAACAAGTTCCGTGTGAAGAGCAAGCAGTCAACTCATTCTTTCCAATACCAAAACAATAGAACTGATCACATTGGTTACCATAATAACCTAATTTACAAGTGCAGGAATTAGGCGAAGAGCAAATTCCATTTGATGAACAAGTAGAAACGTTTCTATTAGAAAGTCCAAAACAAATTGGAATGTCACATGCAACACCAGTGAAATTTGCATTACATTCACAAGTATTGACATTGACACATGAGCCATTTCTAAAATTACAAACTGAAGAGTCAGTGGATGGGATTGAAAAACAAAGAGGAAGTTGACATGAATTTCCTGTAAAATTTGGATCACATTTGCAAGTGTTCAATTCTGTACAATTTCCATTTCCAGAACAAACTGAACTATTCGAATTCTTCAAACCAAAACAATAGAAATTTTCACAATTATTACCAAAATAACCTGAATTGCAGTCACAAGTATTGAACCCGCTGCATTTTCCTCTTCCTGAGCAAACATTAGTTTCATTATTTCGAATTCCATAACAGGAAGTCAACTCACAATTAGATCCTTCATAGAACTCATTACAAATACACTTATTAGGTGAAACACACGTTCCTTTCCCACTACAAACTTTAGAATTGATGGCAACAATACCATTACACATTTGAATATCACATTCTGGTCCTCCATATCTATTCGAAAGTGAACAGTTACATGTATTATATCCTACACATGTTCCATTTCTATTACAAACGTTTGGATCATTAGAAAGTTTCCCAAAACATACTGGAAAGCAAGGAGAAGGTGTTCCATCATCATTACAAACTAATCTATGAAATTTCTTAATGGAAGTTCCATCAATGAATAGAAATTGATTATTATCTATCATTGTAATACCCATTATGCTTTTTAGAGTTGGAATAGTTCCATCTGGAAGAATAGCTTTTCCTCCAATACCAACAAGTGTTGAGATTATTCCATTGTCAGGAGAAACCATACGAATCCTTGAATTGTCTGTATCTGCCACATATAAAGTGCCATCTGGAGCCAAAACTGCCGAATGTGCTCTATTTATCGATGCACTATATAATTGTTAAAAGAAACATGTATTCGATTTAGACTAAAGTGATGTTAACTTACCTTTTAGCTGGACCGCCATCTCCACTAAATGAAAATGATCCACTCCCATCTCCAACCAATGTTGAGATAATATCTGTCGCTTTGCTAACAACTCGTATAGCTCCACTGAAAGTGTCAGCAATCACCAAATCATCTTTTTCACTCAATGAAATTCCATAACTGAAATCGATTTGAGTTTGAGAGCCAACTACTTGACCATCCCCAGAATAACCTCTTGTTCCACCAATATAGGTATATATAAAACCTGTTGTTGGTTTGATATTTCTAATTCTGGCATTATTGGTATCAAGAATGTAGACTAAACCAGAGGTATTACTGTAAGCAACAGAGTAAGGGGTGTCAAGTTTAGCTGCAATGGCTAGCTCTCCATCTCCAGTAAATCCTGCTGATCCAGTTCCTGCAATAGTTGAAATAAACCCATTAGAAACCTTTCGAATTCTATTGTTATAAGAATCTGCAATATAAACATCACCTTTGAATGGATCTACAGAAACACCTCTTGGGAAATACAACTTTGCATTGATTGCCAGCACTCCATCTCCAGAAAACCCTCCACTTCCAGTTCCGGCTATGGTTGTAATCGTACCATTCAATTAATCTTTCGAATTTTGTGAGCATTTGCATCTGCAATATATAATCTCACCATTAGCATAGGCAATAGCATGTGGAAATAAAAATTTAGCCAAGAGAGCTTGACCACCATCTCCAGAATCACCACTTGAAGATGATTGTCCAGCAATTGAAGTGACAAGTGTCAGATCATAAACTGCATTGACATGCATAATAGTAATACAAAGAAGAACAATGATCAACAAGAGCACCTCTTTTGCCATTTTGTTTCTAAGATAATATTGTCAAGTAGTAAGAAATCTACATTTCATTTCGGCTAGTTTCGGGATGTTGAATCTCATTCGAAATAATCTTCCTTTACACCTGAAAAGCGACTCGTCATCAATGATCAATCTCATCAAAATGACAGTTTATTTAAATTACAACAAGATTTTTCAATACATAATTACATTTGCCATCAAATACTGTTCCTGAAGGTGATTTGAATCCATTGGTTGTAATAAACAAGACAATTGTGTCAACCAATGAATAAGATTCACTTTCCAATTCGTATTGAACGAATCCATCAGTAAGTTTCTTTTGAGTAATGCTAAAACTTGGATTGTCTAATGTGTTCATGTACCAAGTTGAGTAACTTGAGCCACTGTTAACAACATTAGTTGGTTTTGAATTTCTGACGAAATAACGTTTGATACTCAAGTTGATTGTATCAGTATATGGACAGGATCCACCATTCGCAATTTCAAAACGAATCTTCTTAATAGTTGCTGATCTTGGTAGTTCAATAGTTAAAGGAGTTTGTGTGAAAGTTCCAATTGAATATTGACTACTACTAGAAGTTAAAGAATGATAGTAATAATCACATCTATAACTATCAGAAGCACAATATGTAAATTGATTACCAATCAAGAAAACTTTTCCTGCTTTCAAAATGGTAGCATCATGATAAATTCCAGTAAATGAGCTAGTCTTTCCTTCAATGAATTCAATAAGAGCATTGTCATTGGAAGTGATTTGTCTATTCTTTGCAATCTTGTTAGAAGATCCAGGCTCTAAAAACCATAATCTTTCTTTCAATTCTGCAATATCCTTATTCATCACGTCAAACATCAAATCAATTTTTTCTTGTTGAGATATTTCAATCTTCTCCAACTTGAAATTGTACATTAAAAGTGAATCTGATGGATCTGGCAATACAATATTAATGACATTTCCATTAATGGAATAGGAAGGTTTGACAACACTCATTGAAACACAACTTTTGTAATATCTAAATTCTGCCAAATTAGAATTACCATCTTGATAGATGTATTTGTTGTATTGAAGGGAAGTTTCCATTGTGAGGAGAGTTGCGTTTAGTTTCATTGTTACTTGAATTGTATTCGAATCTTGTTTCTTTTCAATGGTAAAGACGAATTGACCAAAACCTGGACCATCTAGACCTGGTTGACCACGAAGGTGTAGTTGTTTTGCAAGTGGTGGTTGATATTGCGCACTTGCACAACTGAATAGAACAACGAAAACTAAAGAGATTAGGATAATGTTTAGTTTCATTTTTTTGTTTGTTTATTCGTTGTAGTACAAGTGCTGACAGATTCTTAATTGGAAACTAATTAGGATTTTGTAAAGATCTTCAAATTCCAATATGTTTTTAATTGTATTCATTGAAGACATTTGACGTATTGAACTGTTGGGAATTCTCATTTTGTATTCTGCAATTAATTTTCAAATCTCTCTTCACTTTATTAATTACAAATTAACTATTTCAATTCTATTTTGTAGATTGAATTTTAATTGAATTTAATTCGAACAGAATGTTTCTGAAGAACTCTTTCGAACAATTTCGTGTCAAGTTCACAACCCGCCCAAGCTATCAAAATCACAGCTCCACTCAAAAACATCTCGCCACACTGTTGGTTGTTGAACCACATCAAAAAAATATTCGAAACATGAATCGCACCAACACGCTTTCGTTTCTTCTTCTTCTGACATTATCCATTCTTCTTTTAACACTTTCGCGTATCCATGCAGCCATCAAAACTTCATCAATTCTTGCCTTTGGCTATAATCATAGATGGTAAATTCGGTCAGACACCAAATTTTGGTCAAAAATTACCTGTCAGACATTTGACTCTCGAACAGATATTGTTCAACTCTACTGAATCCATCAAAAAAGCAAAGATATCATCTAGTAACTTACCAGATAGTCTTCTTCCAGTGTTATCGCATGTGAGTGGAAGTAAACAAGGAGGAAATTTTGTGTTTCATGTCAAGTATATGAATAATGGTCAATTTGTGAATCAGACAGTGTTTTCATGTGGGAAAATGGGAAAGTTAACACCTCTAGTACCTATTTCGTCAACGCCGATGCCATCTTATGGATTTGTGAGTGAAGGAGTTTCGAATTATGGAGACGAAAGATTGGTCAATCAAGAAATTATTAGTTTAAATTGCAAATATTCTTGTATTGCTGTAACTAATCAAGGATTATTATTCATCAAGTGGCACAATGAAACTAGTTGGAAATTAGTAGAGTTGCCATCAACCTTCACAAATCCATCAAATTATGAAAATGTCAATTTGAGAATTTCACAAGCAGTCATTGGAGTTTCCTTAACTGAAGGATCTAACATTGAAGAAACCTTCCTATTACTGACTGATTCTGGATTTGTTTTGAGTTTTGGATATTGTAATAGTGGTTTGAGAGGTGATTCAACAAGTGCAACAGATTCTCTTTCGTCTAATTCATTCTATACCTTTACTACACTTTCAAATATTAGCTCCATTGGAGTTGGACCAGGTATTGGCTATGCCATCAATAGCACTGGTCAATTACACGTGTGGGGAAACAATCAAAATGGAATTCTAGGCGATCCTGACCCAAATCTCATTCTTTCAACTCCAAAACATTTGGAATTTAATTGTTTCATGAAGAAATTGTCATTTGGTGAGAGTTTTTGTTTATATTTGTGTCAGGATGGAAGAGTTTTTGGTAATGGACAAGATGCTGAAGGTGAAATATCAGCAGCACCTGGATCAATTATTTACACTCCTGTGGAAATTACTAGCTCGTTATCTGCTACATTTAATAGTGATATGATTATTGACATTTCGACTAGTGAAAAAACCAGTTTGGCTCTCACATCAACTGGTAAGATAGCAACATGGGGAGATGATAGTCAGCTCGCATTTGGAAGAGAAGGAAATGGTGGATACACAATTCCAGCAACATTTAGTTCTCTAAATATTGTAAAGGCATTTTTTGTTTACAATATTGGAATTGCAATTACAAATACCAATGAAACTTATTATTGGGGATCTAATAGTGCTGGAGAAGCATGTTTGGGTGATTTGTGGTTTGCTGCCAAGCCAACTGTCATTCCAACATTGTCAGATGTTTCACAAACACATGTCAATGAAATTTATTTAAGAGCTGCTTGTGGAATGATGCTATCCACAGATGGTATCACCAGTTCTAATATCACATACTGGGGGAAATGTAGTTCTGGATTGGATGGTCAATATGTTGATCCAACAGTCGCAGTTTCTGCCACAACCTTTGACAACTCACTTTTTAATAATGAAATTCTCAAAAAGTTTGCTCTGTTTAGAGGAACAGCTGTTGTTAACTCTATTTCTGGGAACAGTTATGGATGGGGAGAAGGTAGAGATTATCAATTGGGAGATGATTCAAGTCATCCTGTTCCATTAGCACTATCAGTGAATGTTACTGATATTTTTAGCTCTAATCAATTTACAATTTTGGTTAAAAACGATGGTGGTGTTTATGGATTGGGGACTGTATCTAGCTCTGGAGCATTTGGTTCGTCCGTGCAAATGTTAACCACACTCACAAAATTGGACACTGATTACGTGACAAGTGATGGAAGCTCTGTAATTCAAGTTAAAGCTCTAGAAGGTATATCATATCTATTGACATCAAGTGGAAAGGTCTATGGTGCTGGATCCAATGCAAATCAACTCATTATTAACAATTCCACAACCAAATTCGAAAACTTTGTAAGAATTAGTGGAGATGATTTACCAGATAATCACAGAATTCGAAAGATTATTGTCTTTCCAAATTCTCCACTAATATTTATTACCTATGAAGGAGATGCTTATTATGTCTATCAAGGTATTCACAAGTTTCAGCTCCCAAATTCAAACGATTCATTTGTAATTCATGCATCTTCAAATTATTTGAATTTCTATGTTATTACAAAGAAAGGAAATGTTTACGCTATGGGAACAACTAATGAATTTATGGAAATTTCTCAAAATCCAATGGTTTCAAGTTTGAATAACATGACATTGTATGCAACAAAGGAATCTCTTGGTGGTGTGCCTTACTTTATTTCCCCTGAAACCAATTTAGCCATTTTGGCCATCTCTAATGGATGGACATGTAATGGAACAGCCTCTACCAGTGATTCTGTTTGTAATGGACATGGAGCATGTGTCGATCAGGATGTATGTGCCTGTAAAGAAAATTATGATGGATCCTATTGTGAAAAGTTCACTTGTGGCGGAATTTCCAATGAGGATACAACCACTGTTTGTTCTGGAACAGGAAGTTGCACATCATTTGACACATGTGTTTGTAAACAAGGATATAGTGGAGCAAATTGTGAAATTCCTTCTTGCTTTGGAGTAGCAAGTAGCAACACTGGAATTGTATGTAGTGGAAGAGGTCAATGTATGGGATTAGATAAATGCAGTTGCATGACTGGATATTTTGGATCCAAGTGCGAATACAAGGCATGTTATTTTGAAAGTATAAGCGCCGGTACAGGAGCTATTCTATCAATCAAGAACAAGCTTTGTAGAGATATCAATAAATATCTTTAATTTTGGAATGTTGTTGGTGCATGTTCTTTTTTCTGTTGTTTACAAACCATGTTTCTAATTGGTCATGGATACTCTTTCCAGTCGTTCGTCCTTTTCATATTCATTTCTATTAACTGCATTGGATTCGAATTGAGGAGACTTCCTTCAATTGTTGACTTTTCTAGAATTGGATAATTTATCGTAAATTTATTAAATTATGGTGATGTAAATCTGATGGTGCCATAATTATTTGAGCTCCCGCTTCAATCAATTAAGAAATCTTTGGCCAAGTTATAAAATAGGAAGAATAGCAATTATTGGCGCTAAAAAAAGGAAGTTATCTACGGTTATTTGAATTGAACACCATTTCTAATTCAAAGTAATTGTAACGTGTTGTGAGGAGATTCTTTTGTTTTCCTGTTATCACAATGTGTTGTTTGGAAACTTTAGCCCATTTACAGTAATTTGTCCTACGCTAGTCGTTTGTTTACCAATTCGGATTGTCATCATTAGAAACTGTACGAAACTTAATTAAAAAAAACACACAACAGTTCCTTCTCCATTTCCATCTCATTACTATTCTCACAACTAGGCCTTCTATCAACAACATCAACACCAAAATACTGTTTGACAACAACTCCTTTTGAAATGACACAAGACCCACAACCAACATCTCAGCCAACTACTATCTCTACAAGTAATGACAAGCTCCATCCACCATCAACATCAACAACACAACTCCATCATCCAACAGAGAGCCATACTAAAAAAGATGCAGATAACGAATCCAATAAATCATCTACTAAGAGCAGTTTCAGAAGAAAGCAAAAACAACGAGGCTGCTTATGTTTCCGAGGAGGGAAAGCAATTAAAGTGAACACTTGTTGTGGTGTTTTGGAATTGTCTTGGATCAAAGTATTGGCCATTGTTGGTATGGCTCTTAATTCCTTCACATTTCTTGTATTATTGGCCTTGTTAATTTTCAGTCAAAACTCAAATGCAGCCACTAATATTGATCTCTTAGCAATAAGAAGTGATTTATATCTGTATACAGCTTGGGTGGATGCTTATACACTTGTTGCTGCCTATTCCCAAAATAAGACCTATTTGAACTATTACTACAATTACCGTGATACCCTTAACACCTTGAAAGATGAACTTGTTTCAAAATTACCCTCCACTCTAGTGTCTCAACTCAATTCAACAGAAAGTTATCAATATTCTACATATTTAGAAGCTGCTGATACCCTGGCTGTGAATATGATGGAGAATGGAAACTATTCGGGTGCTGTTTCTGTACTCACATCTGGATTCTACTATGCTACAAAGTTAAAATATAGAAATTTGCTGGATATTATTCTCAAATATATTCTGGATTCGCAAACAGAGGCAGAAAATTTATCGGATGCAGCTGTCATTTCTTCACTGGTCATTATAATGTGTAGCTGTTGCAGTGACAGTCCCTGCCATTCTGTTCATCTTTGCATTCGCTATCAATAGAGAAGCATTAATGGCACAAAGATATAAAAAGGCAAGAGCTGTTGAATTGATGGATACAATGAGTAATGAAAAATTGAGAGCTCTCTTCCAAAAACACTGTATTAAGGAATTGAATAATGAAAACTTTGAATTTTTGGAAAAAGTTAATGAATATAAGAGATTGGTAGAACATCAAATTGAGTTGGTTCAATTATTGAGTGATGGAGATTCAATCCATTCCAATGAATTAACTCAATCTAGTTCCAATGTCTCAAGTAGTCAAATAAGTGCTGCCGAAGAACCCACTACAGCCAATACAAACACCAACAATTCATCAGATTCTAAAAAGAAGAAGCATACAATGACATCAGTCAAGTCCATTTCTGATTTGGAAAATGAGTTGGAAGAAATTGAAGGAAAAAAGTTTGCACTTGCCACTGAAATTTACAATAACTTCCTCGATTTGAAAGGACCAAAGACTGTCAACACCACCAAATCCCATGCTGATAAGGTAAAGATTGAATTGGAGTATTTCAAGAGCAAGCAAATTCATTCCTTGTCCGATGATTTGTTCACATCTTTGGAGAGTGAAATTTCCATAGTCCTTCTCGATTCACATTATAGATTTAAAGAATCGATGGAATTTTTGAAGGAAATGAGAGTGAAGAGAATTAAAGATATCAATGAAAAGAAGAAGATTAAATCCAATCAACACCACGATCAACACCATCATCACAATAATGGACATTAAATTATACTATTAATTATGTTGAAAAATTTGATTAGATTTGTGGTGTTCCATTTAAAATATTGGAAAGAGACAATCCATAAAATTAATGCCGATAATAATATTCAAGTGATGAAGGAAATTTCTCTGATTTTGGATGATGATTTGGAAATATTCCCATTCTATTTGATAAAACCTTTTATGGGCTTTATTGATAATTTTTTTTAATAAAAAAAGATTTAATGTTATCATCACACAACAATCATTATCAACCAACTCTGAGGGTGAGAAACATCTCATCCGATGATTTTGAACATGAGCAACATCCACCACATCATCACGATGAAGAAGAATTGGAAATGAGAACAACAGGAGAGCCTCCACACTTTTTAAAAGATAATTTCGATTATGCACACTTTGAAAAATTGGCTCTTAGTAATGTGGGATTAAAACACGATGAGCATGATGATCACTCGGAGGGACACTACTTGGAGAGATCTTATGTGAGCAAGGGTGGTCTGGTGGTGAATATTCCACAACAACAAGAGGATGGAAATAATAACGGAAATGGAGAAACACTGGTAGCCTTTCAAGAACATTCTGACGATGAACAACAACAGCAATTCTCAAGTAAATTACCAAAGGTACCACTTCTTAAGGAGATGAATAATACATCAACTGCTGCTGGAAATCATGATAATATTACGAACAAGCCAGGAAGACACTACTTTGCACCAGTGGAAGCAACACGAGAGGAAAAGTTAGCGTACGTGAAGAAGGTAGCAAGAACCTTGTTCATGATCTTTCTTGTTATTCTCATGAGTGCTATGGTAGTCATTGATTACATCTCCAATCCAAAGAATACCTGGGTGATTAGGTTGAGTATTTTCGTGTCGATGGTCATCTTGTGGAGGTTTCTGTATGAATACCTCTTTGAAATTATATTTGAGTGGATATTGGAGTATCTTGTTTACAAGGAGAAGAAGCAAACCTCTGTCTAATGCTTTTACCTTCTACTAACAACATGTGGTTCCATACAACTTCCGACTTGCGACTTTTGAGACAATGAGTGGTTTTATTTTTTTTGAAAAGGTAAAAATTTAACGGCTAGTTGGGGCGCACCTTGAAAATATACGAAGTTCTTTCCATCACAAAACAATTTTCCACATCAACAAAATGCCGTCATTCCTCTCCAAGGGCAACAAACAACAACAGAGGGCCAGATCTTCTTCATCATCCAGTTACTACAACAGCCGAAATAAACATGATGGTGAATTACGTTTTCATGATGATGACGATGATATTGACAATTTCTTGGAACCTTCACATGACGTTCAACAACATCACGAAGCGGAATCAAAGAGAAAAAGTATTACTCTTGCAGCACAATCAGTACCTGCCATAGTTTCAAATTCTGTTATTGGATGGCTTTCTGCTGTATCACTCGTTGTTCACTTGATAGTTTTAATAGCTTTTATTGCACTACCTCTCTTTTTAATATTTATTCATTTTGATTTTTGTTTCAAATGTGGAGGAGCAGAGTTTTTAATAATATTTCTGATGAGTTTGTTTGGAGTGGGATTACTCTTGTTTGGAATGCTGTATCCTCTCCGACAATATATTATTGAAAGGAGGAAACAATCAAAGTTAACACAAGAAGATATCATACAACAACAATTGGAAGCACCTCTAGAAGATATGGAAGATGGTGAACATGGTATTGATTTTGATGAATATCATCATGATAATCAATTTGATGATGCACCAGCGGATCGTGGTTTGACAAGTGGAAAAATTTCAATCTCCCTCGCTAGAGCAAATAGTAATTCTGGTTGGTTTAAGAGATTTTTCGATATTTCAGAGTTTTTAAAAACAAGTAAGAAGGAAAAGGCTGCATGTTGTGTTTTCTCTACTTGTAGTATTGCTTCCTTCATTTGGTTGGCAGTCACAATCATTGTATTTTTAACATTTATTTTCTTTGTGAGGTCAACTAGAGTTAACAAATCTGGACACATTTATTCATCAGTTATTTCTGGTAAAAAGGTTAGGATTGAGAGAGAACCTACAGGTATGGTTCACGTTGCTGCTGAAAATATTAATGACCTTGCTTTTGGTCAAGGTGTTGCTGCTGCTCAAGACAGACTCTTCCAAATGGAACTCTACAAGATTATTGGTAAAGGCTCATTGGCAGAGATTGTTGGTTCGGATGCTCTCATTTTGGACAAGCTTTCACACGTTCTAGGTTTAAGAAAGTATGCTGAGGAGAATTTAGCAAATATTCCAAAGGATATAGTTTCTATTATTCAATCCTATGTTGACGGTATTAATGCATATATTGAATCAGGTCCTGCTCTGAGTGCAGAATTTTCTCTTGTTGGTTTCAAACCAACTAAATGGGAAGTTATTGACGTTTTGACATTTGAGAAATTATTTGCCTTACAAATGACTTACAACTACATTTTTGAATTGGCAAGATTAGTTGTTTTGGAGAGAGGTGCTACATTGGAGAGAGTAACAGAGCTTTCATCACCAATGTATGCTAATTATTTCACAGTTTTCAATAGGGAAGAATTAAAGATGAATATCACTGATGAGGAGGCTGAAGAAATTGAGAAAAAGTTGTGGGATCAATCAGGTGCTTATATTCCATCTTCCACAAATTCTGGTGACGAACATGTTCATAATTTTGGAGAAATGCTGTATGAGAAGCTATCAAATGACAAGTACCTCAAATTACTTTTACCAACCAAGAAGGGAAGTAGCAGAGGTTCAAATAATTGGGTTGTCGGCAAGAGTATTTCCGATTCCTCAAGTGGTTACAATGTTAACGATCCTCATTTGGATATTATGGCTCCCGTTATTGTTCAACAAATTCACTTAAAGATTGTTAAGGATATTACTGCTGTTAATGATATTACATCAGTCAAGATGGAAGAGAATACATTTGAATTGATTGGAGCAAGTTTCCCTGGATTACCAAGTGTTGGTATTGGTAGATCAGCTTTTATTTCTTGGAGTATTACCTTGTCTTTTAGTGATGTTCAGGATTTGTATGTATTGACTCCATGTCCTGATCAACCAGACACTCACTACATGGTAGATGGTAAACCAGAAGAATACAAGATTAGAAAGGTTAATATCAAGGTTGCTGGTGAAGAGAATGTGGAATTGGTAGTTAAAGAAAGTAGATTCGGTCCTGTTATTAATGACCCATTGATTACCATTGCTCATGCAGATGTAAAGACTCAAAAGCCAATGGCTCTCAAATGGACTGCTCACTTACCAAATGATACTTCTATTATGGGTCTGCAACAAATGACTAATGCAAAGACTATGGATGAGTTCGCCAAGGCTACAAGGTTACTCACAGCTTTACCTTTTAGCATTGTTTTCACTGATAGAAATGGTAATATTGGTTATTCGTTGACAGGTACAACACCAATTAGACAACAAGGACATACTGGCATGTTTGCAATGCCTGGTGATATTTCCAAATATGAATACAAGGGATACGCCACTGGTGATCAAATAACAGTTATTAATCCACCAAAGGGTTATATTATTACAGCCAACAACAGAATCACACCTGGTGGATTCCCTTATATTGTTAGCAACGATAACGAATTTGATTATAGAGCTAAAAGAATTGATGAAATGATTAGAAATGTTTTAGATGTAGAAAATAGAAAGATCACACAAAAAGACATGATAGAGGCACAAAATGATGTAAAGAGTTTGATCTATGAAGAGCTCAAGTTTGTACTCAGAAATATTTCTCAATCACTCAAGGAAGATCCATATGCCAAATATGTTAATGGTTTGCTCAATGATTGGGACGGAAAGATTCTTAGAGAATCTACTCATGCCACTTTATTTGAATTTTTCCTTACAAATCTTATCAAATTACCTGAGCATGAAGTCGGAAAGAAGTACTGGAATGATTTCTTCTATCTAAGAAGAGCTTTATCCAGTAATGGCGATATTGCTTGCACAGTCCACAGAAAGCAAACTTGTCAAGAGTTTGCAGTGGCCACTTTTAAGGAAACTGTTGACATTTTATTGAAACACTTTGGACAAATTCCTCCTTGGAAAGTTGTTCACTATATTGATGCATCCCATCCATTATTGGGATTGACACCACTTTCTTGTTTATCTGACAGAAAGATTCACTCCAATGGTGGCACATACACTGTGAATATCAACAATTTTGTCTATGATAAGGTTACTGAAACAACTATTCCAACTGTAAATGCAGCAGTTTATAGACAAATTATTGGTGGAGGTGAATTCTCTAATTCTAAAATTGAAGGACAAGATGATTTATGGATCTCACCACTTGGACAAGATGGAAATATGTTTTCAGAACACTATGACAACTTTATTGAAAAGTATATTGAGGGATCCTATCTCCCACTCACCACTGAGGCCAAGTACTTGTCTGACGTTTTTGAAATTCTTCCAACAGAAAAGTCGGATTAAGATTCGCACATCTTTAGCCAAACAGGTAAAGGATTTGTTTATTTTGAGCAATCAAAGTTTAACGGTGAATACCTCAACTGCAAGATGGGTTATTTTACTTGATGCATTCATTAGAAGAGATTAATTTAATTCAAACAATCATGCATCTTTGGGTCATAAACATAAAGCTGATTTACCATATTTACTGATTAACATCGTTCTAAAGTTACTGTTCGACTATCTCTGTATTACCCATAAATGGACATTATTAATCTCTCACTTTTGAATTACCCTTTTCGAATAACATTGTTTAAATTCTTCGAATAATTTATTATTATTGGTGAGGCAATGGCAAAGAAATTGAGTGTTTCTATTGTGGCTACTGAAGAAACAAATAGGGAGGTTTCGTCCAAATACTTGGTAAGGTCGTTACTGGTCTTGTCCCACTTGTTAGAAACAAGAAGAAGGAAAAGACGAAAGTATACGAAATGGGAGATTCCACTAATGTTGTATGGACGAATGGATGTATGAATTTTGAAATGTATCTGAAAGGAAACTATTCTGATAGTTTGGCTTTACATAGAGAATTTTCTGAAAAACATCCAGAAGATAAACCAACTCTACAGCTCATCAAAAAAAATCTTAAAGAAACTTCCAAAAATGTTAATGAAACACGGGATGACCTGAACTGGTCAAAGCTAGTCAACTTCTGCTTGTCACTGATATTTCCTTCCCAAGTCATTGAACTGAAGTGAGATAAACTTGCCGAAACTCATCACGGATCGCTTCAAAACAATACGAAAAATTGCCTCATCATTGAACATGCATTCATTATCGGCAATATTCATCCTACTTTTTTACACTATTCTATTCGCAAGGAATTTACAGTTCTTTTACTTGTTTTCACATTTCATCAACCGATGCAAAAGTTTGCTCTTCTCGAGGGTCATGCCTTTCTACCAACAATTGCACATGTTCTACAGGTTTCTACGGAAGTAATTGTCAGTGGAGTGATGATCCAATACTAAACGAACCTACTTTGGATTTATTTGGTTTAGGAATTGGAATTGTTAGACGAAATGTTTCGAATCCAACCTATGATTTGATGATTTCTGCAACTAAATTAACTTTTCTTGATTCTAAATTGAGAGAATTGATGGGATGTTCATTGGAAAGTGAAAATTGTTATTCTGTAATTGAATTTAAATGGTCAATTAGTATGAATGCAATTAGTTTGGATTCTTCTAATGGATTTGTGATGGCAAATTTATCCCAAGTTGATGTATTGACATTTTCTCCAGTCATTCAATTTCAAAGTAGCAAAGGTTTGATTTCTGGCAGTCAGTTGATTACTTCTATTGAACTAAAGACGAAATATTCTAACGTTAACATGAGTACTAAAGGATGTACTCTAANAAGGAACATCACATTGGAAATTGAAAATACAGTAACTTGTCTCTGTTCACACACAACCATGTTCTCTACCTTTATTGAACATAACAGTACATTTGCTGTCAAAGTCAAACAACAGCTGTCAACGCTATATTATGCTCAAATAGCTTTTGGTGTATTCTATTTTATCATTTCCTTAATAATATTAATTCTATTATTTGCTTTTAGAAAGGAACAACCAATTTCAAGTAGATTAGCAACTCCATTTATGGGAATGATAGCCCTATTGGTAGAAAGTTGTTTAATTTACATTACTCAGAGAGGAATTTTAGTGAATCAACTGAAATCTAGTAATAATCAAATGTGGGAGAGTGGAGATAATGATTCCAATATTATTGCAAATATTGTTACAATTTTTGTAAACTCTTTAAATTTAACAGCAATATTTTGCTATGTTATTCAAGTGGTTAGATTTGAATTGATGAAATTCATGTACAAATTAATTCACAAGACGAAAGGAAATGAGTCTAAAAGTGATATAGTATTGAAATCTATTAGAATATCAACATCAACAAGTTTATTCTTACTCTTGACAACTTTATTTATGAGTTTTAATCTGGTTTATTGGACAATTTGGGTTGTTTTGAGACGAATTAATGTAATTGAGCCTTCAACTTACACTTACATTGTTTCCATTTCGTATACTGTCATAATATTCTTCTTGAGTTTAGTAATTGCAACTGTATTAGTATTCGATTTTATTATAACAATTAAAGAAAAGAAAGAAGAGAAGAAGAATGAGCCCACAGATTCAACAGTGAAAGAAAATCTGGTAAAGAAATCAATCAAGATGAAGAATTCACTCTCAAAGGTTTATGATTTTTTCATTAGTTTAGATGAGCCACTCTATTTCAGAGTCGAAATGATTCTCTACCTAATATGTTTCGTATTTCTAATAGTGAATCAAGTGATTGGACTCATTGGATTACCATATCGATTCATAGACGAGGAAAATTACAAGACAGCTCTCCAATATGATGTAATTTCATTTATATTTGAAGTTTTATACGTTTTCACCTATATTCTAGTATTTGGTGGATATGCTTTGTTGATCCTACTCATTTACAAAGTAAAGATTTGGAGAAAATTTTCAAAGAATGGAAAATCAAAGCAGGATGATGGAATGTTGAAGAATAAGGAACTTTTACTTGTGATTAGGAATGAGGAATCGTACGAATCATTTGAAAAGTTTTGTGAAAAGGAATTTTCCTTAGAGAATCTTTATTTACATTCAATATTGGAAAAACATTCAAAAATAGTGAATGGAGAGACATTTGAAGGGTTATCAACTCTACTTAATCAAATATTTGAAGGATTCATCCAATCAGGAGCAACAAATGAAGTGAATATTCCAAACAGTTGTAGAACAAAGATTGTCAACCTCCACAAAAAATATGGTTTTGAAAAGAAGGATTCAGATTTAAAGAATGTTGATTTAGAAGAAGTGAGACAGGCATTCTTTTCATTAGTTCAACAAGTATTTGTCAATCTTGGTGACACCTTCTCTCGATATTCTCTAACAACTGAATGGAAAGTTTTCAAAAAGGCAATTGAATTGAAAGAACACATTACGGAGAAAGCAAACTTGTATTAGATTGAAATACTACATTAGATGATAACCTTCAAGAATTCAAACGGTGGAACGGAATTAATAGAAAATGACATAGAATATTGTTTTTTACTTTTCACCAAATGAGTTGACAATTGGTCCAAACTGCAGCAGAATTAGCCACCAATAAAGTAGGCTTTTTGTATTGATAATTTAGTAATCACGTTTTGTCTAATGCAGTTGTACAACATAGCTTAGTGCAAATCACGTTTCGAATAATCACGTTTGTTTCGAATATATTGTTGCTGGTGAATAGTTTAATTTATTTCATTTCTCTTGCTTTATTTTCATGCTACAAATGACACTTATAGAACTAAATGGCAACTTTTCAAACTTATTCTCATCAATGAGAAAGCTACAACATTGTTCAAAGCCAAAATATTTTACTCATTCCAGTTCATCTTTTGCAAAATTTTTTGTTTTGAATAATGTTCTAGGCGATTTATTTCGCCTAAATTTTAGGCGAAATTTCTGGCGTTCCCAACTCATCGTCCATTCAGTAACACCTTTTTAGTTTTACCATTATGGCAACTACTGGTTATTTTTGTTACTGAATGTTTTTGTTGGATTTTTAGCAAAAGGTGTATCACCTTGTGCCCAGCATGTGTGAAGAGACTTCACAACTGCTTCATCAATGTACTTATTATTCAGACGGGTAGTAGAACAGATTCTTTCTATTGCTTGCATTTGTTATGGTTCTGTCAATAAAATAAATTTTTTTTTACGGAAAGCCAGCTGTCTGATCTGACTTTTCGACTTTAAAATTTTTTCCAATTTTTTGCTAGAAAAATTTTCAAGTCGAAATTCCATAGTTTTTTCCCTAATTGATTTCTAAGGCTATTCTCTTTATGAATATTTAATATTTGAAGGAGAAAATTGGTAAATATATTATATATTAATAATATCATAATTTGGTTTTCAAACTTCGAATGAAATTGAGAACACACCTGTAGAACATGCTATCTATCACTAACTTTATGTTTGCAGCCTTGGTGGTGATGGAGAAAATATTATTTCTGTAGTTTTGGTATTTATTTTATAGAGAATTATTTTTATCATACTGAACTTTCTCAGATTATACTCTTGTATGTCTAAAATCATATATATCAGTTTTACATATCCATAATATGTACATCATAAGTTATTAATTTATTCTCTAAAATTGGGGATTTTCAAAAATAAAAAATAAAAAATAAAAAAAATTAATAACTCCTTTATTATTCGATAATTAATGGAAACCATTGATTTTACATTCTGATATGAAACAATATCTTCGGAATTATGTCCCTGATTATGAAATTGCAATAAAAACATCATCTATTTATCAAAAACTAATTCTGTATATATTGTTGGAAAGAGGGTGCTGATACCAAATATCAAAACTTTTTCTTAATAATGGTGATTGTCTATTCAGATAGATGTAGATTATGTTTTAGTTGAATGCTGTTGTTGATTACCAGTTTGGACAACAATCTAAATGCGGTTCAGTAACACCATATTAGAAGTTGGGAACACCAGGAAATTTATCTAGGCGAAAAAAATCTGCCTGAAATGGTTATGCCAAATTTATCTTTACGGTCATAACTACCATTTAAAGCACTGTACACCAGCAAGAATAAAAAACACCATCAAGAAATTTATTAAAAAAATGGTTTAGTTGGTTGTTCCTTAATCTTACTTCTTTCTGAAAGGTGGAGAGATTCTATTGGAGGGTCTCTTACTTCTTCTGCCCCTTACTGGTGTGATGATAACTTCCTCTGATTCGAGTGTGGAAGAAATAGAAGCAACCTTAATGACATCATCCCCATCGGAAGAAGTAGTCTTTTTGCTTGATATTGGGACGGATTCTGATGGTAAAACATCATTGTTTGCCGAGTCTGTTTCTTGTGACATTTCATCAGAAGGAGACAATTCTTCTTCAGCTGGTAATGAATTGCTTGTATTTTGGAATGATTCTGATGGTAAAACATCATTTGTTTCTTGAGAGATTTCTTCAAAAACCTCATCATCAAAATTGGCAGCATCTTTATCACATCCTAAAACACGAGAGGATAGATATTTAGGATCAATAGGATACTTGCATTGAGTGAATGGAGTTTCTGTAGATAGAAATCCACCAGTTGCTTGCCATTCAACAACAATTTTGTTACCTTGTGTTAAAGAAAGTACTTTAGCCTTTCTCTTTCTGATCTCTCCGTCATTAATCTTAATTGCCTTTGCATATGGAGGCTTGTCAACCATTACCAGTTGATTGATTTTGAAGGTAGATTCTACATTTGCTTTGTGTTTGTTGACTCTTTCGGCTTGCTTTTTAAATCTTTTTTGGACCGTTTCAACAATTAAAGCAGTGTCAATAATGATTGAGCACTTCTCACGTTCATCACAAAAATCAGATATTCTACTTGGTGCCACCTTATCAAACAAGTCTTGAGGAGTGAACTTTGTAACACTATGTACCGTGTTATTATGTTTTAAGACAACTTCCTTCAAATGGTCAACCCAAGTTCCAGCGTCGTTTTCATCAACAATGGATCGAATTTTGACCTCTATGCCATCTTTGGTAGTTCTGTTGCACCTTTCAGCCAATCCGTTTTCTGAGGGACTGTAAGGGTTGGTAGCTGAATCCTTACAGTCCCTCAGAAAATCCTTACAATAATTTGCTCAACTGGCTGAATTGGTGAAACAAAGGGAGTTTGTACTTGTTGACTAATGCTGTTTGGAGTTTCACTATTTGGAGTACTGTTGGAAATTACAATTCTGTGAGGTTGATTTTGAGTAGCAATATAATTTTGGAATCTACTGAGGAAACTTGGGTCACTGGCTAGTTGATTAATAAGAGAAACAATCAGTCCTTGGTCCATATTGAATATTTTTTAAGATTTTAACATATTTTACAACAACAGTTAAATTTTTCAATTTATAGTGGTCAAGGATTATAACTAAGGATTCTTGATTAATTGCAACCGTTCCAATAAAAGTACTTTTTATTTGTTATAGGCGAAAAAAATCTGCATAATGATTCATGCAATCCTTAGTTATAAATGAAACCTTGTATCTATTCCTTATTGATGTGGTTACAACTCGTAATGGTTCCCTTGGTTGGACTGATAAACAAGGAATGCAGAAAAAGAAAACATACACCAAACATTAACTGTCAGGGAAGTTGTCATAGACACATCAAAACAAATCAAAAAAAATGGTCAATTCTCATAGTTATCCATTTCGGTGCGAAGATGGAGAAGGTAAATTCATAGAATTACATTTATCATTCTCCGAACCCGAACATCTAATTACTCTGTCTTGTACCTACAATTATCACAAGTATTTGTTTACTGAAGAAACATCATCTGTAATTCATTTTAAATACTACAAAACATGTTTGATGAACAATGCCATTGATTGCAAGGTTTCTGAGGACAACATTACCTTGGTTGTGAAGGAGTGTTCTGATATTGGGTCCAGTGTCAAATTTATTCTTAACAAACAAGAAAGGGATGCTGATGAAAAATTGAATACCATGTTAGAAGTCATGATGAAAGATATCGCACAATTGAAGGGAATGCTTTGGTTTACTGATAGAGATTTGAATAAGTTCTCCGAGAAATACATTACCAATTGGAATAGTGTATTTATTAGAGTCAATGGTTCACCTATTCTAGGCAAAATATTCACAAATACTTACTCAAAGAAAGAATTTTATGTTAATACCACTGGTTGTAAAATCAAAAAGGATTCAATCAATTCTCCATTATTTAAATCTTATCGTGAATCAGATCTGGAACCTATTATCATTTACTTTAAACAAAAAGTGGATTTCTCAAGAATTGAAATTTCTGTTAGTGTTCATCAATCAAACAATCAAGACTTGGTCAAGGTTTATGTTTTTGGAGTAATGAAACCTCAGGGAGTGATTAGAAAATTTGACATTGAATTAATTAATGAAAATCTAAGCTCTCATTACCAAGAGCCAAAGGAAGATTGGTTTATTATGCCTAAATTGGAGAAGATTTCAGAACAAGAGTGTAAGCTAAATGGATTAGTTTCAATTCATTTCGATTCGAATAACGCATATGATGGAATTGGAATTGCAGTAAGAAACCAACGAAACGATATGTTCAACTACACCATTCCTCTTTTAAGAATATATTAACAATTTTAAAATTATTGATTGTCATATATAAAAGTTTGGTACCTATAACCTCGGATACCTCTTACTCCAATCTCTTATTGATTTAAGATTTTGAAATTGTTTATTATTGAATTTTTATAAAGAGTATTGACACGAATCAGAAGCTTCTTATTGTGACAACACTTGATAGAAGAATGGGAAAGTGGCTGCATTAATTCAACATATTGAAAGTGAACAAGGTTCTCAAGATTTGGAACTCTTCTTCATGAAGAGGAGGTTATTGGGTGGTGACTAGAGAGAAACATTTCCTTGTAGCTTTTCTACTAGTAAATGATTAATTGACCAAGATGTTGACCTGTAATATGGAAACACAATAAAATTCAATAATACTGATAAATACAGTAGTGAATATGAATGGTAATCATAAATCACTGAAAAAATCATGATTGGATCCTTTTTGAGACTTTTGGAAGTCAACTTG